ATTATTCCTCGCTAATGTTGTTTACGTTCAAACGTACTTGCTCAGAAAATTATAATAAGTACTCTTCATAATCATAGTTTGTTTTTTTGAGCTTAGTTAGAACAATCTTTGGTTGAATAATATAGCTACACAAACTAATATTATTTTCTTATTAGCATTTCCAATTTTATTCGACTTAACAAATATCACTGCATCCATCATTATTCTAACTATTTCCGTCGTCACATTTTTCTAATTGTTCAATAAGGACACCATCCCCACAAATATTACGACATTATGACCCATCTTCTATGTATCCATTCTCACATTGTAAACATAGTCCTTAGAAGCAATTAAGGCATTTTTAGTGACAAGAATAGGAACATTAATAACATCCATCAAATTCAATATCATTTCCATCATCACAGAATTCTTTCCCAACTGTATGACTGTCCCCACATATTGAAATACACTAGCCATTAATCAATAACCATCCCTTTTTTTGACAATCTTCACATATCAAACCATTGCAAATATTGCATCCTTAGGGGCATTATATTTGGCATTTATAACAGCCATCATAAGGTAAATAATTGCCATCATCACATTCTTCTTCTATACTAGATACAATACCATCTCCACAGAAATCCGTACATTGATTGGAAAAGCATTAATTTAGATAATCATCCCATATGCATTCACCGTTTTCACTATCAATTTTGCATGCCTCTTTTATTTAGTAATTTTGACAATTTTGTTTATTAGCACATCCTCCTCCTTATTTAACTGTGCAAGTTGGAAAATAAGCATTGCATTCTTAATGTTTTATCAGAGAAGTTGATGCAGTTTTACAAGATTTTGTATAACATTTCTCATCAATCCAGACACAAGGATTGAGATTGATATCAAATGTACAACCATCAATAACACTAACATCTTCACAAGACATTCTAAAAACACATTAATAACCATTTGTAACACATTTTTTGCTTTAGAATATTGAAGCACAAGCCGAATCTATAGCATAATTATAATCAAAGCAATCTTTTATTCGACAACCACCTTTTTAACATGTAGAGAGAAATCCGATACAATCAGAATTAGTTTTGGCAAGTGAAGGCCCATTTTCACAAATCCTCTCTAAACAAATATTCTTCTCATCATTCCAGAAACATTCTACTCCACCTAAATTCATTTGTCCTTAACTTTTGCATTGATGATATGGGTAGTTCATGCACAAAGATTGACCAATCACGCATCCATCCAAATTTTCATTTACAGTACAAGATTTTCCAAAATATTAATTACAATTATGAACTGAATATATAAGTAATTGTGCAGTTGAACAATCCTTTATTTTACATTTATTTTAATTCATCATCCATTAACATTCTACATTATTTGAATCGATTTAGCATTATTCTTTTATTGAATAACTACCACAAACATTTAATTATTGACATCCATCTAAAGTTGAATTAACTGTACAAGAATTTAATTTTTAGTTACACTTTTCATGTGTTGTATATTATAAAATTGAACATGTTAAATTAACACACTTGCTTAATGATTCTTAATAGAAGCATTCATTTCCAGATTAATCTTTAAAACATTAAGTTTTCTTTGCAAAAGAACAAGCAATTGGAAGGTCTACACATTGAATTATATCTAGTTTGACAGTGCAACTCTTATTTAAATAATAGGATTCGCATAGTTAATGAGTTTTATTTGAAATATCAGCTTAGGTGCAATCTTCTAAGCATCGATTATTATTGCTATTATATTAACAGTTAATCAACCAACTACTGCAATCGTCCTGGCTAATTGAAGGAGTTGGCTTATTTGAACATGTTTTTTCTATGCATTTAGTACCTTCCCAAAAGCATGGGATGCCTTATGAGTTGCTAGTATTTAAACACTAAGTGCCATTAGAGTACTTGTTACATTCCATAATAATTTAACAATTTTAACCATCCCAAAAACACTTTGTAGTAAAAATTGAGCAATCTGACAATATTGTTAACTATGAGCAATCTAGAGGCTGACATCCTAAGTTATCTAATGACATATAAGAATCCTTCCAACTATGGCATGATGAATGTGTATAGGTAGATATTAATTAAACCGCAGCTTCATAATACCATATACATGCATTAGAATACCAATAACAGTCTATACCATCTATCGTACTTACGCAAGCCTCTTAATATTTGTAATCTGAGCATTATTATTACTTGACTATGCACTTTGGGTTTATTATAAAGTTGATTGTTTATAAGACATTATTACTGTAGCAATCTTAATGTGATTTAGGTGAAGTCATCATACTTAAATTGCAGTATGCATTCTAAGTACATTGAAGGAAATTAATTGCACACCAATAACATTTTAAGACTAGATATTGATAAACGCCATAACTTTTTTCACAATCTGATTATACATTATACTCTAAGCACTCCATGTGTGTGCAGTTGGAACTGACCCATTTACATTTTGCACCATTTGCTAATTGCGCTTAACTACATATTGCTTCATTTTTAATTTGATCACAACTTATAAAAGCACATCCTAAGCCTTTAGTATAATTAAATCTACAAAATGTGCTATTACTTAATAAGCATTCCCGATTCGTTACTGCAGTTGTGTTAAGACCACAATTAACATAAGAAACACATTTACCATCTTACCAATAGCATTAATATGAATAACATTGTTAAATAAGACCAATTTTTGTACAATCATTGTTGTAACTTATACAACTAGTAGCACCTAAAACACATTCACTCTTCCACTAATAGCAAATTAATTCTGAAATGCCTTAATCGGATGTTAATTGTTCGCATTCTCTGTATCCGCAAACATTAGACTATTAATTATATTGACATTAATTTCCAAAGTAATCCGTTGATTAATTACAAAGCGATTATGGGGCAAAGTCACAAGAAACAATTAACTTACAGCAGTGACACTCTGTATTATAGATGAGGGATGTTGAAATATCATTACATTAATTCAAACCGTCGAAAGTGGTGTCTAAAGGAGTTAAACTTTCAAAGATGTACTTTTGGACTAGAGTGCAAATGTCTTAACAATGAAGACAATCCCTCGTTAATTCACATTATTATCCAAAAAATGTTTTCCGGAAACAATTTTCAGCATTTATTTTATCAGAACAGCGAATATTACGAAAACATCCTTGCAAAAAGCTGCATCTAGAATTACTTCTCATAATTGCATTGTTGCAAACGCTACTCGTCAAATCACCACACTCATAAATAGAATAACATCCTTATCCACTTGATTAAAGAACACAATTGGGATTATATAATTAACAAAACTCATTACTTTGACTTTCAGTAATTTGTTCACAATATTTTGATAGTATTACCATGCAGAAGGAACTATGAAAATAGCATTTTTCATTTTAAGTTGTTAGAGTTAACTTACATATTAAAGGATCAGTAATTTCTTAACAACTTTTGGGTCTATTTTCACATCCAGGCCCGTAAGTCCCTTCAGAATTAATTTTTAATTGGCATTCATTATTCTGTCTGAACATTAAACATTCAGACTCCGTTTAAGATGTTGAATTATCAGCACAAACTACATCTTCACATATTTATTTCAAATCATTCCATTTGCAAGGTTATTAATAGGAATTAATTATACACTATTATTGATATTTATAATTGCAATAATCTGAAAGTTATCTGCAGGATAAGGTAATCTAATTTAATGTGCATTTAGGCATGAAGTCCTCACAATCCTGATGAGTTAGTTCTCCATTAAGTCTCTTATGACAATCAACAACTCCATTATTATCTTCATCCTCGTTCATGCACTTGTTTTCTTTATCATCCCAATAACACAAATAGCCAGATAGAGTTGTCTTACAATTTCTTCGCTTGATGTACTCATAACATGTTTCTTTCTTCCTTTCACATCCTTCAGCAGTAAAATTAGAAACCACAGTACAATTTTGATTCCTTGCATAACATTCTACATGATTGTTATACATAACAACATTTGGAGAAGATGAACAAGCAACTTAATTAATTCTATCTATGCATCCACCCAAAGAATGGTCAAAAATACAATTACTAGACCAATTGTTACATTAAACATTATTGGTGTAATAAAGTTTCGGAGCATCTGAACATTCTTATTGTTTACAATAAGTACCAGTCCAAAAACACTTTGTTCCATTTTGTATATTCAATTAACACTGTTATTGACTTTTCATTTCAGTACAATTAGTGGGCCATTAGTAACATCCAACTCCAGAAGGTCCAATAATGCAAGGTCCAGATAACACCTTAAATTATTTGCAATCTTCGTTTGTTAAATACAAACTTGGACTGGCATCTTAACAAAGTTGATTAATACATTTTTAACTACTTCCATTCCATTTACACATATGTCCTGAAAGTGTTGATTAACATTGTTCTTAAACTGCAAGTTCACAAATACTTCTTTTATCTACGCATCCAATCAAGATTTTTTAATTTGATAAAACTTATACATTAACTGTACATTTTGGCATCCACCCTTCACATTTAGAGTTTGTATCCAAAGTTGGATGAGCAGTCATACATTTCTTCTCTATGCATCCTTAATTCTATGTGCAAATTTAACCATTTGAATCAATTGTACAATCTTCTATCTCTAAAACATTTTCACATGTATACTCTGTACAACCTAAAGAGTTTAAATTAAAAGTGCAATATGAACTTTCCTTTTAGCATGCTTTATGATTATTATAGGTTGGCAATTTCAATTTCTTACATTCTAATGATTCGCATACGCCTTTGACCCAAATGCACCTTTCTTTATTATAGGTGAATTCACAAAACTAGTCCTGCAATATTTCCTCACATAAATTAGGTGTCTGTTAACATCCCCCATTTAATTTCCCCATACAATTCCCATATCCCTAACAATCTTTATGAGTATAATGAGCCTGAGCATGGTAACATTATCTTTATTCGCATTTTTTTTTATACCACACACAATCTTATTATTCTAATGAATAGCAATCCATTTCATAAACATACCCATCGCAAGTTGCAGGTCGAATTTTACATCCTTTGTTTTCTGAAGTAACACAATCCAATAAATTGTCATAATCCTAACATTATTGATAATTAGTAAGTGACTCTGGAGCAGTGTTGCAACTCTTGATTTTACATTGATTTTTATGATAGTCACATTTTTAACCCAAAATATCAGTGACACATCCAACTTTATTCTAAACATCACTACACTGCCTCCTTAATACACAATGGACTCCATTAGTTGTACATTAACTTAAATTTGACTTACATTCATAATCCTCAGTAAATGGTAGATTTTCACACACCTTTTCAACACATTTATTATTTTTTGAATCCCAAAAACAATTATCTTTTCTTGATTTGCTTTCAAAGCATTAAAAATTATTCACATATTGTGCACAAGATTCCATTTATTCAGTACATCCATAACCTTTCTCGCTTATTGTGCATCCATCAAACCCTGACTTACACATTGTATGATTGTTTAAATATGAAGGTAATAATTTACACATTGTGACATCTGTGCATTTTTTCTCCGTCCCCCAAATCCAAACACAGTATTTGCCATACTAATTTTTATTCGAGCAGGCATTCTCCGTTTTATAATCACTACATTCTTACATTTGTACACACTTTTAACCATCAGAGACACATTTATATGATGATTCTTAACAATTATCTTTATCGAAGATGTTGCAATCTACAAAGTCAATACATAAACCATAATAAAAGCCACATTACTCTAATTCTCGGCAATCCTCTTGAGCATAGTTTTTGCATGGATTCTAATTTTTAATCTTTGAATTGTATGTTTTTCCAGAACCTAAAACACAATATTCATTTTCCCAGATGCAAACACCAGAGTTTTTGCAGTCTTTTTAGCTTTGTATATGCCTGCAAATGCATGTTTTGGAAATTTCTGAACTACTTATTAAACAAAATTGGAGCAACAAAAGAAAATAAAATCTGTTGAATAACATTTTTATGTTTTTTTTTTATTCGTATATGATACTCTTTATTCTTATTTTTGTAGTCCTAATTTTAGAAATAAAATATCTTAAAAACTATTGAAAAGTTTTACTTTTAATCAAAATTCATATCACCTCATAGATTTTTAGAATTTCAATGAATTTAATCAAAATGTCTTGGCTGAAAAAAAATGGCTTACATTTAGGATGATTTGTAGACTTCTTTGAAATAAACATAATATTTAGAATATATTCTTTGAATCCTATTTAAATTACTTAGAATGAGCCAATTTAGGCAATTCATACAACATTTAGAAAAATTTTAATTATAGATTAACAATTATTTATGTTCAATAAATTTTAATCAAAATAGATAAAAACAAACCCGAAGACTTGAACTCAGATCTTTGTCTACCGATGACAACGTTTTACCTCTGAACTACTTGATGTAAACTTAATCTAATAATAAAAAAGATTACTTTTGATTGTTTTAAAGTTTGTGTCATTTCTTAATCATTTTGAATATGAGGTTGCTTAGTTAATTAGAGTTATCTATTTAAGCTTGTTTTTATCATAATTTCAAAATTTATGCAGTGCTTACTTTTTGTGTTAAAATCAGAAACCCTCATTAAGAAATGTATCACCAATGATGTTTTTGTAATTAAGTAATGAGCAGTTGTCTTTTTATAAAATAATATATCTTCAAAATTTAGGTAAAATGTGATTATACTCTACATGTGGGTAAGAGGACTTTTAGAAATTCTATTATTGTTCAGGGTTGTCATAAAACTAGCAACAATTATCCGTTTATTATCATCAAAGGAATTTATTAGTTACTGTTCAAAAAGTTATTATATGATTCCTGTTGGTGTAATTATAGCAGTGTTTAAATAATTACAGTATGCTGGAAAATTTATTGATAACATTTGATCAAGGATTGTAGCGATAGGCAATTTGATCCTAGTTTATTAATTAAGTAAGTTAATTCTAACCCTTGTATTTAAATAGAGCAACCTATCAAATATAAACAACACTTATATTTTGATGGATCCGATCAATCATAAATTAATAAAATTAATTTATAGACAATAAAAACCTTTTTCTAGTAATTTGGTAAGGTTTTCAATTCTCAATGTTAATAAACTATAAATAAATTATTCAAATTAAGTTTCTAATAATTTGCAAGAGTTTAATTCATTCGCAAAAGCTTTTTATTTGCAATGGCAATTTTCTATTAAATAATACATTTGATTAAGTCATCTTTTGAAGTACTATTACTATAAAGGTAGCATGACGAATAAAGTGCTATATATATATAGTTAAAAACTAATTAATTAGATTAATTCAACCATCAATGTGTTAGTTAGCCTAAAGTTTAGAACAAGAGGTTTTCAAATCAATATTAAAATTTGGTCACAAAATATTATGAAAATATGATCAACCAATAGTCACTTCATATTAAAAATAAACATGATAAATTTAATATAATTAATAAAAGGAAAAATATTACATATCAAGCAATCAATATAAACTATTATTTATTAATTGTTTTTTTTACACTCCAATCTAATGCCTTTTTGCATAATTGTTATACTGTAGGGATTTTTTCGGTTTTCAAATTTACAAATGGCAAAACTTGGCTAATGAACTTCAAATGAGAAATTTACTAATACCTACCTATTTTGAATAATTAAATTGTCTTCACGCTAAATCTCAAATTTTATTACTTTATAAAGCTTGAAATAAACTACATTGTTCTAACTAAAGCATATCTGTTTGACCGATGTACTTTTTATAGTGATATCATGAATGGATCGTAGATATCAATTGATTTATAATATGTTATTTTTAAGTTATTTATACATGGTGAGAATATCTTATAATACAAGTTAAGGATATATTTCACCTAGAAATATCGTCGTTTCCAGGGTATAATGCTACCCATCATGTAAATCATGCAAAAGTCCAAATACAATGAATGTACAATTAGGTTTTATTGAATCCTAACAAACAATTTATGCACCTTGTCCAATTAATAAATACTCTTAGAAGAACTAAGCATGCAGAAACATTTGTGATGTATAGTTCCTTGTATATACCAACGAGTTTTGACAATATTATCCAAGTAATTATTTCTAATAAAATGCCCTAGTAAATGATAGAATAAGGTCAAATTAGTTATTTTGTTATTTCAACTGACCATTTGAGATGGAATATAATATACAACTTAAAGCGTGTAGTTCTGCCTTTAAACTATTAAAACAATTTAATATAGCTTATGGAATGTTTAAGTTGAATTCTCTATAAATATTTCTAATTATTGTCTGTTTTCGGTATTCAACCTATTTAATTTGGATTCAAAATTTAAATTATTGCTTACAATAATATTCCAAAGAATTGTGAAAAATAGTTTAATATTACAAACTGATTAACTCTAGATATTAATCTAGAGTTTGGTTATTGTGTGAAGTAGAGCAAGCATATATTTTATTTATTTAAATATAAGACTTGTAAAAGTGGTTACTATTTAAGTCGAGATGGTATCATAATATTAGGGTTAGGTTTATTTATATTTGTATTTCAAGTTGCTTATCTCCATAAAAATTAGGCTCTTATTGTTAGGATTAAGATGAGGAAATATCTTGTAATAGTTATCATACTTTATAAACTTTTAATATTTGATTAAAGATTATGAGGGTACAGACTTCCCATTTCTTTTGATTATAAAAACAAAAATTGAAATCTATGATGTTTAAGATAAGTATAATAAATTATCATCATCAAAAACTATAAGAATTTTTAGAAAATTCTAAAAAATTCTAAGATTTATTTATAGGTCTAAGGTCAATTTGATTTATTATCTAATTAATTTTTTAACTTTTGTATAAATTTAATATCGTATTTTTAGTGCCATTTGCATTTTACAAAGAGCACCTCCAAGCAGATCATGCATTTTTAGTTATTTATTTGATTTTTTCATTTACAATACAAGTTAATTGAGGATAGTGTGTCTGTCATTAATTAACCAATTGGAAACTTGTGAATCATTGTTTGTGAGTTAAAATAAATTTAGGTTGAGAAAATTAAGGACTGGGTGTACATTTCACTATTTACTCGTATCTTGTAGTTCAATCTTTTTTCAACTGACGACTCAAAATAATTAAAAGGAGAAAGTATTTTGAAGGAGAAAAGGAGTGAGATATTACAATTCCAATTAAAACATATTTTTTATATTCATAAACATATGATTAATCTGAATGAACATCTCTTTTTAGAATTATTATGGCATTAAAAATTCTTTATTGTTGCAGTTTTTAACAGACAGAACACTCTCTTGATTAATCTATTTTGAATAGATGAGCCAAGTTAGACTCTATCTATATAGTTTGAACTAATAGATTTTGCGATGATATTAAAGAAACTTGAAATTTGGTACTTTTCAAGTCTAGTTATGTTCACAAAATTATTTGTATTATTATAGAAGTAATTTGATCAAAGATGGAAGTCATTTTCTACTTTTATTTTTTCAACATACAAAATAGAATGTAATGTTATTTTTGAAATTCAGACACATTAGGCATAGTTAAAATTTCAATTCTTTAATCACAACAAATTTAATCAATTATGAGGATCTAAGCCATCCTTTAAGATCTCAGACTGTTTTGGAGGCTAATTGATTATTTTCATTAGTTTTCAATCATATCATTAATGCAATCCAGCGTTTTGATTTCTTTTAGAGTATGCTTGGTTCATACTTTGTTTCTATGATAGTAATGGCTGATTTGTTGTAAACTACCTTGATGAAGTTTCAAATAAATCCTTAGTAATTGGATTATTTATTATGAGAAGATAAACTGTTCTCCTTAATTTTATTGAATTATTTGTTGTTTAGTGCTAGGAAGAACAACCAACATTAACTACCAACTAACGGATGAATTTAAAATAATACAATAATTTAAACAGAGAAAGGGAATAGTGCCATTATTTTGATATTGGTTAGGCTAATTGCAGGATGAAAAATATTATGATCATTGGAATTCAACACCTTTAGGATAAACTGTTTTAATTGGATGGCAACCTTAAATTAATAAGAGAAGAGCTAATATTTTCTTTCTCGCTTATTATAAATATTTGAAAAATAATGAATCCTATAGAATATAAGGAATAATTCTATAGTTCGAATTATTAATCTTAAAAATTGAAACCATTATCATCCTAGAGTAAAAAATTGGATTGTGATGATGTGGATTTCAGAAATAATATTGAATTTTAATCATTTTGATAGAGGGAAAGTTTCTAGCTAGAACCATACATAATGGAATCTAAACTTATTGAAAAACAATCATCCTTTGGCAGAATTTAAGTATTTTCCATTAAGAAACTAAAGGTTATGGAGTTTTCAAGAAATATAATTTACTAAAAACTAAGAAAAGTTCAATCGGTAGATAAGTTAACCAGATCATCAAGGTGAGACTTGAACTTTTAGGGTACCTAATAGATATACACGAAATGCAAATCAAAAATGAGCTAAAATAAAGACCAACCTATTTGGATCATATTTCTTTTTTCGATGTAAATTTATTGCAAGGAGTATAAGTATAAAATAAATTTAATTATATATTTATAAGCATAAAGAAAGGAGAAATATAATTCGAAAAAACTTATCAAATAGGTAGGTGATATAATAATAAAGTGAAAAACTTGGAAATTTCAAATAATGAAAGAGGATGTATAATAAAAATTCAAATAAACAATAGATTTTTGAGGATTAAGTTTGGAATTACCATTGACTCCCCCTTAAAAAAAGATCGCTAGTCATAATTCAATTTTATATATTTAATCGAGGTTAAAATTTTCATAACCTAATTCAAAATTCAAAATGATCTTTTAATAGTAGAAAAGGTAAGTGAATGAGGATCAATATCAATACTTTGTTAGGTATCTATTTATTTAATTTAGCATCCTGAAAAAGTAAGGAATACCCAGAATTAATTTCCTGATGATAAACTCAAAATTAATTATAGATTCTATTAACAACAAAAATATGTTATCATCCTCTTAATAGAAATTCCAGCTTTTTATAAATTTACTTTATACTCATCAATATGGTTTCAAAGAGTTTTCAAGTCACCTTGTGAAAAAATTGTCAATCTTTCTCTTAAATTTATAAATCAATTCGTATTTTTAATTTGAATTAAAATGTCGATATATGATATTTCTCTTTTATTGGTAAGCCATAAAACCTAATTCTTCAGTTGTTTATCGAGTATTGGGCATTTTTCAGCATAATTAGATTAAGTTATTTACTATCAAATTAAGTTGTGCCAATTAAATAAGGAAAATAGAAAATTATATACTCCTATGGTTGAATCACGGATTGGAGAACTATGATTAAGCTTTTTCTTTTCCATTATCAAATATCAGCATTTTTTATTTTCAATCATCACATAGGTTTGCAATCAAGCCATAAATTTGAACTTTGTTTAAATTATAAAAAATACTAAAAAAATAATTAAAATAATTTCCCTAATCTCATTATTTAACTCACAATAATTCAACATATTTCTTATAAACATAAGGAAATCTGATGAGAATTTATTTTTGAATTTATTATATATAAAATATATTTAGTATCCAAAACCATTTGCAATTTTAAATAAGAATATATAGTATCCAAAACCATTTGCGAGCAGGCACCTTCACCTAGTTAGCGAGCAATAAAAAGCGAGCTGGGTATGAAGGTCTTTCTGTAGGGACTGGGATTCGTTGCCTTCTCGTGTAACCAGTTTAGTCTTCCTTAGCTCGACCATATTACTGCATCATATAGAGAAAGTTTTAGGCAGTCTTAACCAAACCCATTTTGTTTCCAGGAGATCAGAGGGACTCGCTTCGGAGACCCGCCGTGCTAAAATTATGTGCAGTAGCAGGGCTAAGCGATCGATCAGCCAGGGTCTATTTTGGTGTTCAGAAATGTTTTGACAAAACAGAGTTAACTTAGAGTGATAAGTCCCTGATTAGGGTTTGGATTACATACCTTAACTTGAGGAATCAGTTTATTTGACATTATAGTGTCAACTTTTATTCTCACCAAGTAACAGATTATAATCAAGCATCAAAAAATTGGTAGTTATGGATGTATGAGCTTAAAAGTTAGGATAAGCCTGATCAACGCATCATCATTTTTGTGGAGATTTTAACTCAAAATGCGAATACTTTCACATGTCAGATCATGCGTTAATAAGCTCAGAAGTAGCATTTAAATAACTAGCAACAAGAAGATTTATTAGATCATGCTAAAAGTTGATTGGTTTTGTGGCATGTAGTTTTTCTTGACGATTTATGAATTTTTATTCTAATCAAAATTTTTAATTCATTATTTATTATCTATTGAGACATCAACATTAAATTCATAATAATGAATGAAAAAAAAAGGAAATAGAATATGACCTTTGCTTTGGTTAAACAAGAATTTTCTTTGATTTTGCTAACTTCTGTTATTTAAAAATTTAAATTTCTAAAATTAAATAATTATGCTCTTTTTTCAATCCATTTTTAGAAATTAAATTTTTACATATAATTTTAGCTTTCATATATTTTTCTTTCTCTAATTTCAATGTTGATGAATTTAATTTTTCATCCATCAGCTTCCTTAAGGATTTATCAATTTTTACATCTTCGAAAATTTTCTTAATTTTCAACATTTAAAATTTGGAAGGAGAAACCTCAATGAATAATTTTCCTAATTCCTTCCCAATCAACTCGATTTCTTTTCCTTCATCTTCAATCAGTTTTTGATTTATAGTCTATTTAAATAGTAGGGATTTTATTATTCCTTTTTACTTTGATAACCTAAATTCAAAGTCTATATCTGTGATTTCCAAATTTTATAATTCAGTAAGTAAAACGTTTAAATTAACTTTATTTCTCATATTTCTTTTTGGAAAATCTTCAATTACACTGAGCAAAAACTCATCAAGATTTATAAATTCTGACAACTTCCTCAATTCCTCTTGTTTGGCTTTTTCTAATATCATTAAAAAAGACTTCTTCGAAGCAGCCAATTTTAATTTTAGCTTCAGTGTTTTCTACATTAAGTTTTCTAGAAATTTAAGTAAATGCTTATCTGCAAAGGCTTACTTAATTTTTTTAAGGAAATGCCTCAATTTAATACATTATGATCATTACTTCCTTAATGCGTAAATTGAACTCTGAAAAAGTGTCTTAAATTTCATTACACTTGCTTTCATAATATTCGCATAGATTATTTAATAAATTCTAATAATATTGCAATAAGTTATTTTGAAGCAAATTTATTTTACAAATTGTAAATTTCTTTCTGATAAATCTCTATCAACTTTTAAACTTCCCCCAAAATTTTGCTTTTATTTGAAGGATACTCAAGAAATGATAATTTATATTTTGAAATCAATAACTTTTAACTCTTCAAAAATTAAATTTCTCCAATCCTAAATATCATCATTTTCATCATTAACATTTTGATGTCTTTCATCTTCAAGAATATCCCATTCTATAATCTCCTTTATACTCAAAGTTTATTAAATTTCTCAAAATAATTATTTTTATTTCTCTATTTCATTTTACCTTAATTAAGACTCGTAATTTTTATGATATCCTATAGATTTTAGAAATACTCTACTAATTTTTATATAATTTTTTTTATTCTTTGTTATGAAATTTTTAATGTTGTACTATCATTATATTGCTTTTCTTTCAAATTGTTCAAAATTTTTAGTACTTCTTCTAATTTCTCATCATTTTATTTTGTTAAAGTAAGTAACTTATTGGAAATCATAAACCTTAGAAACCTGTTGATATTATTAATTGCAAATTTAATTTCATTTAACTATTTTAAATATGATCCAAATGTATATTGATTATTTTAATATTGTTCGTTTATGAGTAATCTTTAAGTAATAAGAAGATTTCCCATTCTTTGAAACAGGTTTCTAATATTTTTCTATTAATTTAACTTAATTAATTATTTTAATGCTAATTAAGTTAGATGACTGCTTAATCATATTATAATTCATTTAAATAATTATCCTTTTCTCTAATATTCTTTCCAAATTTAATCTGCCTTTAATCCAAATTTGAAAGTATCTATCAACTGAGATAATTTCCTTTTTGTTAATAGAGGATTATATTATAAGATTTTTCCAATCATTTACACCCAAAAATAATGATATATCCATAAATTTGAATTTTTAAAATTTATCATGTATTTCTTCAACTTGTATAAGTATTTCGTCTAGATTTTACAATTTGTCGTTCTTAAAATAACTTATTATCTCCCATTGCAAAAATATCTATTTAAAAATAAACTTCAAATTATTTTCTATTGTGGCTTACAAAATGCAATTTGTATAGATGACATGCTCCCTCGAACAATGATTCAAGCAATTCTTCATTTGGTTTCATTTAAATTATCAAACCAATAATACCACTTAAATCCTTTTAAGATTTCTTCCCTTTCATTACTATTATTAGGTGCGACCTCGAAAGAATATTTTGTTAAATATAAGATAGAGTTCCATTTAGTTTTTAATCAAATCATTATTCTCTATTTCCATATGTTTTCTTAGTTCATCAGAGATGAAATATAAAGGTCTTAATTATCCGACTATGAGATTCCTGATTATATTGGGTTTGTTAATACACAACCACCTCCGCGCAAATGGATTATTTTTAAGACATTTTAGACAATTTAATTTTAAATAATAAATCCAAGTTGTATTAAATTTATTAATAAACTTAAAGTTACTTAAAATATAATATAATTATTTTTTTTGACCAAATTTTTATCTTATTGCCTTCTTTTAACTATTTTTATAAATAATGTTATTTCTTATTTTATTTTATTTTCATCTCTGTTTACCTGTTTATTGCTATTAAATCATTATTTCAAAAAGTCTTCCTATTGATAAGATTTTCTCCTCTTTGTTTCATCATCTAAGGAAAGAGGAAAGGCCGTTTACTTTTTGGTTGGATGATTAAATAACATTTTTTTTTCATTTAACCTTGATAGTTTGGAAGATTAATCTGCAAAAAAATAAGTAATAAATTCAAATATGTTTATGAAAATTCAAAACTTGAAAAGCTCTTCTTAATTAATTAAATTAATATGAGTGAAGTATTATGTGTAAGGAATGTTTTTTAATTATGCAATGCTATAGCGCTCTGATTGATCTTTTAGGGGTGGTTATTTTCATATGAAATTGGTTGAATATTAAATTATACTTTTATTCGATTTTATTTAGATGGTGATAACTTCATCATTACAAAATCAACTTCTAAGTATTGAATATTAGAAAATAGATTAATAAATATAATTAAAATTCTCACGGAAAATATATATTATATTGTTAGAGTTTTTGTAAGTGTAAAAGTGTGATATGTAAAAGGGTATTTGATAATTATTTTTGATATTTGCTCTTAGGCTTTAAACTTAGGATCTATTGAACTAAAAAAAATCATAACAAACAAATATAAAAATGTTTCACTATCTAACATATATATCAATATTAAATTATATTATACATCGTTAGAATTTAATGATATTTAACCACTTTTAACATTCATTTTATTACAATGCACAATGTAATTAATTAATTTATTATTAAATAAATAATAGATTTTAATTTCTATGATCACATTAAAAGAAATTGATTACATTTCATGAATATAGTGAAGATGAAAAAATAAGGATCAAGAAGAATTTTCTTTAACTATTTTTGGTGACTAGAGGAAATCAAGAAACCTGAAGAAAAATAATTGAAGATATTTTTGAGATCATAAGGCAGGATAATAGATTGTATAATTAATTCACACTGATCAATATAAAGGAATCATTATCGAACATATTAGCTGAAATTCAAAACCAGCTAATTTAAATATCGAAGTACTTCTAACAAATAAAATTTTTTTATAACTGTAAAGAAAATTTATGTCAAATATCTTTAGCAAATTCTACTTATGTAGAACGAAGGAAATTAATGAAACAGTCTTAATTTATTGCTAGTATTCTAATTGGAAAGATGATTATTACAATCATTATCTCACAAAGCATAGAAAGCACAATTTGAATTAAAGAGTGCTTAAATTAGTTTTTACAGTTTTCTGAGTTCCATGAGTAATGTATTTTAAGGGTTTTTGTACAAAACAAGAAATATTGATAACTAAATTTTCAAGAATCATTATTCTTATAGATTAAAAACAGTGCATCAATTACCCCTCCTTAATAAGCAATTAATCAAAACAATCGTCAGTTATTATTTTCAATGAGGAATATAATTAATGTTTAATAAGGTTATTTTATTAAATTCTGCGATTAACATTGATAATCAGATTAGTCAATCATGATCAAATAAATGTTATCTTTATTTATTTAATGAATAAGTATGTTATTTTTATATTTAAATCTCCCGTAACATTGGCTGGTGACCCAATAAATGGTTAGTGTTGCATAAGAATAACTCAGGAGCTTCCAAAATGTGTTATAAACCTATCATTTTATGCTAAGCAATACTCAAAGTTAATTTAGAAAAGAAAGGTATGCTAAATAAATGACAAATTGAGCTTCCTAATGTAAATCCCAATTCGATACAAGATAAATAAGTAGAGAAAATTGAAAGAATTTAAGTCTCTATGGATTCACCACAAAAAAACCAAAAATAAAAAAAATACGAACTTAATGGAAATGTGATTCATAAAATTATAAGATAATATGGAGTACAAAGAGTCTTGGTGAGTTCCTTAGAGTTATTTAAGGGATAAGTAAATATAGGAGATTATAAATTTTTCTTTTCAATTCCAACTAACGAGAGCATGTAATCAAGTTTCTTCTACACAAGTTAAGATGGTAATCATTTTAAAATACGAAATAAGGATTAAAATCTGGAAAATGCAGCTATAAAATTACACTTCAGATTCAAAATCCTGATGAGAGTCTCATTATTCTAAAGGAAAGTGCAGAAGTAAATATTAATGCAAGAGTGTAATCTAGTATTGAAATTCAAAGATAAAGTGATGCCAATATTATATCATATTTTTGCTTGAGTGGAGGGATAGTCGATTTAAAAATATAATTAAATAAGTCTAATTTTACGCCAGGAGAGCTAGCAATAATTTAATATCATCTTGACAATACATTTTCTTCAAAACCTGTAACAAGGGTTGAAATAAGACTGATTAACAAATTAATTTTCATTGATGATGATTAAATAGACAGAGTAATTTTGAACTAAGTAGTTTTCTCTAAAATCCTTCCAGGGGCAAATTAAGGAGAAAGATTAGAAGCTTAAATTGCAAAGTTTGAAATTCCAAAAAATTTAAAAGCATCTGTAAAAAATTAAACGATTTTAAATTAATATTTGCTGCAAATAGAGGCTATTATAGTATTTAATTCAAGAATATAAATTAGGACCAACTTTTCATTAAATTGTCAAATCCAATCCTTTGCCAAATACCCATCAACATTTAAGAATCTCGGTTTTAATAAGTTGTTAATCTAGATGGTTGGAATTTTGTTCCAATTTTAAATGCAAGTGTTAATGCATTTTCTACTCTAACTGTCCAGTAATCGTTTATTCCAACATGAATAATTTATTAAATTCATATAAATAATTGGACAAAATTAAATTACTATATGTTGATAATCATCATCGTAGGCTCATTATTTGAGACAATTGTGTTGACTATAATTTTATGGAACCATTCTCTTGGAATAACTTAAGATAAAGTAAGTTTAATCAGAGAAATTATAGAAAATATTTAAACTTCAGTAATAAGCAATGATGAAGGACAAAAATGTACCTACTTATACTATCAATAATAGTTATTATTCGATTATCTAAAAAAATAAAAATGACTTTCTTTAAATGGTGGATTCACTTGCCAAAGGTTAAAGCAAAATTGTTTCATCTAACACTATTTCCTAATTATTTAGAAAAATTATGAAATTGCACCTTTTTAACGATATCAATTTTTCACTTTGTTGGATTCGAAGAGTACCTAATTATTAAATTAAAGATTTAGATTTCTTGATGTATTTATCAAAGTGATGTAGCTGAAAATTCATTAGTATACCTTGCATAACAATTCAAAATCTTAAATTGCCATAAGGATATATCTCAAGTTTGACATTTATATTAGGAAAATAATAGCAAATAAACAAGTTAGTTATATTTAAATATTTAGCAGATGTTCAAACTGAAATAACTTTCAACAAAATTCTTCTTAATAAATGTCTTAATTTATATGATTTAGTAATATTTACATTGAGTTTTCAAAGTAGGTGAAGTTCAAAATACTTATATTTTAAAATATAATAGCCAACATTTCTAGTCATTCCTGTTAAAATTCTTCATAATCTTAAATACCTATGTCTTTTTTTACAATTAATATTTTCACTCAACCAAATCACCAATTACATTTATTTTTTAATTAGGGACTTCCATTTAAGCCTTAACTTTAATTGAAAAAAACTAAATTATTGAATATCAATCTTTATTTCTACTTAAGATAAAATTATTAAAAAATAATAAAAATTAATATAAATATTACATCATCTATTTTGAATATTCATAAACCAAAAAGGATATAATAAGATTTCAAAATTAAAGCATATTGTGTTTGTAAAATTATTTCTCTATTTTTCAAGTTAATTTTAATATTATGATATAAGCATTAAATATTTTATAAACACTAATAATTTATGTATATAGAATAAATTTTAATGAAATTTTAATATTTTTATAAATTTTTGGCTTTAAAATAACATATTAAAGTATGAAAAAGCGATTATCAAAAGAACTTCAATCAAAAATTAGTTTAAATTATTTTTATACTGGAAAATAATCTATAAATTAGAAAAGATCATATTATTGGATAGTAAAATGTGAAATGACATTTAATTCCATAAACTAATAGTTTGTTCCTTTTTAAAAATGAATTAGAGAATACTAAATTTAATAAAGGGATTTATTTGAATTTCAAAATATCTTTATAAATTTTACCATTCACCACATTCAGTTTAAGCCTTTAGCAATTCTATTTATCATAAAATCTACAATAGGTTTCTTCTTTCCTTATATCTTATATGATTATAGTTTTCAATTCGAATATTGCTGCTTATATTAAAGTCATTGAATCGGGTTAGGTAATTAAAAAAATAGATATATTATTTCTAATGAAAGATCATAGCAATAAAATATAAACAATTATTTTTGCTTGAGTCATAGAATTTTCAAAAAAGTTTATACATGTATAATATCATTCTCAGATTGCTTAAGAATTTAGAAAATTTAAGTGATTACTCACTTTGAAATATTATTAAAGACGCTGAACCTTTCTCTTTTATAAAATGAAACAACAAAACATGACTGAAATTCAAACACTATGATTCAATTTAAATCATCAGAATGAAAGTAAAAAAAAAGAGTTGTTTCCTAAAATGATGAGGAAAGCTTACAAGATCTTTTGAGATTGCTACTGCTTAAAATTTCAAAAAATCTTGAACCTAATTATTCCTTAAGAAAAAAGTACACCTTTAAATCGTCATCAGGTAAGAAAAAATAGGTTTTTTAATAAATCATCTGTTCCATATAAATTATTATAAACTAAGACTTTTTCTAATATTAAACAAGAATCAAATATCAAAACTGTTATATCTTATAAATATACTATCATCCTTTAGATTTTAATTGTGTATCTAATAATCAAAGGGTACTTGCGGACTTAAAAGAAAGGAATAAAAAATTGAAATTAATAAGAACAATCAGGTTATTTAGCTATTGATTCATATAAATAATTGATAGAAAATTATTAAGACTTAAAAAATATTTATTTTTCTATTAATTTGTTATTAACATGAATAATCTAGTGATTTCTTTTTAGCAATAATACAGGTTATTATTTTGCATTTATTCAATATTATCTAATAAAATGACTTGAATTAAAAGCAAGATTAGACATCAAATCGCTTCAATATATTCTACACAATTTCTAATACTCTTTCCTTTTTCATGATACATGATTATTAAAATATAATTCGGATTTGTTCTATTGGTTTCAATTTTATTGTTTACATTCCTTAATGATAAATTATAAAATTCATTTGATATTATTTAATTATTGATTGATCGAAAATTAGATTCCGACCTTAGATAATATTAATTATTTAATTAAATTTCAGATATGGTCATTTACAATAAAATAGTTTCTGAATGTTATTTTAGAAATGATGCAATGACCAATAATTTTTTCCATTAAATAAAGTGGTTATCATTCCTACATGATAATAAACAAATAACAAAATGATTGTATTTTGCAATCCTTAATTTTTTGAATTTATTATTTGAAGAATTAAAACAAATGGGTTTAAGCCTATTTTTTAATAATAAATTAAAGAATATTGCCAGAAATCCTAAATAAAGTTCCAGAAGGATTAATAACAATTTGATTTTCTTATTATTAAAATTAATGAAAGACTAAGATAAATATTTTTGAGACAACGACCTTTTAAAAAAGAGATTCCAAAATGCAAAATAAGATTTATACAGTGAATTTTATATGAAGAATCACATTTGTTATTTAAGAGAGAATTAGCAATGAAAATATTGAAAAAATAAAGAATGATAAAAAAAAAGTTATAATCCATTAATAAATATGCAAATTCATTTGAAATTTCTTAATTGATGAAAAGAAGTTTCTTATCTTTGATAAATTTTCATGTTATTCTACTTTTATATCAATCAGAATACTTTACTTTTCATTAAATTTATAAACAGAAATTGCTCAACTGAATGATTATCATCTAAGATGATAAAATACTCAGAAATTATTATTTATAAATTTTATGGCATTTTTATTTGAAGAAGATCGTGGGTTAACATAAATCAAGGATCCTTATCCTCACTTAGGACCAGGAGTCTACTAATAACCCGAAGCTCATCCAAGAGTAGCATATGCTCCTTTTCTTTCAACTGGGAAAAGGCAAACGGAACTTACAAATAAATTGAAGATTCTGAATCCAGGACCAGGTTAATATGAAGTATCATAAAACATGGGAGATTCTGGGGTTTAGGCATATATGAATAAAAGCACAATCATAGTAAAAGTTTAAGGGAATGGAAGCAGTGCTTTTAAAAGTGGGATTGGAAGGTTTTAGGAAGATAAAAAAGTTAAAGAAGTATTGTCTAGTTGTTATATTAGATACCTGGGCCTGGTTATTATGAAATCTAATAAGTCAACACACAATAAAAGCAGCCGTTGTTTTTGAATTAAAAGATAGATGATATTAGAAGCTAAAACCTTAGAAGAAGAATAAATTCAATTCCTGAACCAAAAGGTTAAATAGGAATGATTTATGAAGACATAGAAACTTTAGCTGAGCATCAAAAGGTTATGAAAGAGGAAAAGCAATAAAAAGTAGTATGTCCAACAACCTATGATGTTTTATAACAAAAACAATACAGAGGATTATCTTGGGATAAGAGTACTAGGCCAAGATTTGATTAAGAGTAAACAAACGAAATTGGCCCAGGGAAATATAATATTATTGAGGAGAAAAAAAAAAGAAACGGATCTCCTGCTTTCCTTTCTGAATCTGTTAGATCTTATTATGATTAATTGATTTACAAGACTAATAGGGAGATTAATGCAGGATTAAGAAAGCAAATAAATTACAAAGACTAATATTCACCAGGACCTGGATAATATAATGAAAATAGAGTAGCAATTAAAATTCAATAAAAAGCAAAGGAGTTTCAGTTCTTTGGATCCTCTTTGGAGAGATTTAAATTAGTTTAGGATAGTAGTGTAGGTCCTGGAGACTATAGGGTTTTAGATTCATCTTTTGATTAACAAATTCGGAAAAAGAACTATACTAATGCAACATTTCTAAGTACATCCATAAAAGGATAACCAATGATATTGGAAGAGCAACAACCTGGACCTGGTGCTTATGAAATTTAAAGAGACTTATATACAGACTTAGTTAGAAAGTAAGATAGAGGCCTTAATGGATATTTTGGAGGAAAAGAAAGACGATTCCAAGAAAAAATCTCGGTTTGTCAAGCAGGACCTGGAAGCTATGATGTTACAAAAGGTGAAAAGAAAAGGGCTGTTAGCTCATGTTTTAAGTCATCATCAAAAAGAGATTATGTAAATAAAAGTTTTGGGCCAGATATTGGACAATATAGATTAGATTAAGATAGCATTGGAAATAGAGTATAAAAATAAATGAAGTTTATCCAAAATTTATAAAAAATAGATGTACTAAAACCAGGGTTTTAATGCGGAGAACAAAGATTTAAAGAGAATGCAGATATTTAAAGTGTTCCAACCAGTTATAACTTCTAGGCTCCTCCTGCAAGTTAAAAATAAATTACTGCTCCATTTAAGTCACAATAACCCAGGCTTGCATATATTGGTAGATAATTTACTCCAGGAGTTGGAAAATATTAAGTAGAGGCCAACAATTGGAAAATTAATAGCTTTAACACTCATTATAATAAGGTCTTACAAGAATCTTGATTTTCTATTAACACTATGTATCATCTTTATTAAATATTTTAAATATGCATAAATATTTCATTTTTTAGTTCTTTTGTAAATTAATAATTCTTTATCATTTTATGGTTATTTAAATGTAAGTAATTCGTTTATGGAAATAGATATTGCATTATCATTAGAGATTTACACCCAATTATTATTTTTGCATAACGTTATTGAGTATGTAGGTTATCCATCTAAACCATCGCTACAATGAACAATTGATATCAACGAATACTCAAAATCTTAGGAATTTTAATTTAAACAACTTGATGGTAACTTAAATGATATTTTAACGTCTGCCTTTTATAAGGATAATTCACAAACATTAAGTATTAAGTATTATGGAAAAATCAAGAAATTAAAATCTCCTTCATTATTATCAATTACATTTTCTTATCCTTCAAATTTAATTAACCCTTGCAAATATGTAAAAAATTCAATTCCTGGCTATATTATGGCGTCAAAATATCGAATGTGTTTTATACTATTAATTAATGGTACCTCATTTTATTGAACTAATAAAATTAGAATTAATTTTACTTTCTAAATCCATTGGAAAAACTCTTTATAAAAAGAAAAATTGATCATATATAGGAGAATCTTAGGTTTGTATAATTGATGCTATTTAAGATTTTTAATCATCCTGTTTTATTATTGCTTTTGAGAGATGATCGATTATCTAAAATAAGAAATCATTGGCTCTATTATCATTTTATAATTCAATTCTTAACAATTCTTACAATTAAATCGCTGTTTATGGAGAAAATTGCTCTGCTTCTTTTCGAATATATGTGATGAACTTGAGAATTATTGAACTTACTTTATCTGTAACAGTTAATACAGCTGAAAAAGGTGTTATTGCTTCTAATAAATGCATAACAGCATTAAAGTGAGATTAAACTCCTTTGATTTCTGGCAGAATCCGGATTCCAAAAGGTTCTAATGTTTTTTGAATTTATTTTTGATTCTATTATTTTAGTTACTCAATGCGTTTTTATAGGATTTTATTTTCATCATTCGCCTTTTGCAATTAAGTTGATTACTATTTAATTTTAGTATCCAATTATCCAATTTAATTTTCTAAGTCATTTTATTTACCTAAATTTAATTGCTAATCAATATAATTTGATTATATACGTCTTGAAGTTATGAAATATATTCTTCTAAAGATCTATTTTCTGTTTGCAATTTCTAGACTTCCTCTCTCTTCTTTTCTAACTCTCTTGTATCTTAAATTAGAAAATCCTTGCCTTTCAATTATTCTTTTAAATTTTAAACTTCTTGCATTAATTCTATGTTCATGCTTTTTAATCTCATATTTTCTTCTTCTAGTTGCTTAACATCAAAAGGTTTATTTTGTATTTAATTTTTTTTTACATTTTGGATCATTTCTGAGTGTCTCTTTTAGTCTTCTTAACGCTTTTCTTCTAATCGTTAAACTTCCTTTTATAATTTTTTGATCGTTTAATTTTTATTTTTTAACTCCTCAGCGGCTCTCTAAAAATGTTAGGTATCTATTCTTTCTTTTTGCTGTTTCCTTTACATACAATCTAATTGCATCTTAAGCATGTTAACTTCATTTTTAAGTTACATGTTTTCTGATCTGTAATCACTACTCTAATAATTTTCAATTTCATTGTATTCAGAAATAATCTCTTTTAATTATTACTATGCCCATTGCAAATTTTGAGGAGTAGAATTCTTCTTCTTTTTAAAATTATGCCAAAGTTCTTATAGTCGATCAAAGTACAATTATATATTAGGACTTTCTTAATCCCATGTCTCCATATTTTTGAAATATGTTTTAAGTTCTGAAATTTAATAAAGTTATTACCTACTAAACAAGATTCAATCTATGGCTCAAATTGACTATGCGGGTTCGAAAAGAAACTCTGCATTTTCATCAAACACTCATATATTTACTCCATTATAATATTAATTCAAAAATAAAATAATCAAATACGTTTAAAAATGCTTATAAATATTGAGGAATAAAATATGAAATGATATTATGGTAGATTAAGTAGCGAGTCAATTATGTAATAGTATAAGTAAATAAATTAAGCATCATTGGGTAACTCTTAATTTATCAGTATGATTCAAAATAAAATTTAATAATATAAAAATGAATTTCCAAGAAATTTTAATCATTCTGTTAACGAACAAAGAGGGGAAGGAATTTAAGAATTCAAAAGAAATAAATAGTTATAATAAAAGACTTTGAATCATTATTATAGATAATAATTTATAGATTTCAAATATTTTAATTTTTTGGTAAAATTTAATAAAACAAGCATCAATCAGATTTCATAATTACAAATTTTATGATATTATTACACACTATCAATTATATAAGTATTATTACTGTTATAATGTTGGTGATCTTATTTCCTTTTCGTAATTATTTCATTAAGAGTGTATAAATAATATTAAAAGAAAATATTCAATAAGATCTTTTATAACATAGTTATTGATTTGTGACGGATTATTATTATGAAGATACAAATAAAATTTGATAAGGAAATTCGTTTCCTATCTTTTATTAATATAAATAAAAAAATGCTACAGAAATGCAAAGATGGATTTCGATAAATAGATATATTCGGCTAATCTATAAATCTTAGTTTTCGTTAAGAAGAACAATACAAAACAAGTATGGGAGGTTTTTTGTCGATTTGTATCATCGGGACAATTATAAGCTTTTTCTATTCGAACATTATCAATTTTTTTGCAAGATTGAATGTGACTTCTACTCAAGAATTTACGTTCGCAGATGATCCTGATATTCTAATTTTGAATAATGAACACTTCATGTTTGCAGTTCAGATTGAACAAGATAATTTTACAACGAACCCTTTTTTTAATATCACTGTTGAACAGCGTCACTATAATCGTTTTCCAAATGGAACTTAATATCGCTACCCAAATAAATATATTGATCTCGTGCCCTGCACCATTTAACATTTTTAGCCCTTATTCGAAAAGTACAGTGTGGATTTTAGAGAATAATTTGAACAGCAAAATTTATAAAACTTCTTATGTCCCAATCTCAATTTTGTTCATAGTCTCAATATGACTGTTGGAGGTGTATGGGCGAGCGCGGACTACTACTTTTTGAAGTTTTCGGTAACTAATTGTAAGGATTCCTCAACAAGTAATTTTACATGGAAGCCTACCTGTAAAACTTCAGATTAGATTTAGGCAACTTTGAATGCATAAGGAAGCTTTCGATTTTAAGTTTATACTACAAATTTTGTAAATAAAATCATTATTTTAATAGCTTATTAATCCAAACAGACCTGAAAATTTTGTATAACCTTACTTAGCTGTTGACCAATTTTATACTTTTGTTCCAGATAAAATGTTTGTCTAATCAGATATCTTTTTCAGAACAAAGAAGGTTACAACTGATCAAGGGATCCTAATGTATCCTGATAAATAGAATGAAACCTTTGCTTTTCGAGATTATGGAGATCAAAGAGAACAATTTGAAATTTCAAGAATAACTCCTAACTATTATGGAGCATTTTATTTCTAAAGAAGTCCATATTCTTATCAAATCAATAGAAAGTTCTTAAGGCTTGATGAATTACTAAGTTATTTAGGAGGATTCACTTAATTTATGATTGTAGTTGTGGGTGTAATAGTAAGATTCTATAATCGTTAACATCTAATTATATCTATTGCTAATGACTTATATGAGTATGATATGAGTTAAGGCAGGCAGAATACTCAAATGCATTTAAAAAACTTATTGGATCGGACCTAGAGAGGCAAAGAGATGTTGAAGAGCAAAATGTCGAAGAAAATTGAAACTATTCCATAAATTCAAACTATGTCAGCTTTTTAAAATAAACCTGATATGTTATAGAAAAGAAAATTAAATATTGAAAAAAAGCAATCAATCGAAATATTTTAACCAACTCAATAAGCATTGCAATCCAGATTATCGGCTATGAAGGCGAAAACATTATAATATTTTGATGATTTCAAAGAATTTTTGAAGAAGAAACATATTATAGGACTAGGATTTAGAGTTATTTTAAGTTCCATAATTCCTATTGAATCCTTAAAAGATGATGATTGCATTGTTTTGGAAAAAGCTATGTAAAGAATATATTAATTTAAGTGATTAAGTAAATAAAGAGTTAGATATCGAATATATAATCAAACAACTCCATGAATTAACCAAATTAAAGAAGGTGTTATTTACTTCTGAATAGGTAACACTGTTTAATTTTAGTCGCAAACCCAAAATATCATTGATTTAAGATAAAAACAATAGAAGATCAACTAGGTAAGACTATGAATTTATCTATTTAGATGTATTATTGACGGAGTTACAACAGCAGAGGATTATGGAATGATGAAACAATTTACTGATCTTGTTAATTCGTATGACAAAATTACTGGATCAGAATTAGAAAATACAACTTAAGAATAAAGTCGATTCAATCAAAGATTAATTATTTTATTAGGCCCTGAGCTGATGAAAGTACTAGAAAAAGAATTAAGTGCCTAATAATAATAATAGATGGAATCTGAAAACAATGATCCAAAAGAAGAGGAGAACTTGTTTAGCGACAGAGAAATTTAAATACATCAACGTAATTGAAAAAGAATTCATAATATTAATATAATATTTAGTTATTTTTAATAAACTTCTTTTTCATAGGTTTGAGTGGATTTCATCAATTAGAACTTCCACGTATTATTTTTATATAAGTTTCGATTATTAAGATAGACTACTCAGGATCAGGACTATTTAGATTTATACTTGTGTAGGAGATACTTAATAATATTTATCTATTTAAGAGTATCTTAAAAATTAGCATCTTAATTCTTAAATTATTCATAATGAATAAATCAATAATAGCTTGATTTTTTGAACAATTCTAGCTAATAGTTTGAATAGCTTATACATTAAATTATTTATATTAATTATGAATAATGAATTTTGAAATTGTTTAATTTTATTTAGAAATATTCATAAAATATTATGTTTGAAGAAATTAAAGTGTGTGACATTATACAAGACGAAATTCAGCATTCGGAAATTACGCTCTCAGGAAGCCCTTCAAATGATTTTTTTGAATGCACAGATTATTAGACATCTTTAGAAATTGATTAAATTGCTTATATCATGTATTTACTTAATGTTATTTGTTTTAGAAAATTAGCCAATAGATAGAAGGTGTCTATTAACATATATAATATGTCAGAGATCTACAAACGACAAATTTCATATACTAGTGAGTATCTAAACTTTTCATCCCCTATTACATAAAATGGATGCACATTAATAAAGAATAATAATACACCTTACTTATTGGTTGTTACACAAGTTGGACACATCTACTATAAAAACTTAATAACTAAAACTTCAACCTTATTAAAGAATTTAATGATTGAAAATATAAAAATAAAATGCTTTGTCTAATCGATGATTCTTAAAGACTAATTTCAGTTTTATTTGATGACTGATGCAGATCTTTTGTATCATGTAACATTAGATGTAGTTGGAGGGGAATTTTTTAAAAATAAGTATCAAATAAGTTTTGGTACTAAATTTTTTAGTAAATATTTTAATAGAACTGTTTAAGATTGGAATGTTGCTTTTCAATTAAATGATAATTAAATTTTACATTTTTCATAAAATACTCAATTTAGCTTGTTGGAATATCGAGAACCTGAGTTTTAAACAATTAAACTATAATGTTAGGATAGCATAAAAACTTAGCAAATTCACATAATTTAATAAACTCCAAATGGACAATTATTTGTATGCTATTAATTCAATAATAATCTAAAAATGTGTACTATAAATTAAAACTAATTAATTGTTAATTATGTAGTAGATTTATCAAAAATTGAACTAAATAACCCTTATCATTTAAGTAGTACATAAGATCAAGTTATTTTGATTTAGGAATTTAAGATTTATTAATTAGATTAAGCCAAAAGGAATTTGGAATTAATTAATGAAAATCAATATTCAGTTATTGGATATCTGAGTTAAGACACTTTATTATTATTTTATAAAACTTAATTAACATTTATCTAGTTAATTTCAGATCAGATTAGTAAAAAATAGAATTAATTAAGAAGTGAAGTAGCAAGGTTTAAAAATAATCTAGGAAAAGAATAAAATTTAATAGATGATGAAATAATTGTTTAAAAGATTGCATTTCATCCAACATCTCAAAATGTTCTTAATCAATTCTAATAATTGATAAAAATAATGCATAAAAATTTGGATTAAAAAAAGGTGATCTCTATTATGAAATAATAACATAACAATTTTTTGCCTGACTTATTTATTGAGAATCTGATGGATGAAGTAGAAGATATTTATATTTTTATTAAATCTAGTTTTAAGAGTTAAATACTAGATCCTATTGAAATTTAAGCCGAATTAACTAATTAATTAGAAATTGTGAATTTCAATCTAGCGGAGTTTTTTTTTAGTAATTGTAGAATAAACAATCCGAATACATAAGCAGAAAGTAATTCTAATATATTTCCAATTGTTAAATCTTTAGTAATTTATACTTTAAGAGATTATTATTAAATGCAGTTAGAAGTCATTTTAGGATTTGGGGTTTTACAAAGTCTATATTAGTAGCCATTATCACCTGATATCAATTTTAAGGTATTTTATGAAACAATGTGTTTACTTTCACTAGTTGAAGATAAAAGATTGATACACATCCAACAAATTTTATAAAATCAATTTCAACACGTAAAATGTTTAATTAATTTTAAAAATTTGAATTCTATCTCATAGGATTTGAAACTTTACATCAATATAATATATAATGAAATTTTCTAGTGTTTAGTCATCCCTGATGAATACTTTTGTGAATAATTTGTTAAAAATCAGATAATATTCCATTCACATCACATAAATTCTAAAGGCATCATTAGACATTGTAGAATAGCTTAATAAACAAACTAGATTCCAACTGATGTAATTAAATTGATAAAGGAAAACTAAAATCTGAATTAGGAATTAAAATTAAAAATTAGTTTTACAATTTAAAAGCAAAACCCAAAATAAAACGAGGACTAAAATATAGTTTTAGATCGTTTGTTATATTATGCAAATTAATTGAAGCAACATCATTTATTATTTCAAATCATTAATCTAAATGACCAATTATAAATTAAAGATACTTTGAAATTAATAGTCGATAATTTATTATCATTCAAATTAAATGTGAGAACCACAGATAAGATGGGAGAATACTTACTCTAATTTTCAAGAGAAAAATATAATAATCTATAAAACAAGAACAAAATATTGTCTTACTTTAGTTACTTGATAAGAATAGAATCAAAAGCAAAAGTAATTTACTGATTATTATTTTAGGCCTACACTTTATTATTTGAGTATATTGTTAATTTAGAATCTTTGTTATTTAATCTATAATAAAAGGACTTAGTTTGGGTGATTAGAACACAATTAGATTGCATAAATTTGTTGCTAAATCAAATGTAACTGCACAGTAGACATGACAGGAAACCCTATGCTTAATAAATTGTATGTAAAATAAAGGATGAAATTTATCGATAATTCTTAAATCCAAGTACATTAGAAGAATTGAGAGAATTTGAATAATATTCTTAAAGAAATATTAGAGTGATTAATATTGAATAAATTGAACTGTTCAATTAATACAAAAAGATCCAATGCTTTGTGAGTATGAATTATAGTCCTTAGGCAAAATTGTAAAAGGTAGTAGAAGAATTGATCTTAAATAATAATATTGATTTGATCATTAATTTGGGAAGGTTGAGAATAGATCCTAATTATGAGAGGAATGTGGCGTTTTGTTATTATTGGAATGAAGACTCAAGAGAGCAGTTGATTTAAGGATTGACAAGGATAATGAAGGAGCGAGAGTTGTCAATAGTGTTGGCTTAGATTTGTGTTTATTGTAATTTGAAAACCATTCATTGCCAAGAATTGTATTGCAAAGCACCTTGTTAGAATTCCTTTTTATAGTATCTCATAAGTGTTGATAAAGAATAAATTGTTTAAGAGATTATTTGATATTTTTATATATTATAAATTTAATTATCAGAATGCTCGAAAATAATAAGAATGCATTAATGAGTTGTAGTGCATTTAAAGAGAGTGGTGTGTTGAAGGGATGGGGAGAAAGGCTTTTAATATATGATCTGATATAATAGGTAAGGGCTTGATATATAAAGAGATACTCAGGTATATTGACGTAAAGGGTTAAACATAAAAGCAGTTGTTGATTCAAAATTATATTATCCATCCAGTTGCATTTCATCAAGGGAAGTGGGCAATAAAGTTCAAAACTCAACAAGAGATAGAACCCAAAGTGGCTAGATTTGGTTGGAATAATCAATCTGAGGCGTTATAATGGTACGACTTTTTTAACGGGAAATACTTGGCTATATAAATAAAAAAGGAGAATTAGGAGAAAAAATTGCAGGAGTGGGATTAATTTATGCCAGAATCCGAAAGAGTGATAAATCAAGGGGTTCCTTCAATGGCCATAAAGCCAAGTTAGGTATCTCGAATGAGATAGATGATACCATTATTGCCTTAATTTTTATAAGTAAATACCGTAATAAAAATAAGAATGACATTGAAATAATCTTAGAGAACACGCATGAAAATTTGCAAGGATTTTCGGATATCCATTCATTTAAAATTCTTTTTTAATCTCAAAACAAATAACTTTACCAAGATCCAAATGATTAATTGCATATGAGATTCTTTTTAAAATCTGAAATGCCTCCAGCAAGGATTTTCGATGTAAATATGATAATTTTCCATATAATAGGAATTGTCAATACACACATTTGTGGACAATTGGAGTCCCTAAGTATCGATCTATTAAATATATCCAACAAAAAAAGATTGTGCAATAATCTTCACAGAATTCAATATGGAGTAAAAGCAATTACATAACAACAAACTCAAATAAAACAAACCTAGAAGTTTAAAGGATATTGAATCTGAAGTCTTTTAAAACGATTCGTTTTCCAAATAACCGAAATCACACTTGTCTAATTAAAATGAAAAAATCAGATTGATTTACACCCAAAAACATTTTCAAATAGATGAAAATGCATATTGTATTATGAAAAAATATATTGGCAATGAGATACATCATAATCAGATAGACAAGGACAAAGTTGAAGGCACAGATGAATACAAAATCACTAGGTCCTGTGTGCTCATCTAGGCTAAATAAGAAGATAAGTTTAAGACCTAAATCATTGAAGACATTTATTTAGAATGCGAAGACAGAGATAAAGGAGAAGAAGTTATGAAAAGGTTTCTCCTCAATTTAGAAAACATAGATAATCAAATACTTGAAGCAGATCATTATATTAAGTAATAAACAGAACATGTACTTATCAAGAATGAAGACGACATTGATAATTTGTAGATTTCCTTTATTCAATTGGTACCTGAAGTGCCAAGAATTACTTCGGAATAGCATCAGCAATAATCTATTCAAGAATATAAAGAAATTCTAGATTTGGTTTCTACGGGATAATTTATATAAAAATCAATCTCAAGACAATTTAATTAAAATATACTTCACGGATTAGACAAATTTTTGGAAACAACTAAGGAAGAAGGTCATTTCTTACTTACTAAATATTATGAGGTAGATCCTAAAAAAGGAGGGTTGATATACACAAATAAGAAATTAATCAGTGATTAAAGAAGCGTATTATTGGATATAATCAAAAGAATGGGATCAAATTTATTGAGTGGAAAATCCTTAATGTCTGTTTCCTTGCCAATTTAAGTATTCGAAGCAAGATCATTTTTGGAGAGGATGGCCAGAGGTCAAGGACATGCTCCTGTTTTTCTTGAAAAAGCTGCTCAAACTACAGATGTTTTAGAATAATTAAAACTCACAGTCTCATTTCATTTGGCAAGTTTCATGATGGGTGTTCAATAAGAAAAACCATTTAACCCAATCATTGGAGAAACCTTTGAGGGTCGCATTAAAGGGTGCCCTATTTATCTAGAGTAAACTTCTCATCATCCTCCCATTTCAAATTATATCATGCATGGAAGAGGGTATAAATTGTTTGGGGCATTCTGTCCCATGGTCAATATGGGAACTAATAGTTTGGCTGGTGAATAATAAGGCCATTCATAAATACATTTCTAAAACACTAATCTCAAATTCTACTATATGGCCTAACCATTTATGCTTTATGGAGTATTATTAGGTTAGAGAAGTGTAAATTGTCATAAAAGAAGTTATTGTTTTTAACCTGACCATTAGTTATTAGTTGAAATCACTTTTAACCCTAAAGATAAAAATGCTGGGTTTTTTAGTTCCTCATCATAAAAGATCGACTAGTTTATTGGGAAAATCTGTAAGGTCACACCAGAATGCATTTAAAAATGTTTAAAAGCTCACAAAACTAATTCAGGCATAAAAATAAAAATTTAACCTTAAGAAATTTTAGACACATATAACATTAATATTAAAGGCAGATGGACATCATTTTTACAATTTGACAATGTTACTTATTGGGATATTGAAATTCATAGGTAGATTGTTTTGATTTAATTTATTTTAGACCTTACATTCTCGAGTTGGAATCAAGTCCCTTACCTTCTGATTGTATCTATAGATTAGATTTACTATATATGAAGATGAAAGATAATTCGAAGGGTTAAGATGTAAAGGAGTAGATGGAAGTGGATCAAAGAAAAGATAAACAACTTAGAGAGAAATTTGGGAATAAGAATAAAAAGAAAAAGAAATCAAGTTGACTTTGAAATAATATTAATAATTTAATTATGGCTCTATATAAACCTACAATAAAATAAATTCATTTTATTCTAGTAATGAAATATCAATTGATTTAAATAATGGAATTTATTCATCAATAAGAGAAGTCAATGTTGAAGGTTTGTTATTTTTATTAATTGCTTTATAATTTAATTAGATAAATTCAATGAAACAATAATTTAATAGAATTTCATTTATTTGTTTTTATTATTAAATATGTACAAGATGAGAGTGAGAGTTCTTCAATCCATTAAGAGATTGTTTATTCCAAAAAAATACTGTTAATAAAACTTCAAAGTTCCACCCTTTACTGCAGGGATAACAGTTTTGTCTACGACTCTTATTTTGCATCTAAAATAAAAATCTGAAAAGAATGAAATACAAAACAATCAATAGAATAATAACCCTCCTGAAAGTTACCCTCCTGAAATACCTAATTCTGAAAATAACCCTTCTTAAAAGATAGATTCATAGAATAAGGATTCATAAGCTAAAGAAGCTTAAAAAAATAATCATAATAATTCAACAACCTTACCTGATAACCATTTTTTTGCTTATATTTAGTATTACTTTGTTCAGCTTCATTCTCTTTATCCTCAGAATACGCTTTCCATGCCATATTCTACTAAGAAAACGCCTCTTTGGATTAAAGATTTCCTGATAGATAAAATTCTGTTCTATCCTACTTATATAGCTAAGGAAGATTAAGAATATCGTACATAGTAACCAGAATAACCCCCAAAACCACCCCCATAATCATCATAATCAGCTTAGTCTGCATAATCCCCATAATCAGCTTAACCAACATAACCATCATAGCCTGCATAATCCCCATAACTAGCATAACCAGTAGAGCCTGCATAATCCCCATAACTAGCATAACCATTATAGCCTGCATAATCCCCATAATCAGCTTAACCATCATAACCAGTATAGCCTGCATAATCCCCATAACCAGCATAACCAGCATAACCAGCATAGCCTGCATAACCTGCATAATCCCCATAACCAGCATAACCAGCATAACCAGCATAACCCCCAAAACCAGCAGATCCATCTTAACAACCATAACCAAAAGAAATAGAATTAATAAAATATCTTCTTGATAATTCATCGAAAAAAAGGAATGTAGATGAAAATTTAAAATACTATTTAATAGGAACATTAGTGAAAGGGGAATTTTAGAATTATTATTCATTGAAAAAATTAGAAGTAAAAAACAAACTATTGAGATATTGTAAAAAAATGATACATGTAAGAGGTGATGGAAATTGTTTTTACACTTCTTTTGGATATTAACTATTAAGATTAGTGATTTATTAATATTCTGATTAAGAATTTAGAGTATTTCTCAATCAAAATTTCACAATACCATTCAAAATGTAGCTTAAAAATGAAATAATAGGAAGTGAAGAGCAAGGATCGATTTTATTATAGAATTATAAAGAAAGAATACTCTATTTAAGAAATCTTGAACAAAATTATCCACAACATGTTGATTATTCATAATAATTGATGATACATTTTAGAGCACATGAACAGTAAAATGATTAAGATGGTTATTTATAGCCATTGACCGTACTATTTCTAAGAAATTTATGCATGTATCTTGTCGAAAATTGCGAAGAGGGATAAAATGTTTTTGATAAGGAGCAATTATTAAAATGGGAGGAGGAATGTAATAGTAATGAACAGGTGGTTGCAATATTAGCAAAGCATTTTTAAATGTATTAAATTAGTAATATTGTAGACATGTACAATTATTATATTTTGAAAAAGAAGATTTCAAACTATTTGAATACTCAACTGAGTATTAAAATTAAAATAGGACAATCATCTTGCTTATTTAACCTGGACATTACAATATTGGTCTTAAAAATTGATATTTTAAATTAATATAAATAATAATTCAAAGATATAAAATGGAATTTAGGGACTGAAATACGAAGATCCCCTCCTCCGATCCCAAAACATACTCTTAAGCTGTAGAAAGCACTGAAATGAATGAATCTTTGCAAATATTTTTCCTGAAATATCATAAGATGTGGAACTAATATCAATATTATGAATATCTCCTTTATGATAGATTTTAATAGGGAATCCGATTCAATAATTTAAAGACTAATATGCTTAATAAGGTAGAAAGATTAATTTAATTTACGAAATGATATAATTTAAAACAATTACTTAGTGAATTAATAGTATTCGCAAATTGGAGTAGATAAAGAATAAAAGCGGCATCAAATTAGTTATAACTTAAATAATAGCCATAGCAGCAATCTGCTAACAAAGTAAATGATTTTGTTAATAAAGGAAATTAACTTATTTAAATAATATGCTGAGTAATATTTTATTATCTAAGCAAACTCAACCTTAAGTAAATAAGCCTCAAGAATTAGATCCAAATAAACCTAATGATTATTAAGAGAGATAAACTAATCAGAGGAATAGGGTATGCTATATTAATAACTAAAGAAGCAGATAACTTTAATTTTTATTCTATTAAAATGTAAGCCTGAAAACGATGGAGAATAAGGTTGTTATTTTAGTTGACTATTTGAACAATATTTATCAGGCGATTCAGTATAAAATAATCGTGATAAAGGCTTCGAATAGCATCAGAGTTACAGAAGCCGGTTCATCACATTTAAAATATTTCATCCTTAGGAACAATTCATTGATTGATAAAGAAAGAAAATATGATCATTGTTGAATGTTAGAATAGCAAAGGATGTTAATGAATTTTTTATGATAAAATTAATAGAAGGGAGGAAAGTATGTTAAATAAAGAGAATTGATATTCCTATTAGACTTGAATTGGAGAAAGCAGAGTATATGAGAGTTCATTGAATATACAAGTGATAATGGTAATGAAATGACAATGTTTGAGTTTTTGGAAAAAGATTAATGAGCTGTCAATTCTAGGAGAAAGAATAATTTAATGATGGACTATGACTATATGATGCGGAATTATGAGTATTATTATAAATTGTGTACACAAATACTATCTTTATCATGATTTAAAGGATTTAATTTAAAATCTAAAAATTCTTAACTTTTTTGTGTATGGCTTAGAAGACAGATTTTACTAATGGTAATGACTTGAATTTAATTAATAGTTGTCGAAAGACCCAACTTCCCTGAAGAGGAAGTCAGAATCCTAAAATATTGGGAATAGATCAATGCTTTTCATAAATAATTGGAATTGACAAAAGATTTTCCACGATTTACATTTTATGATGGACCACCTTTTGCTACTGGATTACCTCATTATGGCCATATGTGTGCTGGTACTATTAAAGTATAATTTCGCAACAAATTTAGGATGTAGTATGCAGGTATTTTGCAATGAATGGGAGATATGTGGAGAGAAGATTCGGATGGGATTGTCATGGATTGCCAGTTGAACATGAAATTGATAAAACTCTTAAAATTTAACACAGAGGTGATATTTTAAAGGTTTTAAATGAGTATTATATGTTTAGATGGGTATTGATAAATACAACCATGAATGCAGATCAATAGTCATGAGATATGCATCTGAATGGAGAAGAATAATAGGAAGAACAGGTAGATGGATCGATTTTGATAATGATTACAAAACATTGGATACACCCTTTATGGAAAGTGTTTGGTGGGTCTTCAAACAAATGTGGGAGAAAGGCTTAGTATATAGAGGATGCAAAGTCATGCCATATTCTAATGGGTGTTCCACAGTTCTAAGCAACTTCGAGACCTAATAGAATTATAAGAATGTGTGGGATCCTGCTATTGTTGTGACTTTCCCATTGGTTAAAGACGAGACGACCAAATTCGTTGCTTGGACAACAACTCCATGGACATTGCCTAGTAATTTAGCCTTAGCTGTTCATCCAGATTTAGTTTATGTGAAATTGCTTGATAAAGCATCTAATACTCATTACATCTTAGCAGAGTCAAGAATTGTTGAGTTGTATACTGATGCTAAGTTGTATGAGGTTGTGGAGAAATTCAAAGGTTCTGAATTAGTTGGAACTGAATACGTTCCATTATTCAATTACTTTTTGGAAAGAAAAGAATAAGGATGCTATAGAGTTTTGGCTGCCAATTTCGTTACTAGTGATGATGGTACTGGTATAGTACATTGTGCTCCTGGTTTTGGTGATGACGATTACAAAGCATGTTTAAAGGCTGGCATCATTGTTCCATCCGATCCTTTGGTACCCATTGATTCTAGTGGAAGATTCTTGGAGTCAGTCAAAGATTTCTCAGGAATGTAAGTCAAGGATGCAGATAAGGAAATTAGAAAGCTACTTAAAACTAATGGAAGATTGATTAAGGATGGATAAGTTCAACATAATTATCCTTATTGTTGGAGATCTTAAACTCCATTAATATATAAGGCTGTTAACTGTTGGTTTATTAAGGTTACATCAATTAAGGATAAACTTGTTGTTAACAATAAGAAGGCTAGATGGGTACCATAATCAATTCAAGATGGAAGATTTAACAATTGGTTAGATGATGCCTAAGATTGGTGTTTCAGTAGAAATAGATTCTGGGGTAATCCTATTCCAATTTGGGTCAGTGACGATTTTGAAGAATCAGTATGCATTGGATCTATTGAAGAATTGAGGTAACTTTCTGGAGTTGAAAATATCACAGATCTCCATAGAGAATACATTGATCATATTACAATTCCAAGTAAATAAGGAAAGGGTGTATTGAGAAGAATTGAAGAAGTCTTTGATTGTTGGTTTGAGAGTGGATCTATGCCTTTTGCTTAATAACATTATCCATTTGAAAGAAAAGAGTTATTCGAAACTATCTTCCCAGCTGACTTCATTGCTGAAGGATTAGATTAAACAAGAGGGTGGTTCTATACCTTGAATGTTATTGCAACAGCTTTACGTGATGATACACCTTACAAGAATTTAATTGTCAATGGAATTGTGTTGAATGACAAAGGTGAAAAGATGTCAAAAAGTAAAAAGAACTATCCAGATCCTGAAATTGAAATCATTAATCAATTCGGAGCTGATGCTATGAGATTGTACCTCATTAATAGTGGATTGGTTAAGGCTCAATCATTGAATTTCAGCAAAGATGGAGTTTAAGAAGTCATTAAGAACGTATTTTTACCATGGTACAATGCTTATAGATTTTTGATTCAAAATTTACAAAGGTATGAAAGTGTAATTGGCAAATTTGAATTTGATGAAAATGCAATAACGAAAGGTGACAACATTATGGATAAGTGGATTGTATCAAGCAGTCAAACTTTGGTTGAATTTGTTAGAACTGAGATGGAAGCTTACAGACTCTACACAATTGTGCCTAGATTGATTAGCTATTTAGATATATTGACTAACTGGTATGTTAGATTGAATAGAAGTAGAATCAAGGGAGATTAAGGAAATCAAGAATGGGTTGTTAGTTTAAATGTGCTTTTTGATGTGCTCTTAAAAATCACTCTTTTGATGTCACCATATGTCCCATTCATTACAGAATCATTCTATCAAAATCTCAAGAAATGCATTCCTTAAGGTAAAAATTATCAAGAATCAATTCATTTCCTTCAAATCCCTGAAGCGAAAAAGGAATTGATTGATCCTAAAATTGAATCTCAAGTTGAAAAAATGCAAATAGTTGTTGAATCTGCTAGAAAATTAAGAGAAGCACATAAACTAAGTCTAAAATAACCAGTTAATAGTTTGACAATCTTGGCAACAGATGAATAGTTACTTTAAAGTGTTCAATTCTTATCTAAATACATCGAAGAAGAAATCAATACACCTTCTGTCTTAGTTGAAAAGAATATTGATCAATACATTCAACTCAAGGCTGAACCAGACAATAAGATTTGTGGATAAGAACTGAAAGATAAATTTGGACCAGATCTAATTTAATAAGTTCGTAATTTCTCTCAAGAATAGATCCGTACACTCAAAACTGATGGTAAATTGTAACTCAAAGTCAAAGTAAAGAAAGAGAAGAAGGTTGAAGAATAAGTGTAATAATAACCAGATCCTAAAGCTAAAAAGGGTAAAAAGAATGTGGAATATATTGAAGTAGAATTGGATTGCGAATTATTATTAAAGCATGTTAAAATAACTGATTAATTCAATACTGAAAAACATAAATAGTTGTTGTTTGCCACTGAAGATGGATTCTCTATTATTATTGATCCATCGTAAACTCAAGAACTCAAAAATCTTGGATTGGCAAGAGAATTCACAAATAGAATTTAAAAATTAAGAAAGAAGCTTGGCTTATAATAAGAGGATAAAATCCTTATCTTCTATTAATTTGAAGCTGAATCTGAATTATCAAATGCAGTTCAATCTGGTATTACATGGATCAGAAATTAAATTAAGAAACCAATATTCTCATCTGATTAAAAACATTAATTCTTACATGTAATTGGCAAAGAGGATACTGATGTAGATAACCATAAATTTAGTATTGTGATCACTAAAAATTCTCCTGTCTTTAATAAATAAAAATTGTTGGTATGAATTTATTTTAATTTCTTAGGAATCTTTTAATGAAAAGGAGGTTGATACCATCATAAGAACATTAGTAGTCTTACCAAATTTACAATAAAACATAGAATTTACATTGGACGGGAAAAAAGTTACCCTGGGCCCTGAACATTATACAATATCATAATGAGTATGATAAATCTAAAATTTATTAATATTCGAATTAAGAATTAATATAATTTGTTAATAGAATTAAAATAACTATCTCTGTGTGGATAAATCTTATGGGCCGACTCTGAAGTATTTTTTATTTTATCTGAGTTCTTTCCTTGATAAATAAGGAAAATCTACTATAACCCATTTATTCTAACCTTATGCTGTTATGCTCACATTACTGATAAATAGGAACAATAAAATTTTGTTATTAATTTAATAGAAAAAGCTCCTAGAATGGCAGATGTTGACACAATGCAGCTTATTTTTGTGGACTTGAAAATAGCGAAACTTGAATAATCCCCATCAAAAATCTATAAAAGTAAGTTTGGCTTTATAATCAATTTATGATTCTGTATTAGCCTAGCAAATAAGAATTCAATGAATTAGAAAAAAAGTATTTTAGGATTATTTCTATAAAGTTAAAAAATGTAAACATAAAATACTTTTGATTTGAAGTAATCAATTATTATTGAATAAAATATATTGTTGTTAAAATTTAATAATTAATAAAATTTTATTTGTTTTAACTCTTACAACAAATAAATGTCTCAAAATAAAGATGATAAGCATCATTATATGAAAGAAACTAAAAGTCACTCATATAGAGTAGAGGCAATTCAAAGAGATCTCAAAAACAAATCCAATTCTACTATAAATTACTCAAAAAATACATAGAAAGCCATTTCGTAGAAAAAGATAAATATCAAGGAAATTTCACTATAATAAAAAGGATACTACAACAAATAATCATAGAAATCATAACCATAAAAATAAGAAAGGCAAAATCATCACAAACAACAATAGTAAAGAGACTAGCAAAATCATTTAAAAGTTACTCCAAAGAATTATTTTTCCAAAGATACAAAAATTAACCAAAATAATTAATAGGAAAAGTATAAATCCCAAAATCAGAGAGTCTAAAACCTTAATAAGAATCGATACAATTTATCTAATAAGACTTAAATAAAGTAAATAGATTAAGGAAAATAATGGCTACAAAAATCACTACCTTTAAAGCTAGAATATAAAAACCTAAAATATCAAAAGAATAAGTCATAAATTTGTGGTAAAAATTCTTAAGCTAAAAAAACTACTAACTTTTTGTTAATTAAAAAAAAGAAATAGACTCAAGAATAATCTTTGATGACACCTGTAAAATAAAAATAACACATTTAAAGGGACAGTTATGCCAAATAATAAACTAATAAATAACCTAATAATATCAATAATTAAAATGAAAAATCTACATAAAAGAAATAAAAGTAAGTCTACATATAAAAATATATTTAGGAGAATCGACCAATTCATTAGAACAAAGAAGAGTAAAATGAAATGTTAATAATAGAATAGTCAAATTAATAATCCTCAAATGCAAAATTATAGAATAAACAATTAAAAGCAGAATAAGGAAATTAATAGCTAAATAAAATAGGACTGTTAAATAAATCACCATTAAATGCATAAAAAAATAAATCACCAATAAATGCATAATCGAATAAATCACCATTAAATGCATAATCTAATAAATCACCATTAAATTCATAATCAAATAAATCACCATTAAATGCTTAATCGAATAAATAACCAATGAATTCATAATCGAATAAATCACCATTAGATGCATAAAAAAATAAATCACCATTAAATGCATAATCTAAGAAATCACCATTAAACTCATAATCTCCATTCAATGCATAATCTAATAAACAACCAATAAATGCATATACAAATACATAACCAAAGAATAAAGATGAAGCAGATTAACAAAAAATAAAAGTAGAATAACGAAATTTATAACCAATAACAAATGAATAATCAACTTAATAACCCATATAAGCAGAGTAATAAGATGATTAATTTCTAGATATAGAGTAGATAAATAAATAAGCATTAAATACCGAGAAGCAAAATATGCAATCACTAAATGTAGAATTGAATAAATCATTATAAGCAATTAAAATTGTTTTCGATTAGAAAAGACTAGAAAAAAGTGTGGAAATATGTAAATTATTAATTTAAATGTCATCTGGGCAAAGGACTGTAGAACAAAATTACAGCTACTATCTCTAATAATATGAAGATATATAAGGATTATTTTCTCATTATTCTATAAAACATTTGGAGGTTAAAACCAATCTAAAAAAATATTGTCAGAAAATATTATATGTGCGTGGAGATGGAAATTGTTTTTATACTGCGTTTGGCTATTAATTTTTGCGTTTGGTATTGATAAGTTATAATGATACTTAATTTAATGAATTTTTAAATTTTGCAATATAAATTAAATTTAAGATTTATTACAAAGACTTTAAGATAGCTGATGATAAAATAGAATAACTATTAAATGAAGAATTCCTTTATAAACTCTAAGAAATTAGGAATATCGAAAATTAGCAAGATAGAATAGACTTACTGTATAAAATATATAGAGAATTTGATATTTCAGATGATGGAAATGGTTGTTTTTATTTTTTATCTACTCTATTTTTTAGAAACCTTAGTAATTAACTTTAAGAACATAGTGAAATGAAAGCGTATGTTGAAGATAGGGAAAATCTACTCAAATGGGAGACTGAGTGTAATAATAATGAAATTGTCGTTGCAACTCTAGCTCAACAATTAAAAATGTATTACATTAAGCTTATTTAGAAATATCAAATTATTATTTTTTAATGAGGGATAATTTGTATTCAGAGAATATGAGTAACATGAAAAAGACGAAATGATATTACTAATTTAGCCAGGCCATTACAATATAGGATTAAAAAATTGATAAATACTTATAAAATTAATTCAATAAATTCAAATTGCACTAATTTCTTCTAAAATAATACACATTCAATATAAATTTTATAAAGTAAGATATTCTTTTCTCTTTCTTCAAACTCTTAAATACTAATTTTATGATAGGAATTATCACACCGCCATTTTGATGATTGATTGAATAAGTAATAAGAATTTTGATTACGAATGATTAAAACTAATTCTTTAACCAATATGAACTCAAACCTGTAATCGATTTGCTCCTACTACTAGTATTTACTTTTGATAATTCTATTGCTTATAAAAATGATGTGAGATTATTTCAATATTTTGGGGCTCATTCTTTAATCAAAATGAAATTTCTACATTATATTACTATTTTTTTTAGTCATTGCCCATTAAATCCAGATATTAAGTCTGATAAATTCTTTCTCTTATGCGATTTGATCAAAGAAATTAAGATCTCAGATATTGAGCAAATAATCATTAATTATAATATTTTATTTAATGGCTTAAATTACCAAAGAGGCTGAGAAAACTTATTATGAATAAGACGAAGAAGAAACTCAATAAAAAGAGATAGCAGATGAACCTGAATATGCTTTTGAAGACAGAAGATCAAAGAGAGAATATCGACAGACTAGAATCAAAGATAAAGAAGACAGAGCTACAGTAGAATAATGTTTGGATCCAAGAACAAGAGTTATTTTGATGAAAATGATTAATAATAAGTTCTTAAAGGAAATAAATGGATGTATATCAACTGGTAAAGAGGCTAATGTTTATCATGGATGGGATTTTAATAATCTGGAATATGCCATTAAGGTTTATAAGACTTCAATTCTGGTATTTAAAGATAGAGATAAATACGTATCTGGTGAATTTCGTTTTAGAAATGGTCATTGCAAATCAAACCCAAGAAAAATGGTTCGATTATGGGCAGAAAAAGAGTTGAGAAATTATAAGAGAATATTTCAGTCGGCAATCCCATGTCCAGAGCCTATTTTGGTTAAAAGCAATATTATAGTAATGAGATTTATTGGTGATGATATGACTCCAGCTCCAAGATTGAAGGATGCAACAGACGTTCTTTATGAAGATGCTTACCTTCAGGTTGTAAAGTGCATGAGGATACTATACCAAGATTGTAAACTAATCCATGGAGATTTGAGCGAATACAATCTATTATATTATAAGAATAAAGTCTATTTTATAGATGTATCCCAAAGTATGGAAAGTGATCATCATAGTGCATCTGAGTTTTTGAAAAGGGATATATTTAATATCAATCAATATTTCAAGAAGAAGGTATATCTAATATAATATGAGTTTAGGATATCATGACATTTACTCTGAGATAATTGTACAAATTTATTACTGATTCTCATCTTTAAAATATCAATTAAGAAATCGAGAGAATGTAAGAGGAAAGAGAATAAATCAATGAAGATTTGGAGGAGGAGTAAGATAAAGTTTTTGTTGGAGCTATATAACCAAAGAATTTGAGTGATTTACCATAAAAAATTATTGAATCCGAATTGAATGCTTTTAAGAAAGGTGGAGAGAGTATAGGCAAGACAATAGCAGATTTCTAGAATGCAAATCTAGAACTTTAAAAATTGAATGAGGGAAATGAATTGGATTAAAATGAAGATTCAAATGAAGACAATGAGGAGTCAGATAATGATGATTAAGAGGGTAATTCAGATTCTTCATCTGATGTATCTTTATTGAGTGATGATGACGATCAAGAAGAGGAATCTGAAAATTAAAATGAGGATGGTGAAAAAAAGAAGAAGGGTGGATTATGTAAATATGATGGACTTTCAAAAAAAGAAAGAAAATAAAAAGTGAAAGAAGAAAAAAGAGAGAAAAGAAAAACTAAACTTCCTAAAAATATTAAAAAAATACTTACAAAAAAATAAAGATGATCTTATTAAACAATATTTTATCATTTCTTTTAGGAATAAAATTTATTTATTTATTTTAAAATTGAACCTAATTTCATTAAAAGTTCATATCAAAATATGCAAAATATCAATTAAATATCTGCTCGTCTCTAATTAAACATTTCTAAATAACTTTCAGCAAGAACAGATCAAACTGATAGCCAATTCTTAAATACTTCTAATACTTAAACACTTTTGAAATAGATTAACTTAATTAAAAAGAGTGATAAAAAGAATAAAGCACTTAAGATCATACCAGATAAGTAATCATTAAAATTTCAACATTTAACTGAACCTAAATAAATTAATATTAATTAGCTAATTTAGAAAGAACACACATATGAAGAAGAAAAGAAGAATTCTGCTGTTATTTCCAATGTTGGCAGTTAAACATGGAGAATAGAGACATAGATGAGATAAAGCTTAAACTTTTAGGATTTACACAAGTTGGATGAATCAATTGCAATAGACATTCTAAATAGGTAAATTGGAAAGACTGAAACTAATTTTTATGAATATATACCAAAAACTTCAAGGAAAACAAAAAGTCAATCAGTTAAATAGAAAAATTTAATTAATTTATCTGGAACTCCATCTAAGTTTAAAAAAACTAATAAATTAAATAACACTGTCAATGCCTTTAAATCAACCAATAAAGATTAAATTTATTATAAATTACCTGTTTCAAACGTAGGAGTTCCTATTATTAAAACATAAAGAATCAAGAGCTAGCCTCGTTATCATCACCCTTTCTCAACAATGAACAATTTCAATTATACTAGATTAAATAAATCTTTGTGGGTCTCTGATTTTTGAATTTACTTTGAACATATCTATTTTTAGCAATTGAATATATTTCTATATAAACTATTACTATTGAATTCATAAATATTGGATAGCACAATAAAATCTTAATTTCAAATGCATTATTTATATAAAATAATTTTGGTAATAAGAAAATTACAAATGTATATATTATTTATTTTTTCAAATATTATCTTCATTCTCTATATTCGGTACTCCAAGATTATAATGTCCTGGTTTTAGCAATAAAATAATTTTTCTTTTAGCTTCTTTATTATATTCCATCATTTTAAATTACTCTTTATCAAAGTAGAATACAACAATATTACTAATTTAATTATAGTTGAATACATCTACAATTATTAAGCCAATATCAAAATTACGATTTCGTTGGAATTGCATTCTGATTCCCAAGGTAAAAGGGTATCTTTATCCGTGAAATTATCTTTATATTCGCTTTATTAGATAAAATGTAAGCTTAAATTTCTAAAAAAGATAGTTGATAAAGCATAAAAATATCCATCAGCTTATTGATCTTCTTACTTTTCATAAGCACTAAATTGTTTAAATAATTCATCTTATCTCATTTCTGTATTTTCTAAGTTTCTAATACAATTTAATCTTTTAATGAATTCTTCTCTAAATTATGTTTCTATTTTTTCATCATCTATTTTAGTGCTTTGATAATAAATTCTAAATCTCATTTTCTTTATGACAGAATTCAAAAACTCATCGTATTAATTCTAATCATAGTGAACAATTAATAATGATAAGTATCCAAATCCGAAAGATGAATAAAAACAATTACCATCTCCTCTTACTTATCGAAATCCTTTCATATATTAACAGATTGTCTTTTTGTACTCTAATTTCAGATTATAATACTTTGCTAAATCACTCTAACTTTACATTTAATGTATGAAAGGCTAATACTATCCTGGAACATGTCTTCTTCTTGTAGTTTAAGAATAAATATCCTCTATAGTATTTTTTATTATCTCTCCATTCTATTCATTAGAACTTGATTGACGTTAAGTTATATTTGACTAATTGGTTACATTATTATCATTACTAGGGCATTATTTTTATTAATAATTCTCTTTTATTTATTTTAATAGATTTTAGATATCCATTTCAACTTTCTCTTTCCAACTATTATTTTATTCATCTTTCAACTTAATTTACAAAATTGATTCTTTCAATTCTCTATTCTATTCCTCTTTTATAGATTTCAATAGATTTTAGATATCGATTTCAATTTTATCTTTCCAAATATTATTTTATTCCTCTTTCTACTTAAGTTCTTTAAGGTTGGATTCTTAAATCACTTTTAGTTGATTATTAACACGTTATTCAATTTCGGTTATCAATGAATTGTATTATTATTATTATTTCTAAATAGGGTTCTATTATTGAGATTCTTCTATTTGATCATTGGATTGAATATCTAATTTTGATTCATTTTTTGTTAGCTATTTATTAAATTTTTCCTCTATTTCATTAAGTCTTTATTAGATAAAATTGTACTTAATTTCAAAACCAATAATTTTGTCAAAGAATTATTTTAATCTCCTAAAAATTTCTTTTCTATCTCTATTTTCCAACTCGAAATTGTTTCTCTCTTTACTCTTTGTTACTTCGTCTGAATGATGTTACATATCTAATAAAAATAAAATTAATAAATTTAGAATTAATATTATATGAATAAGTGGCAGTCATCATTGAATCCATTGAGTAATTTAGAACTATTATATGATTTTAGAATATGAACTTATTTGACAATATTTTCAAATAATTTATAAACTTGATTGAAAAATATCTACTATTGCTAAGCTTCCATTGTTTATCAATTTATTTATATTCATTTATAACCATCAACTTATATTTAAGAATGAGTTAATAAATTGTTAGTTTTGTTCATCAATAACCAATTGAATTTTCTATTTGTTTTTTTGAATAGATATATTATTATTTCCGCATTCATATAAGTACCTAATACCTATAATTTTGAATATCAATTCACGAAAAATTAATATTAGAAATAGATATATTATTCATAATAATTATAAAGAGAATAGATAAGAACAATCATTAAGTTATCAAGCTATGTTAAAAACTGCTTCCATTATAGCTAAATAGAACCCTTCGATTCCATCTAGATTGCCTAAGTACTTATACATGATTTCAAAGTGTGTGTAAGGATTTTACAGTGAAGACTTACAAAGCACATAGTGAAAAATTGGTATCATTTCGTCTGTGCTTATGATTGAAGGCTGTTTAGTATACTAATTGTAATAGTCGATGATGGCAGAGTAGATACTTCTGAAACAAGCGACCAATTATTTAACTTTATGATGAGGAGTTTATCGAAATTAAATTAATTTTAGAGCTTCAATGGCATTTTGAAATGGGGATTATAAGAAAAATGTTCCTTATAAAAGTTTCGCTTAAGGTCTAGAAGGTAATTGAATAGTATCAACATCTTCAATAATGAGTGTCTCAAAAGTATCTTTCTTCATAATCTATTAGCTTTAACTCCCTGTATTTGCTTTTGAAGATAGTTTACTCTGTATATACTCTCTAGTTGTGCAATCCAGACAATATTTAATTGAAATTCCAAAATCAGCTAATGTTTTATCCTTTAAAAATTGCAATTTCTTATGTATTTTCTCATTTTCATCTATTTATTCTAGCTTTTTGATTTAGTAAACATGTGAGGCCACTTGATCATTGAATATCATGTTGGATACTAAACATTAAAGAGAGGAGGTGTTCAAGAAATGACATTTGTTTAGTGACGCAAATAAATTCAAATCATAGTAATGAATTAAGATCTAAAATTTATATATACAGAATTAAATACCTAAACAAATGAATCTCGAAACATAACAATAAATTTATCCAATTCCTGACTGCAGTTAGGCAGTTAAGTTTGTCTGAAAGTTTAAAATATTTCCAACAAACAACCATTCAAAGTTGACAGCTATTAAAGCACTTACCTTTCAAACTCTTGCAAAGAGGGATCATTCTCCTATATCAGAGTCGTTACATAGAATTCTTTAAAAGGATCCAGAGTTTTCTTGGATCTCTTAATATTTTCAAACTCTGTTGCAAATAAGGATTCTGTTGTGCTCAAAGTAGCAATTTCCTCGTGTTATGGTTTAACAATTGAATATAATTGCATAAAATTTTGTTTATGAAGATGATCTGATCTAACATTAATATTAAATCCTAATTTTTAAACTTCCTTTTCTACTCCAACATGCCATTACATCTATGGATAATTAAAGAATAGTACCATTTGCATTTTGTAAATGTCCTATATGTTCTCCGATTAAAATGAATTGTGGTTCCCCATTAATAAATATATAATTTTTAATACAATAACTAAACATCTTTCTGCCTTATTGATAATAATGCTTATCTCAATATATTTATCATAACTAGATGAAGTACATAGCCTTATTAACTAGTTTTGATCCTATTCTCCCAATCTAAGATCATAAAAAAATGAAATTGGATGTAATTCTATAATGAGTAAAATACTATTTCTAAGAACATTAAAACGGAGATAGAATCCAAAATTGGATAATTTCGTATACTAACAATCAAAAGGATACATTTTAAAAATCAATTTCATTAATATATCTTTTATATATTTTAATGTATTTATTGAATGATTAATTATTAAGTGATTTATATTGATAAACTAATATGATAAATGCAAATTTTCAAATTCCAATAAATTCTTGGTAACTAATAAAATTAGTTATCAAGAATCATGTCCCTTTTAATTACTGTTTCATGTTATTGAATTAATTTATCACTTGATTTTACTAAGTGTCAGATAAATCAAACAGTATTTTTTAGTTAATTTACCAATAATTAGTGACTTCAATCTAATTTATGAGATATAAACTTAACATAGAGATCCTCCTTGATGATGTCTCTCTCTACAGTTTCATTTAGTGTAATATACTCTTTCATTATAAACTTTATGATAATATTCAATTTTATAATTTGCAAATCGTGATACTCATTACTTTCTTAGTATTATTGCTTCATAAAAGAATGGTAATATTCAGAGAATTAATCTTATTGATATTATAGAGAAGGAATGATAGTTTTTTTAATTTATAGTGGATTATTAATTTTTCTTTATTATTACCCATACAAATGCATTAATACTGGAACAAGTTATTTTATAAATATTGTATACAAACTAGTTTGTTAAAAATCTAATTATTATATATAGAATATTAATGTTCAATAACATTAAGCGGAATATGAGAATATTAAATAAGGATATGGTGGAGACTTCGTGGCTCAAATGTTTGATCGATGATACTCCAAAGCAGAAGCATATACTAGTACCAACAGCATTTATAATAGACTCTCTCAAAATGTCTTAGTGGAGAATTTAGTAATGTAAACGCTCAAGAGGCTCTTAAGAAAATCATCTTAAGAATGCAGCATCCTCAAAAAAACATAACTGCTCTTAAGTCCTACTACCTAGTTCACTTACTAAGGCCTTATTTGGCTCCCTATGTAACTGATAAAACAATTGAATTATCTTAAAAGAGTACAGCTGATGCTGTGCTTTAAAGTGTAGCATTTCTCTATTGTAGTTACCTTAGAAGTTTCTCAAACAATTATGAATAGATCAATATACTTTATAAAATGCACAGATCGCTTGAAGTTCTCATTCTTAAGTTGGATGTGCCCATAATTAAATGCATTGCAATTAAATTAATCGTAGACGTGATACTCCTATACGAATCTCTCAATAAACAAGATGATTAAGTTAAAAGGATTAGAGCAATTAAATAAGTTAAAAGATTTTTAGAGATTAAAAAAATTATCTAACTTCCTGAAGAATTACTGTAAAAAATAAATACTCTCAATTTTTATGAAATCGAATAGAAAATTACATTTCAAATGCAACCCATTGTTAATAACTATGTTGAAAATAAGCCTCTTGCTCCATAAAAAGAATTATTAAAACTAGATGTGCAATGCCTTAATCAAAGAAAACTCAGTACGTCTGCAAATGACTGGGAAGATCATTCAGATTCTAAATATCAATAAATACAAATTCACAAAAGCCTCTAACCAAGTCCGAATCGCAGAAAAATGACCTCATTAACTCCCAATAGAGCAGTTTCAATACGAGACAATTTCTTTGTCCCAACACAAGGACCTCTTTCCTTTATTATGATGTCATGATTTTTATTTAAACTTATGATTTTATCTAAGTTTTTTCAATTTGCATACTCTTTTTTATTTACATTATTAAATAAACCATTTAATTTGAAGGATTATTCAATCTGTTTGTAATCCAATGAATAAATTTATTTTATTGATTCTCTTGGATTGGGCTAATTACTAATAAGAAATCTATAATGATCATATACAAATTTAATCCACCTGAGTAAGAGAAGAGGAGTAGAAGATAATTCACAATAATCCTTTTGATGTAATTAATAAACAGACATTTTATATGTTTTTAAGTTCTAACTATACTTTATGATATTAAGAATTAGAAATAATTGAATATTTAATTATTTAATATTTCAAAAATAATTTCCAATCCATTAAACTTTGTATCTCATGCAAACAACAAAAACTCCTAATATTATACAAAAGATTCTACAATTAGTAACGTAATGATGAGTAGTCTTTTAATTTGAGATGCCGAAACTCAAATTACTATTTTTTTAAAACTCAACTATATTGCCATTTGAATAGACTAAAATTTGACTATTTAATTTGAAATGAGTAAATTACATTTTCTTTCAGACTTCACACTTGCTCTGAAATCATATTGAATTAGAATCACTATACAAAATGCTGAATAACCCTAATAAATATTTTCAAAACAGAAAAATCAAGGATATATTTTAATGAACAATATTTAGAATAATAAAAGAACCTAATTAGAGAAATATTAAATAAAGTGCTTCTTCCAGAATCATATTGATTTTATTGTTTGTTTAATGATAATCATTCGGATATCGAGCAATCTGCCCCACTATATCCAGACCAACAATAGCATGTGGTTCCTCTGCAAGTACCAACTCCACTGCAAGAATTTGGACAAATTCTCTGAGTACTGCAAAAATGCTTTATATCTGGGCAAGTGACTTTGGCACTGTAATAGGAGTATCTCACATTTATTACCTAATTTAAAAAATAAATAAGTACTTGTCCTGATGTAACACATTGATAACTTTTGTCAGAAATGGAGAAAGTTACAACATTATTTTAACAAGTTGCTTTAAAGCAATCAGAAACCAATCCTTAGAATCCTATTTTAGTAGGCAAAGTAGTAAAGAAACACTTACCATCGTTTCCGTAATATCCTCCATACTAAGCTAATTGACCGATAAAATCAGAGTTATATCTACAATCGGAGTTACCGTAGGCTCTCCAATATCCACAGCCGTCAGTTAATGCATCACCTGTTGAACAAGAGGCAATGCCTGTGAAATCAGAGGAACATCCTTCACTACCTGGAGTACAGAATTCTCTCAATCCTTGAACACATTTTCCTTAGGCAATGGGACAGCCTTCATCCTTACCCCAATTGAATGGCTCAGATTGCTTATGATCCATATTATACCAACCAGTGGATTCGAGTAAATTGAAAGTGAATAGAGTGATCACAGAATCTGGGAATTCAGATCCGGTCATTGCCTCATTACCAAAGGTAGTTCTTTCCCAATGACTGCCTGCTGTTCCTTATCCTCCGTTGTTCTCTAATGGAGCTCCCCAGGCAGATTAACAACCAAAGTGACTCTTGACTGCATTTACTACTTTAGGCAATATGATCCAATCTCTTCCTCCTTATGTCTTAACTATTTAATTGACTCCTAATTTCTACATTGTATCAGGATCGATGTAATATGGGAATAAACCACTACTGAATCCTAGGACGTGAGTCATTTCGTGAATGGTAGTTTAAATCCATTTGAACCATTTGCCTTCGCTTAGCTTACTGAAATCTAGTTAATTAAAATATTTGAGGTTGAATTCCAAAGTACCAGCTGTGGGTCTTAATGTGGTTGGATCCAATCTGCAAGCTCCTGCTCTTGCAACCCAACTATCTTATTATGTTGTGGCTGTGACAAATAGAACTAAGTCAACATTACTTACTCCATTTTTGTATGATCTTGGGATTGCAACTGAGCCACATTATCCACTCAAAAATAATTTGGATGATGGATACACTTTTATGGCGGCTTTTAAAAATCCAGTTGCTGCTTTCACCAATTTATTCTCAATGAAATCAGCTTATTGTTGTGATGCCTAAATTTGATACATCAATACTATACTTAAAATGATGAATAATCAGTCTTGATTCTGATGGTTTGCCAATTTCCTTATTTGTGATTCTTAATCAGCATTTGCTCATGGGACAACCTAGCCTCGAATGGAATTTCAGCTGGACGTTCTGGCTCTTCGATTTCGATCTCCTTTATGAAGTGGCCGTGGTTGCAAATATGCACATCTTCCTATTCCAACTTGGCATGATGAATATTTGTGTTATGTGCATGATTTCCCTTGAGATGGTTTGTTACGGTGGCATTATTATTGTCATTCTTCAAATAATAATAAGTAGATCCACCAGCAAGCAAGACTATAGTTGCAACTGAGGCAACCTTAATTAAAGTTGACAAGAATATCATTTAAAATAATTAAAGTTGTTTCTAATTAATAATCTCACTCTTCAATGTATGACTGTCAAAGATCTTTTCTATAAATCTGACTTGCTTGATCTCCTATTCGAAAATTTACCCCCTTCATTAATATTTTGATTTAATTAATTATACTATTCAAGCAGTTAATATTGCTTGAATAATAAAACTATTATTCCAGTCCTCGCCCTCAATGGTGAAGATGTAGGACTGATCAAACATAGAGCATCTCTTTAAGTAGAGTCCTTCTCCTCCTCTTAAATCTTTAAAGCGTCCTCATCTTCTGAAGAAGCCTCCAAAATACTTTCCTTGCCCTCGCATAATGTACCTAATTATGACAAAACCGATCATACCTTTCAATAATATCCCACCCTATTCAAATCTGATTAACTGATTTTTCTTTATCTTCTGAAACACTGATTTTGATACTACTTCTGTTATCTAATTGATTTTTAAATTGCACAATGGCTTTAAGTGATCACTATATATTCTGCACAGAAGGGGTATAGAAATTCTCCAAATAGCTTCTTCAAATTCTGGAATTTATTTCATAATGGTTTGCATATGCTGAATCTTGATGAAAGTGGCATTGATGACGCAATCAGCCACCAATGATGTTTAATATCTAATGGAAGGAGCCACCAACATGTAAATGGGTGTAACTTCATTCAATGTTCTTCTCTCTCTTATTTTTGATCTATCACTAAACTCATTGCCAGCCCCTCTAGTTATGATACAGATTTCATTGGCTCTATCTCCTTCCTTGAAAATCAACTGATCTCTGCCAAATGAATCTTCTCGTGAACCCTCCAACAATTTCAGTATATTTGATTGTGATAATGACTTAAACAATTCATGTTGAGTAAGTATGTCGATCAATGATGGCATTTGCCAAGGGGGATTTAAATCATTTAAATTCTTCATCTTTTTATCGATATTCCTTTTCATTCTTTATAGAAATTCCTTCTCATTTAATTGGCCAGATTGAAGGTTGTTCTTCAATACAGACTTTTCAAATTCCAAGATTTCAAAAGCAGCCTTTTTTGTATGTAACTCACCTTAGAAATTTCAGGAAAGGACACTTCCAAAAGGTATCCTTCCAGATAAGATGAGTACTGCTGACTTTTTATTATCTTCAACGTTCATATCAGGATATTTCCAACAATAGATTTTATGAAAAATGGTAATGCGATGCCTCCTCCTTTAATATGGTGATAGCTTCAATATACACAGAAACAGCATCATAAATTGTATAGATGTATTAAAATAAATGATTTCTAGCTAGGATTCCAATGAGAAACTTATCCTTCATGTAGAATAGTAAATTGATGTATCTCTCTGAAAATTGACTTTACAAGAATTCCCACGAGTTCATGGGTTCTTTGTCATTGTCAAGATCCAAATTAGCACTTTCAGTCAAAAGAATAATTGTATCAGGACTGCATTGATTAGATTCGAATTACTCCATATAGATTCCTTTCAATGCCATAAGAAAGATTCTTCTGATTTCTGTCAATAGATTTTGATCTAATTCTTGATCCTCTTCCTCATCCATTAATGGTTGATGGATGTTCTTCATCTGAATTTCCTTTTAAGCCTTCTCATGCTTAGCCAATTTATCAATAATTTAATTGCAATCCGATTAATAGACCTTATAGCCACTAAGAGTTTTGACATATTCAACATCAGCCTCTTTCAAATACTTCAATTCATTGTTTTTTTTACATTCATATTCTATCTCTTCATTCAACTTAGTTAAGAAATTGGAATAAATCTTCTCTCTTATATCAGATTACGTAGACAGACCCAACAATTTGATCAACAAAGAGAGAGTAGTACCATTAACAACAAGAGTACAAACAGCAATGCCTGACATATGAAATAGGATGATGTCCCTCCATTTAGTAGGTAATGATTCATCCTTTGCAACGATTAGAGCAAAGGCAATACCAATAGATCCTCTCAACCCTCCATAGGTTAAGACCAATATCTAGGACCATGACAATCCATAACCCAGATTCTTAAGCCATGGATAGAATAATGCTATGGAGATGAATCTGCATCCCATCAAACACCACCAAAGAGCAATCATCTTGTAGAAATCCAATTATGTTATTTCACTTTCATCCTTGAATACTCTAATTCCTGCAATGATTCCACCCAAGATGAAAATGATGACTTCACTTGCAAATACTACATATTCCCAAAACTCTCTCAATGCATGATCAGCCTCATGAGATATTCGAGATCTCCCAAATGCTGCCATAAATAAACTCAATGATACCAACCCTAAGACACCAGATATGTGTACTCCAAAGTCAACATTCTCAGATATGAAATACACTAAAAAGGCTGAGACTATTGTTATGTTCAATACGAGAATCTCATCGTTTGCTATCTTCTTTATCCAATAAACACATGCCATTCCAAACACTAATCCAATCAATGTTCCTCCCACACATAATGTAAAGAACAAAGACCCTACATCAAATGCAGATGCAGATCTACCCCTCACTATCCCGTATGATATCTAAAATAACATTACACATGCCCCATCATTCAATAAACTCTCTCCTTCTATCAAACTCTAAAACTTCTTTTATGCTCCACTCTCCTTCAATAATGCCAACACTGCAACTGTATCTGTACAACTCAACATTGCTCCAAACATGAAAGCACTCTCCCAAGTAAAATAATCATCCCCGTAGTTTAGTATTACTTTTACAGACAATTACAATAATGTAGATAATATTATCACGCAAGGAAATGCCAATATTGCAGTCTAAGCAAACAGTCTCTTGAATAAGTGCCAATCGAAGTTGTATCCAGATTCGTATATTAACGTTGGCAGAAATATTAGTAACACTCCGATCTGAAAACATACATCCCTAAATTAGTACCGGCTCGATTTCGCTGACCTTCTTACAACTTTGCCCAATGATACCCAATGAATCCCAATAAAATCCGAAAAACAATCCCAAAACAAATAGCATTGGAGAAAATGGAATCTACATCATTGCCCATACAATTTACCTTTAATTTCTTATTAATCTCCTTCATGAACGATCCAATCCCCAAAAAAAAGAATATGAAGAACATTGATAACGCTGTCCCACTAATATCCTAACTAGTTGGAATCGGTAGATCCTAGCATTATCCTACTCTGAGCATTAATAATACTATCCCTGTTTTACAGATATACATATATATAAATTAATTAATTCAATATTTCAATATACATATATATATTTTATACGATTATTCCTAAAAACTACTCTTAAAAGCCATAGCCAACATTATTAGATTCTATTCCTATCTATTTTGAAAACCATCGTTTTTCATTGCAAAAATTAAAAGAATATATATAATATGACTATTCATAAGTTATCAATTTAAGATTATATGCAAATTTTTTGAAATTCAAGAAACATTTAAATTATTAATTTATAACAATATTAACTTTAATTAGAAATTTAGTAAATTGAAGTTACTGTAATAAATCTCAAGATTATTTAGTCTTTCCCTTTTTTTTAATTTTCTCATCACTTTTTGTAATTAATTAAGAATTCGATTGCTTTTAAGAGTGATACAAGGAGTGCTGAATTGGCGTTTTAAGCTTCTTAACAGAAGGTTATTTTTTGGATTTCTTTTTCTTTTACTAATGTCTAGAAATAATCAAAATAGTGTATACTATTAATTTGATTTTAGCTAGGGTTCATCTGTAATGTCATCCTAACTTGAATTAGAAAATTGAGGATCAAACTCCAATTCATCAACTCTCCTTCTTAAATTGTCAAACTGCAAATCCATCTATTCATTTTAGGCTATAGGTTGCTATAATTAAGATTGTGAATTTGTATTATTATTATTTATTTTAATCTCTTCCATTATTTTCTAAAATTATTATGGATTTTACAACATATAATCAGAAAATAATTACATATCTCTTTGAATCTCAGTTGTTCCAGTAAAATTCTATTATGGTTACTATCCGATTGGAGGAGTCAATGGCCGAAAGACTTGATTATGTGGCCTTAATGTCTTCAAAACTTGATCTTCGACCTCTCCTTTTCTTTAATCAAAGACCTGTTTATTGCCACTCGACCTCCTCTCCTAATTTTGTTTTCCTATTCCTACATTCGGAGTTCTGCTTCCAATGTGAGGTGAAATTGTTTTGATTCTTTCTTTTAAGATTGGAATCTTTCTTAAATCATCATACTCATTCCATTCTTCATCATCAACTTCGATAATTCCCAAATCATCCAAATCAATTGGATCATCATCAAGAATATTTTTATGGCCATTTTAATTTAAATTATTGCTTTGCTTCATACTAATTTCCTTATCCAAAATGTCAGATTGTTTGATCTTACTCTCCTATTGAACCTAGTACATAAATAAAGTTTGTAAACATTGTGAAAGCACTTCCTAATCAACTTTACGAATCCACAAAAAGTCCTCTTGATTCAATTCAAATTCATCCATAGATGTGGATCCAAAAGTATCTGATTGCATCATTAAATCCTTAGCAGAATTCTACCTCTAAAACAATTATTAGATTATATTTTCAGATTATCTATTAATTTAGTCTCTTTATTTATTCTATCTATGTCTTAATTGATTGTATTGTTCAGCCATCTATTAAATAATTCTAATTGCTATTTGTTCAGGAGTACACAATTAAATCATGACAATAGACATTAACTGCAATTATTTATTTTAACTATTTTACAATTTACTGGCTTGTTCAAAAAAAGAAGAATTGATTGAAGGAAACACTCTAAAGTTTTTGCCTGAATCTAATCCAAAGATGTATCCACAAAATTTTAATATATTATATTAATGCCATGGTTCCTAACAATCCAACTTTTCTTAGGTCCACAAAAATATCTTTTCAATAAACTCATCAAGTTTGGTCGAATTAGGTATTTTATTTAATAGTTGTCCCCATTGATTAAGGAGATCAAAAAATAATACATAAATACTATTGAAAGGAGTGTCTATTAAGTCTGAGACCTCATTCCATAGACAAGATACTTCTTCTAAGACCTTAGAATATTCACTCTTTTGGAATTTAAGATTGAAAATATTATTCAAAATAAGCAATGAATTTAGTATACATTTTGAATCAGTTTTATCTTAAAGAGATGGAGTAAGGATGTCTTTGATAAATTTAATAAAAATGATTCTATCCTCAAAGAATTTGATTCTAGTACTAGTTTCAATATTAATATAACATTCCACCAAAAGTTACAGTATTAAGTGTCCTTTTTATCTGATCTTTGAATTGAGTGATTTCATTAAATTAATTAAAGAGGAGGTAAAATTAGAATTATTTAAAATTAATTAAGCCACAACCTTAAATTATTATCCCATTTCTGAAAACAATTCGCAAATAAATTAAACCTTTTCATTAATAATTTCATATTCTTATGTCAATTACTTATTATCAGATCTAAACTCTTTCTTATCTTTCATTCTGTCAAATCCGAAATCCTTTTTATTCTCTGAGATTAAATTTGATTAAATTTAAGGTTCCTGATTTTCTATCAGACAAACTTAAATCAACGAATTGAAATGAGTCTAATATTAAACAATCATCTTTATGAAATTCTACTTTGATTATTTTTAAGCTTATCCCTTAACTGTGTATTAATCAATCAATGCCATCACACATTTCTCTATCAATGCTTAATCCAAAAACTCTTAACTAAAGGCAATCAAAATGTCAAATATCTTAAATGTCTCATCATGAATACTATGAGGTACTCTTTAACAAAATATTTCAACATATGAATAAATTTAGGATTCAAATTTAGACATCAATTAAGGACACTAAAATTATATAATTTTTAGGATTTTATCCAAAACGACCAAAATATCTTAACCAGGAGATGTAGTTTAGCATATAAGAAATATATTCTACAAGAATGGATTGATAAGTTCATAGATTTGGTCGTATTCATTACCTTCAATTAAGATTTCTATTAGGATATTCCATACAAGTTCAAAACAATCAAATTATATCTTACCCTTAACTGTTTAGTCTAATAATTTGATTAAAATTGGTTTCAAGGTTATTAAGTTCTGATTAGCTGTAGTGTAGAGTTACTTAATTTTTATAGTGTTGGTTAATTATTTGTTTAGAAACTCTTCAAAAAATGGAATCTAAGATTCCTCCTTCTATTATCTGATGATTATGGATATTAATTATAACAGTTTAATTATTTAATACTGTTGAGATTGCTGTAGATTATTATAGCTAGTGAAATTCAACTATTCTATCAATTGCTGATTAACCCAAGCAATAATTTTACTAATTTTTTTTTCATTTTGTTTAGGTATGATATTCTGTAATACTAGATTCCATATCTTTGATTCTTCTACTTAATTTAACTGTTTTAAGAATATTATATCAATTCGAAAGTGGGCTTAATCTGCTTATAATAAATACTCACAAACCTTCATAATTAACTTCTATCCTTCATTATTTACATCAAATAGTCCTTGTATAACAATTTGATTCCATATCTCTTATATCAGTTTTAATGTTGCTTGGCTTAATTCTTGTAATATCATATTAACAATTTTATAGATCATTTCTACAATCAATTATCCTTACTATTAATTCAAAATCTTCAAAAACAACTTGAAAATCTAGATAATCTGACCACCTAAACCACAACCAAGCTATTCTATCATGAATTCCAAGCATCTCATATTTGCCATCCTTAAGGCATCAAAGTTTTAGTTATCCTCCAATAAAAGCACTCTGCTTATAATTTTAATTAAATCATCTGAGAGTCTTAGGACGCATTCATAAGAATCTGTGTTTTATAACGTATACAACATCTATGTCCTATCATATTGGACATTCACATACTAGACAGCTTATTTTAATGCTTATAGTTTCTCATTTAGCATTGAAGGTTGATTAATTGAGTCAGCTATCAATATTTATAAGCCACTTGCCCTTAGAAAATAATAGTCTTTTTGCTTAACTAGAATTTAAGCTTTTTCAGCATAAAAATTGGCTACTTTCTTGAATATTTCAGCAGCTTATACAAATCTTCTCGAAGATAAAAGAGATAAACCCAATAGAATGTCTGCTTCTGCTTAGTTAATTTCACGGTTATTTTTTTTGAAGATATGACTGATGTTTAATAGGGCTACCATTTAATTAGCAGCAGGTGATAAGTATAACTAATATCCAAAAACTTAGATTGTTAGTTTAGCTTTTAACTTATTTTCTAATTATTGAGGAGGTTCACAAACACCAAAAGAAAGTCTGAGTTTTCTACCAAATCCAAGACCCACAATCTTGTATTAACCACTACATTATTCAGTATTCACCACCTCTTTGCTATTGATTAGACGATTATAAGTTTAATCAAAGCAATCCAAACATTCTAAAGATGTAAATGCAAATCCTTTTATTGGAGTATCACTCCATTTTAAAACTAAATGAGTGATCAAACTATCTTCTGTTAGATTGATCTATAATTTCACATTAGCTTATTTACTATCACCTTATCTTTCAGTAATTTAAACTTTAATTGCTTCTTGAGCAAGGTCGAATGATGCAACACAAACATTGCTTTGAACCAATTACATATTAATAAATTAAATAAACAAAATCGGATTTTACTCAATAAATTGAGTATGAATATCAAGATGATTTTATATAACCTTTGTATATATAACTGATGATTTAAATCATATAACCCATAGAGTATAAAAAATTATTAATATATTGTATGTTTATAACTCTAATAAAATTATTTATAAAATAAATAAATTTAGTATTATTTTGGATAAGATGTTTATATTTAATTTTTAATCATCTACAATTTAATGTTATTATAAACATCACTGAGACAATTAAAGTTAATTTGTCTTTAGGTCAAATTAAATCTTCAAAAATTCTTAATAAACTAAATACTATAAATTATTTTTTGAATTTTATAAGAATATTGTTAATATCAGTAAGATTCAATCTAAATAAGCTGTTAAATTTAATAATAATCAGGAGCAACCTTTTAACAACCAGGATTTAATTGAGTTGTTTTATTAAAACAAATCTGATTATAAATTTGATCTTGTTGAAGATGTGATATAATTGCAATTAACAAAGAAATAATAACCATTTAAATGGCTGTTTTTAATATGAGTTTGTAAGAATATACATAGATTTAATAATCAACCAATTTATCAATTCACAAAGAGCTCAGAACTTATATTTCGAATAATCTAGATTATATAATTAAATATTGAATTATAGAAACCTTGGATTGGATGGAAGCTTTTATTATGACTTCTTATAATTTACATACAATTTAAACGATAATTCAAACTTCAAAACTTTATTAATTTTTTGACAGCATTTAGTTAAGATATCAGAAAATATATTTTATTATTACATGATATATTCTTTATATTTATTCAACGAAATCAGATAATTGCAATAAAGCTCAATGTTGGATAGATTTTTCCAAAAGGCTATAAATTCTTTGGCCTATGTATAATATATTTTCAGATGATACCATGCACAGTCGATTTGATGGCTGTTAATTCGGATTAGTTTTATTATAAATGATCTGATATATATTTTTGTACACTATGATCACTCAAAACTAAAAATTTCTTTATAACATAATTAGCGTATTGATGATTGGCTAAGATGACGAAATTACTTGAACTAGAGATAGGGAGATTATTTTACTATTAATTTGGATTTCGACATACAAGCCAATTCATTATTGCCACTAATTCTTGCTTACCTAAGACTTCCAAGGCTCGTTCAACAGTATTGCTTGAAATGATATCAGACAATACCTTGCGTATTTGTTAACACTAAGTTAGTAAAATTGTTATATAACTAATTGAACTAAATATCCCTTTTCTTAGCTTGGTTTCCAATATTATAATATATGCTATAAGACATAGTTTCCATATTCAGTTTAACTCAGTATACTATAATTCTACACAGATAATCTAATTATTCTACTTATTTGTTGTGGAGTGTATTATTATATAACTTTATGAATAATTTTGCAGCCATATATTTATTAGCCCATGTAGTTAAACTAAATAGTTGAATGAGTAAATTTACAGATTCTTCTACAATGGGAATGAGAAATTCCATTTTTAATTTATCATAAGTTTCCAACATCTTAAAAATGACATAATTTCCATTCAAATCATAGATTAAAGATCTCATGTTAGATTGTAATTGCTATAGTACAATCAATTACAAATCTTCACGATTATAGGTGTATTCAATCAATTTTTGCATCACTCTGCATCCAAAATTGTTCTTGGACAAGTCATAGAAATGGGACTTTAATTTGTTAAACATCCTCAATTGTAGTTTTTGATTAGCTAAATATCATGTGTGAATTATACTGCATTCAAAGATTTTTTGAACCACGTAATTGCCAAATACGTCCTTCTCAATTTATGGACTGATGCGTTCCAACTTATATGTGATCAATTCCTTCTATTCCTAGGTCCCTTGTTCCAACATCTTCTGCAATTTGCGGCTTACAATCTGGTTTCCCCAAAGTTAATCCTATAGATTTATGCCATGTTTATTACTACTAAAGAGGTCACCTAAAGATCCATTTCAACATCTGGCTCAAATTTAACTTGAGGACTTTGAGATTCAAGAGGTGGAGAGTAGAGCGGTTAGTTGAGGTAACTATAATCATAAGACAAGCCTTGAGGGATGGAATGACCGTCAATGATGTCCTGGAAATACTCAGACTCATTCTTTTCTGAATTCCACAGTTCCTTTATAACCTATAAAGTCTGAGCATTGAGTAAAGGAGTATCATTTGAGCTAGGGGATTGCATCTCTAAAATTGCATCTTAATTTTCTTCAATTCCTTAACCAAGAGGTTCAGTCAGGTGAGGTTCACATGTTTTATGCTTTGGAGATTTTCGTTTTTATTCTCTAGGTACCTTGAAACTTTAATGTTTCTAAGCACTAAGTGTCCCTTGTACTTATAATTTGAATATATTTTCTTCTTATTCATCAATAGTGTCTATAATGAGACAGTTATTTTGATTAACTACGCTTTCTTTAGGTGATGTGTCCAATGTCATTTGCTCGAAGTCTGTTGTTAATGTATTGCTCATTGGAGTCATCAAACCTAGGTTCCCCAATCTTATAATAATAAGCAAGGCCTTACTTAACTTTTTGTTATTCAGATAACTGTCCCTCTGCATTTTCGGTTCCCTGAAATTCCTTTAGCAATGAAGGCAGATAATCATCATTTTAGTTGTTCATGTGGGGAGATTGTATTGATAAATAAAACAAAAAAAATCTTTTATATATTTTTTCATTAAAATTCCAGCATCATTTAGTCTCTTTTATGATAATAATGCATGTGGCTAAAACAACTAATGATTATATATATTTATAAATTGATTTGCAGAGTATATTCATATAATAATTTAAAATAGTACAACAATGTCAGATGATGATGTTGAGATTATTCATTCGAGTCAATACGGAGATAGTCTGCCTTAATAAGTCCTTGGCAGTCAAATTATTCCCAACCTCTAATCTGATAATCAAGTAATACGTTTTCTGAAATTTAGAAACTTCAGCAAAGTAACAAATCGCTGGAGACTGAGGTCAAACAATACAAACATTTATTGGAGTAAACCTTAGAAACTCTGCGACAATCTGAAAGAGATCAAAATACATTGAGTATTGCTATTGTGCATCTAAATTTTAGAACTTCAACTTTCCTAAAAGGATTTCTAACTTTAAGCAATCTAGGCTAATGTAGAGGAACGTTAAAAAAGTGCAAAAATAGAATCGCATTAAAAATTAAAGGATAGCAATTCTAGTAAAATGCTGTAAATTATAATAGACCGAGATTCCTTTGGTAATAAATAAACAAATGTGTCTTCCATCGGCGGTTTTTTATCATCCACTTAAAGTCCTCGTTGTTAATGCGATGGTGTAATTTACTTCATTAATATTAGTTTCATACTAGAGGACAAACGCTCATAGAGACTATGAAGAAGATTCAATTCTCTTTAAAATAGAATGAGTAAAGTGCTTACTCTTAGGACCTTTTCAAAATATTGTAAGAATTAGAAGAGAATTTAAAATAGTTTTTAACTCTTCATGAATAATTTGCAATCGAAGTATTTTTATGTTGTAAAAATAGATTCATCGAAATAGAATAGATCAAACAGAACAACAATCTCAAAATAAACAACAATCCACCCATTCGATGAGTGATTAATTTCATTCTTTGGAAGATTAAAATACCAATTAAAATCCTAATCAGTAAATACTGAATAATGATGAACTTGACACCAGCCAATTTGAAAGTGAATAACACATCAAATAGTAATTTGAATGTTTCGAAATGTCATTGGCAAAATTGAATGAAGAGGAAAAACAATATTGGAAATAAAAATTACTATAATTAATTAACACTCTTTGAATAATTTTAATATTATTTATGGAAGAAGAAAAATCAGATTAAGTAACGATTGAGCCCTTATTCTTTCCATCAAAAGAGAACGAATAAAAGCTAATTCAATTTCTCTCCCAAGCCAAATCATACATCCGTATCTGTGTTTACACATTCACCAATAAAAACATTGTTGCCAAAATGTTGTAGATGATGAAAGAAAATCCTAATCTTAAAATACAAGTCATCACTGATGATGCTTAGACCAAGATACCCTCATAAAAAGCTATTCTGGATTAGATATTGGAAGAAGGAAAGGGCTAGGTAATTCATTAGCGTTATATTTTTCTCAGGCTGAAATCAAACTTGACAATTCAACAGTTAGTTTGATGCATAATAAATATCTAGTGATTGACACAGATTATATTGCTACAGGTTCTTTTAACTGGACTAAGTCTGCAGTTACAACCAACAAAGAAAACTTACTATTAATTAAAAGTAAGAAACTTGTGCAATAATTTGATGAAAACTTCTAATAACTATGGAAAGACTTTCAATTCATGAACGACAGAATTCTATAATAACAACAAGAAGAAATTGATAAAGCAGAACGTTAGAAATTAAAAGCAGAAAAACTAGCTGAATAGGCTGCAAAAAAGGCAGAACAAGAAGCAAATGCTGACCCTAATAATCCAAATCCCACACCAACAGAACCATAAACCAAACCTAAAAAAGCTCCCAAAGAACCCAAACCACCTAAAGAACCTAAACCTCCTAAGGAACCCAAACCTCCTAAAGAGCCAAAACCACCAAAAGAACCTAAACCACCTAAACCTCCTAAACCTACTAAAGAACCTAAACCACCCAAGGAACCTAAACCCCCCAAGGAACCAAAACCCATTAAGCAAAAAATTAGAAAGGTCGCCTAACCTAAGAAAAAGAGGGAAAGTTAAGAGGATGAAGATTTTAGTGATGATGGAGAGGAAGTCGACGTTTAGAATGATGTCGAAGATGATGATGACGATGTTGCAGAGGAGGAAGATTCAATGGAAGACTTTTTAGCAGAAGATGATTCTGAATGTGATTGATAAATTACATAAAAAAGAAATAAACAAAATATACATTAATTATGAACTATAGCTCCTAAAATGAATACTATGTCAGAGATTCAAAAATAATAAGTGAGAGTCTTAATTAAAAGAAACTAAAATCTCAATTATCATTGGCAAAATCTCCTTTCAAAGATAAACGCAAATTCATTAATGAGTCTGAAGGAGCAATCAAAAATAGTTATCAAATACAATTAAACAATTTTGTTAACGGAGCCCGAGTTGCTCCTTAACCTATGTTTAAAACCACTGTATAAAAACATGGAGTTATAAAGCATGTAGAAAGAATTCATTCTGAAACTTAAAAATATCATCAAAATTTATCCAATAAAAGATCTGAAAGAAATATATTTTATAATAAATTGATTTCTGCTTCCACAAAGCGATCATATAAAAAAATTAAGTAGAACTATTGCAAGACAAACGATAAAACCGATTGCATTTCGAGAGCTGAAATTACATATCTTTAAAATAGCTATATCGATGCTAAACCAACTGTTGCTGACACTTCGCTATAAATTAATCATCATCAAAATAAGTTGATAAGGAAAAATAAATATTAAATTATTTCGTATGCTAAGAAAGAGGAAAAGTACAATATATTGAATTAAACAGAAAACTAAATGAATGATGAAGATCCATCTGAAAAACAGGTTCTGCCTTTTAAATCAAAGAGAAAATTGTGATTAAAATTATTAGATATTTTATGCTAATTATAATTACTATCAGTTAATCAACTTATAAATAAACATTAAATTTTAATATTGTCAATATAATTGCAATATATGGATATTTAGAAATTAATTAATAATCTTGTTAATATATGAAATATTCCTAATATTTGGTTTTTATATAACAGAACATTTCTATTTCTATCAATTCAATTCAATATTTTAAAGAGAGTAAGAAAAGTAGATCATATTTGATAAAAAATATAAATAGAAAAATGAAAAAATTTATCATAAGCGATTTAAAAGATATAGCCTCTTAGACTTGGTTATTGATTGTGAAAGAAAATTGTAGAAGATTGAAACTAATATGTGAGAATTTTCAATACATTTGTATTTAAATTTAATTTTATAATATAAAAACGAACTAAACTAATTGGTGAAGAATACATTATTTTTTTATGTTATTACTCTTTCACTAACATACTTCCTACAATCCAGAATATGAGAAGTAATCTCTCAAGCCAAATTGTTCATAAAATGTTATTCTAAAAGCAATGCATGCATCTTTATACAACAAATATTCCTATGCTCAAAATTACTATTACACTAATAATCTGAACATGATTATAAATAATCAAGGAAGGCCATCCATCATTCACATATATGAGAAAGAATACTTTGAATGCAAGGAGTATTTGAATAAATATCATGATAAATAAGTTACTCAAAAACTAAAGAAACTGATTTCTATTCATAAACAAACTTTAAATGCTCCTAGATACTTTTTAGAACCAATTAGTTTGGATCTTTTAGTGGATAAAAATTATACAAAGAAAAGGAAACTGAGATAAAGAAATTTATAATAAAAATAGTAGACTCAATATAATAATAATAATAATGGTAAATTTAACTTAGTAAATTAATTTCTTAAAATGAAACTCATTAGTTTTGATCCAATTTTGAAAGACTTGAACGATTCAAAGCCAACAACCATGTAATTTGTAGACATGTTGAAGGAGTATAATGCATACAATAAACAATACAGAAATGCTTAATTTATTATAGAGATGGAGTAACACTAAAAGCAATCAGTTTTGGATGACAATGTAAAAATAAAACAGTTCAATGAAATTGTATCTTTCAACAAGAATTCTAATCTATCAGGATCAACACGTCTATCAAGTACAAGAATTCAAAAGGAGCCAAATATCAGAAATATCTTAATGCAGCATTACACATCATTAAATTATTAGAATTTCATCAATCAAAGAATTTTGTAATAGGACGAAAAACATCTGAGTACTAATAAAGCAATCTTCAAAAATACAACAAATTAGGAGAACTTGTAAAAATGCAACAATAAGGTTCAATTGACTTAGTACAAAAAAAAATAACCCTAGCCAATCGATGTGATGATGGAATCAATGAGATCTTAATAATAATAGTAGCAAATATAAAGTAGTAGAGCAAACCCTGAAAACAAGAGAATCCAATCTAAACCATTTCTTAGCCCAAAAGGATAAGTAACTTCGAATATTAATTTTAGGAGAGTGCCTTCTAATATAACTAAACTAAGATGATACTTCATAATATAATTATAAATTTATATAATAAGATTAATTCATCGATTATATCCAATTTAATGACATAAATAAATCATAAAATAATATGCAAAAATTTAGGAATATTGCAGCATTTTCTACAATTCCCTCTTATTTTACCCTCGATCCAAATTAAATGTAAGATAGTCTTTTAATTAACATCACAATAGATCTGCTCGCAATCCTCACAAGGCTCAAAACTTTTTGCGTGGAAAATGGATTGATTCCCATAAATATCAAACAATAATAGATCCATTGAATGGCGAACCATTTATTACTGTGCCCGATGTCTAGGATAAATAAGAGTTGTAGAAATTTATTGATTCAGCCAAAGAATGCCCAATTAGTGGATTACATAATCCATTAAAAAATCCATAAAGATATTAACTTTATGGGGAAGTATGTCATAAAATAGCTGCAGAACTTAAAAAAAAAGAGGTTCATGATTTCTTAGTGAGATTAATCCAAAGAGTTGTACCTAAGCATTTTGCATAAGCATCAGGGGAAGTTGTTGTAACAGAGAGATTCTTCTAAAATTTTAGTGGTGATCAACCTCGTTTCTTAACTAGATCATTCAATGTCGCTGGGGATCGACCTGGATAGCAATCATCAGGATATAGATGGCCTTTTGGATCTTGTGCTGTTGTGGCTCCATTCAATTTTCCATTAGAAATACCAAGTTTATAGATATTTGGAGCTTTGATCACAGGAAACAAAGTTTTCTTCAAAGGAGACAGCCGAGTCAATGTTGTTATGGAATAAATGTTGAGATTAGCCCTTCATTGTGGATTACCAGCTACAGATGTAGATATGTTATTTGGAAATGGTGAAGCGACTGAATTTATTTTAAAACAGGGAAATTTCAGAAACACTTAATTTACAGGATCATCAAAGGTCGCAGAACATTTAACAAAAGTATTGAATGGAAAGATAAGAATTGAAGATGCTGGATTTGATTGGAAAATACTTGGTCCAGATGTACCAGATGTGGATACTCAAAATTATGTTGCATGGCAATCTGATTAGGATGCATATGGAAGCACTGGATAGAAATGTTCAGCTTAAAGCATACTCTTTGTTCATGAAAATTGGGTTAAGGCAGGATTTCTTGATAAAATTAAACAACTTGCTAGTACCAGAAAATTATAAGATTTGAGCAATGGTCCCATAATAACATGGAACAATACATAAATTAAATAGCATATTGACAACATTTTGAAGATTCCTTAATCTAAAGTATTGTTTGGTGGGTAGGAATTGAAAAATCACACTATTCCATCAATTTACGGAGCATTTGAACCCACAGCCTTGTACGTTCCATTAGATTAAATTTAAAAGAATAAGGCAGTGACTACAGAATTGTTTGGACCATTTTAGATTGTCACTACTTATTCTTCTGATTAAATCAATTAGGTTTTGGATGTGATCAATAATCTTGAAAACCATTTGACTGCAGGCATAGTTAGTAATGATGTGAATTTCTTAAGACATGTTTAATCCAATACAACTAATGGAGTGACTTATAGGTAATGTGAGATTCAATTATTTTAGTGGTATAAGGGCAAGAACCAACTGGTGCTCCCCAAAATCATTGGTTTGGACCATGTGGAGATCCAAGAGGAGCAGGTATCGGCACTCCTGAAGCAATATTATCTGTGTGGACATGTCATAGGGAAATTATACATGACATAGATCTGGCTCCTTAAGGATTCAAAGGATAACAAAGTTGATTATTGTTTAATATATAGACAATATAGAATAGATTTGTCATTATCTAATCCAATCCAATAATTTGATAGCATCTTGCCATCTGAGATCTACTGATCTACAATTTAACAGTACAATAATGTACGAGTTCTCGTTATCCTCAAAATACTCTACAACACAAGGCCCTGCCTCTTTTGTTATGCCTGTCTTAACACCCCTAAATCCTTGGTATAACATCCTATTAGTGTTTTCCCAAAAGATTTCCTTTGACTCTCCAAATTTGTCTTCAATTTCACTAAAGTAGATTTTGGTCTTGACAATACTGGCGAACTGTAGATTTTACATGGCATGATAGGTGAGGATGCCAATATCATAAGCAGACGAGTAGTTGGCTTCATGATACAAACCTTTTTGTTAGATTAATAATACCATGAGGATTAGCATAGGATGTCAACTCCATTCCAATGTCTTATGCGTTTTGATTCATTTGTTATATAAAGTCGCAACCTTTATAAAGTTCGAAATTATGTTGTAGGGAGATTGCTGCATCGTTGCCAGATGGTAACATCAACCCATAGAGCAGATCTCTAATGCTGAGTTTATCACCACTTGAGAGTTGTGCTGTTGTGCCTCCAATCCTTTCTGCCTATATTTAAGCTATGAACTACTTTTTCTGGCACTGTGAAATAGGTGTTATCAAGGTCCAATTGAAATTGCTGGGTGAGTTTCAGTGCTAGCCAACATGTCATGATTTTGGTGATTGAAGCCATTTGTCTGCTTTTATATTGATTATAGCCCCCCATCAATTGGCCATTCTTTCCATTAATAACACACCAGCTCTGAGCAGACACTAATGGAGCCACACTCTCCAAAGGTGTAATGGAGATTTATTATGGTAATATTCGTTTAGCTCTGGAAACTGCAGTCTTGGGTTTGATGGGGGATTATTGATATTTTTCCGAACTCTTTTTCGAATAGAAGGAGTTGTTGGCTGTGGAATTTAGGAGTTTGACTTTGGTATTTTTGGGGTTGCTGTACATGTGAAACCTTTTGGAGTCCATGATGGTGGTTTTCTGCTTTTTTTGTTCAGGTTCTTTATCTTGCTGATGTGGTTGAATGACTGAGACTTTTCGGACTTAAAACTTATCTGCGGGTTCAATAGATACATTGAATACTTTACTTATACTCTCTGAAGATTCTCTGGGCCAACATTAAGGTGTTGCTGAGATTTTCGGTTTGTGGTTGGAGGAATGCTTGGTGGCGATAATTGCTGGCACTTGTAGGTTGGTATTTGAGACAGAGGGCTTGTTGTCTATTTTCAAAGTATTCTTGATTCATGTAAATATTAATAATGAAATTGGGTATATAATTAAATTATTTAGATGTTATTTTTTTTATACAGGAAAATCTAATAATGCTTTGGATGTAATGTATTTAGGTCCAAATATTTATTGATTGAAGTTACTATGATAAATAAATATTTATAAATTATAATAAATAATAACTGATGGGCAATGAGATTTCTAATGGAAGTCCAGGAGATCTGGAATAGATGAAAAGATTTATGAACATGTCGCCAGGTTAGGTCAAATTGATAAAGTAATCGTGTTATACAAATTGTGTTTTAGAGAGAAATTCGAATTGATGGCGGATGAGGATCTCACGATTGATAGGAATGGGTTTATATAGTTGATGAAATTGAAGGAGACTGAAGTAGATAAAGTGTTTTAATTTTTTGACATCAGCAATGATGGTCGAATTGACAGTCATGAATTTGTATGTGCTTTGAGTCTTTTGAGTTAAGCCACCCTGAAGGTATTTCTAGAATTATTATATCGAAGGAAAAAGCAAATATCATATTTTCCTTATATGACTTTGATCACAACAAAACAATCACTCGAAATGAATTGGTCATTCTGATCAAGACTACTTTGACAGCCTTGGGAGCCATGTCACAGAAGGGAGAATGCACCATCCAAGAGGCAGAGAGAATCTCAGACGAATTGCTAAGGAAATATGATACAAACAAGGACGCCTCAATATCTTTGTCTGAATTTCATAGGTATGTTTATATTTTAATAATTATTTCGCAGTCTTTTATCAAAAGATTAAGATGTGCTCAAGATGCTCCTATCCTATGGCTTATGCTCACTGGAAGATTTGAGATCTGACTTCGGAGGAGCCTAATAGGGTGATGTTCCGTATCCAGACTCTGATTTGGAGAGTGAAACACAGCGAAGACAATTGGCATACGATCAGAAAAGAGAATTGAGGAAAATTGGAATAGAAGCCAATCTTGATGATGGCAATACTCAATTACAATAAGATAATAATCAAAAAGCTCTCAAAATGACCAACAAAGAAGTTTGGAAAAACCAAGTTAAGAATGGTTATCCATCTTCTTGGAAACCAGGAAAAGGGGATATCAATCCACCAAGTACATTTATGGAATTAGATTACATATATGGATTTAGAAGTTTTGACACAAGAAACAATATTAAGTTTGTTGATTAAGAATTAGTCTATTTTACTGCTGCAGTTGGAGTGGTGTATAATCCATAGACAAATTAATAAAGGTTCTTCTTTGAACACACAGATGATATTACATGCATAGATGTTTACGATAAGTATGTTGCAACTGGTTAGGCAAGGGGATAGGTTCCTCCTATTTATATTTGGGAAGTTAAAGATTAAATGTAACCATCTAGAGCTGCTTTTAAAGGTATTTTGCGTTAAGGAGTGCAATGCTTAGCATTTTCAAATGATGGTAAGAAATTGGCCGCTGTGAGTATGGATGATGATCACACTTTGGTTGTTTATGATGTGGATAAGGGAATAGATGCAAGATTGAAAGGTGATGTATCATAGGCCTTATTAGCCACAGGTAAAGGTCCTAGGTCATTTGTATTTGATATTAAATTTGATAAAGTTGACAAGTATTTGATTGTGGCATGTAAGAATGAAGTCTACTTTTGCAGTTACGATTAAAATCAAATCAGATTGAATCTAGGAATTTGGGATACGAAAACATCACCATTCTCATCAGTATTATGCATAGCATTATGCGATAACAATGTGATAACAGGTACGTACAGAGGATAATTATTAATCTGGAAGAGCAATAGAGCTACTACAGCAGTGGATGCTCATAAGAGTGCAGTGCTAGCTATTCATACGAAGAGAAGTTAGGAAGGTGGGGTTGTATCAGGGAGTAAAGATGGAACAATCATAGTTTGGGATGTGAACATGAAAGCTAAAGAGAAGATAAATGTTCTGAACTTAAATTTAAAAATATTCAATTTCAAAGTATAAAGTGTTACAATAGGACCAAATGATTAAGATAAATCTGTCCACTTAGTGTTTGGAACAAGAGGTTCTGACATGGTAGAGGTGCAAGGACCAAAAAATAAGATTTTAATGAGAGGACATTCAGTCGGAGTCTTAAGGGGATTGGCCATGCATCCAAAATTCCCTACTTTTTACACAATTGGAGAAGATAATATTTTGGCTTGTTGGCTGATCAAGGATAAGAAGATGTCAAGTTGCATGAGACTAGAATATCCTAGCAGTGCTATTCATATTAGCAAAGATTACAAATATCTGGCTGTTGGTAGTACTAATGGAACTGTACTTATTATTGATCCTAAAACATTGATGCCTACTTTTAACTTTAAAGATAGGGATGCTGAAGTCTCATGTCTCAAATTCTCTCCTGATACTGAATAATTAGCAGTTGGTCATGATGCACCAAGTTGTGATGTCATCATATATTCAATTAAGAATCATTTCAAAAAGACTAATGTTTTAAGAGGATCTCCTGCAAGAGTAATTAGTATTGATTTCTCATCCACATGCAGAGTTTTATAAATTAATGATTGGAGTCAATAAGTTCTCTATTATGAATTGGGTGGAGAAAATAATCAAAAAGTACAACCAGATGGAGCTTAGAAGTATAAGGATGAGAAGTGGGCAACATACACAGCTATATATGGATGGCATGTTTTGGGAGTATGGCCACCTTTATCAGCTGGAAGTGATATCAACGCTGTGGATAGATCTAATAAAGGAGATATTATAGTTTCAGCTGACGACTATTCTGGAATCAAGATATTCAGATATCCTGCTGCATAACCAGGTTAAGGATTTTAGAGATATGTGGGACATGCAGCACATGTGACCAATATCAGATTCTCAGCTGATGACGAGTACATCATATCATTGGGTGGAGCAGATAAGTCCATCATGTAATGGAAAGTCTCGCATGATAAGGATGCTCAGATTGAGTAAGATCAGGCATGTGAATCAATTTAAGATGTTTAGATATCCAAGGATTATTATAGACTCAATTTAAATGAGGAGGAGAATAAGTAGGAAGGGTAGAAGTAGTATTAAGCCTTTGTTAAAAGCCACTTAACCAACCAATTTTAAATTTGAATGAGAAGAAATATAATGTGTTGCCTTAGGGTAACATAACACTTGACTATGTTTTGGGGTATGAAAACAGATTAGTTGGGTTAGGATTACTTTAATGGAGTTAAATTATTTGGAAAATGGTAAGATTGCATTCTCTTGTGGAACGGTTGGTGTTATAATGGATCCGAATATGCCCGTTGGATAATAATATTGCACTCAGACTTATTTCAGATATCATTAGGATGAAATCACTTGCATTGCCATTCATCCAAGAGGAAGAATAATTGCAACAGGTACTAAAGCATTTGCTTTGAATGAGAAGCAATTAACTGCGATTTGTGTTTGGGAGGCTGAATCAAAGAAGGTTTTGTCAATGTTGAATGATTTTCATACTAAAATGATTTATTGCTTAGAGTTTTCATACGATGGTGTTTTTTTATTATCATTTTCCTCGGAATATTCAATCGCAGTTCACGATTGGCAAATTGGGTAGTTGATTATTACTGTAAAGACTATGAGATCTAACATTTATGGAATTTGCAGCAAGTCACCCACTGAGTTCATGTCTTGTGGATAGAGGAATGTCACATTCTATTAAATGAATGGAAGAAATATCAAATGTTATCCAGGCATTCTTAATAGCAATCAATTTGAACCAATGTTGTGCTGTTGTGTTGCATTTAAGGAGTCATATGAAATCACAGGATCTGAAAATGGTAACATTTTCCTTTGGAAAGATAACAAAAACAGCAAACATTACTAAGCTCATAGATCCAAGGTGAGTTCATTAGTTGCTGTTGGAAAAACCTAATTGTATAGTAGTGGTTTGGATGGTTAAATTAAGTTATGGGAAATGAATGGAAATAATTTGAATAATGTTGCAACAGTTATTGATATTACTGAAGCTCTTCATTAACCTCAGCTGTAGTGAGAGGCCTTTCTATCGATATTAAGAATGATAACATCATAATAGCAACTAAATAAGCCCAGATGTATCATGCTCCACTTAAGAATGTTTAGAATTTGAAACTATTACTTGATTGCCATTATGGTGGAGAAGTATGGGGAATCGCAGCTAGTCGTAACTCATAAACCATTATTACTTGCGGTGGAGACGGTGTTCTCCGTTAATGGGATATCAATCAATATACCTTGGTTAAATGTTCATCTCCATTTGAAAATGACATAAGGGCAGTCGATTGGAGTTCAGATGGCAAATACTTAGCTGTAGGAGATGTGCGTGGATGCATTTACCTAGTTGAACCAACAAATATGAATATTTTGGATAAGAAGAATTCCAAAGCAGGATCCCTAAAATAGAGTACATAAGGAAAAACATTTTGGATAGAAGATATTAAGTTTTCACCGGACAGCACTAAAATTGCATTTGGTGCTCACGGCACATAGTCATAAGTAGAGGTATGGGAAATTGAAGGAGGTAAATTTTCTAAATAAAGTTCAATAAACATCTCATTGAATAGTAGTTTGATTAAATTAGATTGGGCTATGGATTCCATTCACATAGTAGTGAATTCATCAACTTATGAGTTGAAATTTGCAAATGTCTAATCTTTGAAGGATGTTCCAGGACCTTAAGTGAAAGAATTGGATTGGTACACTTGGACTTGTTTATTCGGTTTCAATGTTTAGGGAATTTATAAAAAGGATGAATATTCAGTGACTGCAGTTTGTGTTGATAACTAAAGATAGATATTGGCAACAGGAGAATATAATGGTATAATAAATCTGTATCAGTATCCTGCTGTTTGTTAATTCAACTAGATTCATAAAGAATACCCTGGACATGCAAATGCTATTACAAGAATGAGATTCTCATTTGATGATAGTAAATTGATTTCAACAAGTGGTATGGATAGGGGAATATTCATTTGGAAAACAGATTGGTCTAAATCGTAATAGTAGTTAATGTTGCAGGATGAGAATGCCTATGGAAAATTCGATGAGGATATTGATGATTTAGCTGCTCTATCAGTTCCATAGGAAAAGATTAGAAGATTTGGATCTGGATAAGTATGGCAAAGTGAGAAGAAGAGATAATCAATTCGAGAAGAATGAAGATCAATAGAATTATAATGATCAGAATGAGAAAGGAGATGAATTCACTATCATTCGACCATGGATGGGAGCAATCAAAGAACCTTCCAATTATTATAAAGATCCATTGAACCAAAATAAACAGCCTTTGGTGGAATTGACCTTAGAATATGTTCATGGGTATCGTAGCAAGGATTGCAGAAATAATGTGAAATACTTAAAGAGAGGACAGATTGTTTACAATGCTGCTGCATTAGCTGTTGTCTTAGATCCCAATCCCAATCCAAATACTAATTCAAATGCATAAAGATTTTTCAATCATCATACTGAAGATGTAGTCATGTTTGGATGTGTCTAATGATCAATTTAAGGTAGCTACTGGATAATTAGGAGCTAATCCATGTATTTACATATGGGAAAGCAACACTCAAGCCATCATCTGCTCAATTAGAGGTTATTTTACAAAAGGAATCTTACAATTGGCATTTAACGACTCAGGAGATAAATTAGCTGCTATTGGAATGGATGATTGCCATCAATTATGCATTTTTGACATAATATCTAAATCTTTAACTGGAGGAACTTTGTTGGTCAAAGATCAAATTGGAAAGGATATTGTCACAGACATTAAATGGAAAAATGATTCTGAATTTGTTACATGCGGATTGAACCATCTTAAATTCTGGAAATTAGGACATGGAGGTTTGACTTACTCTAAGGCTTATCCTTAAAAACCTTTGTCTTATAAATATTTATGTGCAGCTGTCAACAATGAAGATTACTTGTTGGGTGCCGTGGATGGATCCTTGTAAATATTCTCTGGTGCCAAATTCACAGCTTATTACTAATATCTAGAGGCCAATCGATCATTAGAAGCTATAAGTGTTTCCAAAGACTTGTATTTATATTCATCATCATTAGTGTTCTCATCGGAGGAGCTGATTCTAAGATTGTCATTATAGATTCCAAGACTTACAAATTCAGTTTTATCTTTTAAGTTATCAGAATGCATGAGGAATTCATTGGGATTAGAAGTCAAGTCCATATCGTTAGGATTGAGTGATTAGAAGACTTTACTTATATCAACTAATGCTGGAGATATTGTTGAATTAGTTACTAAAGATGCCAAAATCAATATTAACTCCAAATTTGCTGTTTCTAAAACCTTAATGAAATCTCATTGTTCTCCAAATAAGCGATCTTTGAATGAAATTTGGGGTTTGGCTATTAATCCACAAGATTCTGATCAATACTATACTTGTGGAGATGATGGAACTCTAAGATCTTGGTCTATCAGTCAAAAGAAAATGCTCAATTGCATCAAAACCAATCTTGATGTTAATGGAGCAGAAATCAAACAAGATGAAGTTGGTGAATTGCCTGATAATACAAAAGGTAGATGTATAGCTGTTTCTTTGGATGGTATTTCAATATGCGTAGGATTTAAGGATGGAACATTTAGGGTATTTTATAAGTAATTAACTTAAGATATATGATAAAGAATTCAAATAAAAATATGTTAATAGATTAGCCAAAGAGTGGATTAGTGATATCAAATTCAGTCATGATCAATCTTGGATTGCAATTGGATCTCATGATAATTCCATATATATCTACAGTTTCCCAGATATGAAACAACGTTACAAACCACTCAAGAAACATTCAAGCTACATTACTCATATTGATTTCTCCATAGATGGAAATCATCTTCATAGCAATTGCGGAGGGTATCTAATTAATACTTATGTTATTCAGATATGAACTATTGTTTTGGGAACTTCAAACTGGTAAATAATTGCCAAATGGAGCAAATTAATTAAGAGATGAGAAATGGTTGACTTGGACTACACCATACGGATGGCCAGTTTAAGGAATATGGCCAGATATCTAAGATGGCAGTGATATCAATGCTGCTGTCAGATCAAATAAGACATATAATGAAAAGGATAAACCCCCTGATAATTATCATTTGATTGCAACTGGTGATGATAACTCATAAATCAAAGTATTTAGGTATATGCTAAATGTAATAATATAGATATCCTTGCGTTAAGAAAGAATCAGCATACATCTTAGGAAAAGGACATTCATCTCATATTACCAACATTGCTTGGTCAATGGAAGATCATTACTTGTTTAGTATTGGCGGAGAAGACAATTCTATATTCTAATGGAAAATAAGTAAATTGAGATGATTTATTGTTAAAATTATCAATAAAATTAATTATTTATATTTAAATTGATCATATTTGCTATTAAATTTGAGTTTAATTAGTTCAACATTGAAATAAATATTTGATATTTTTGTATTAAGATATTCAAAATATTGTGCAACAATTATTTCTAGCCTTTTCTGGAACTGTTGTTTTTTCTATTTAATAGAGCACAATTAATCCTTCAAATAACCTCTTGGTTACAATAGCTTCTGTGACACCAAATCTTGCTGATGGGGAAATGTCAGCAGTTCCTTCTTGATCCACAGATGAGTGCTCACCACCGATTCCTCTTGCTTATAATCCAATTGATTTTGCTTTATCTTTCAAATTGGCTTCGTCTGTTCCAGCTTTACTAAGATTTGGGAATTTGCCCAAGATAGATTATCTTTTTCCAGTTCCCATATTGGTTGGACATGTTGTTATGATACCATAGACTGGATGCTCAGCAAATTTGAGACCACTCTTTTCAATACCATTTAATAATTCATGAAGGGATTAATCAACCTTGCCTAAATCATTTCCTTAGACAATTGAAATAATTCTTAATTAATCTTCTTCTCCTACCCAAACCCATTTTACTCTCATCTTAACTTATCCAGATTCCTCTTCCAAATGGCCAATCTGATGCTACACCATTCGACATTAAATGATTGTCACTTGTCATATCTATAAATAAGAAATGCCTTTTCCTTAACTCATCAGCCTTTTGATCTGATATAAAATTCTTATGACCTGGTGTTAGACTGTAATAATTTCCTGGAATTCCAAAGTTTTCAAACACAGTTACCATTTGATTCTCAAATTTGATCCTCTCATCCTTATCCATTGATGATGGTAAATTGTAACCAACAACATTTCTGGCCACTCTGGCTCTCATTGAAACCTTCTCCAATGCAGGATCAATCTTTGTTAATACATATTCACCAACTGGGATATTCCAATCATGTTCTTGCTTCGTCTCCCCTTCGATCTTATGATATTCTCTGATTATTGGTTCTAGATAAAACAGAAAAACATCATAATCCTCTGGTCTTGTGGCTGATATACCAACTTAGCTATCATCATTTGTTAGACCGGCTATCACTATATCTAAGAATCGTTATTAGTCTTCAGCAGACATTGTTTTCACCTTCTCAACTACTGCTTGAGTATAATGTTTGTTGGCTAAGCTCACCTTTATATTCTTCAACTCATCCCATCTGGCCTATATCTTATTAAAATCAACATTCCCTTGTTCATCTAAGTAGAGCTTCCTTACATCCTATTTAGCAAAGATTTTGTGTTAAGACATTGCAATTTATAAATAACTTTATCACTTCATTTTTGTTAAAAACGTATATAAATTCACCAAATTAATTAAACATAATGGGAATACATAACTTCCCTTTTACAATACTTTGATTTTCTCCTTAATTTCTAATGATTTCCAACAATACTCCACTCAACTAGTATGACAAAATCTTCATTTATTAATATAACTATTATTAAAATGTCTGTTCACACAAGTCCTAAGAGCTCTTTCTTAAGTTCAGCTCGCACAAGACCATAAACAGCTGTGACAAGCCCTCGAAGACCTCAATTTCAGTAAATAAATATTGCATCTTAGACTATCTATTCCAAATGATGATCAAGATCAATAACTATTAATCAACAAATATACTGCCGCTACAAGTCTCACACCAAGGAGTTTGCTCAAGTTGCAAGAGAAGAAAGTCAATGTAGGAGCAAGATCTGAAAATGTATCGTGCAATTTGAGGGTTACAAAAGAATAGGCTGAAATTGATCCACCAGAGGACTATTTCGAAAAGGAAGTGTAAATTAATCAGGATGAATATGAGCAATTCAAAAAAAACTTTCATAGAATTGTTTTTGATGCTTTCGGAAATTATATTTACACCAAACCAGGACCCATTGATGAAGAATTTAAACTTTAAGTTTCTGTAATATATATTTGTAAACTAAGTCAGCATTGAATACGCAAAAGCATACTTCAAGCAGTCTCAAGAAAAAACTGTAAATCAAGACTCAGAGTTTCCAACCCAAAAAAACCATTGAAAACTTGGTCAAAAGCACCTCAGAAATGGCTAAAATGAATCCAAGAAGAAGAGCCATTCTGGAAATCAAATAAAAGGCAGAGAACTCTCTTTATACGATGATCAATAATCTTGCCAAAGAAAAAGTCTTGAGCGAATCCAAGGCTTAATTAGAGTAAGTTACACAATAAATGCTCATCTACATCGATAAATTTACAAGAGAAAAGTACCCTATTATCTATAATTAGCTAAGAACTTGTGGATTAATTAGAAATGGCTAAGGGGAAGATCTTTGAATTGTAGAGTTCGAATGAAAGTCTGAATTTTAAGAATATTCAACTTCTCAAAGAAATCAAGCTTTCCAAATAATAATTAGACGAACTCAAGAGGAGCACAGTTGAAATTGAAAAGTTCATTCCTTAATTCAACATTATGACTAAGAGGTTCGAAAACTTTTAAGCTGAAAAATTCATAGATAAATATGATTATTTTGAGAATTAAAACTTGATTCTCACCAAAAGAGTGTCAGATTTAGAGCTCGACAACATTTAACTTGAAAAATAACTTTTGCATCTACAAAAGGATTTAGAAATCAAACAATAAGTTAGCAAACATCAATACGATATGGATTTTAAATCATCCTCTAATAAATAAGATGCACCTGATTAAGATTACGAACAATATAAGGATATGTATTTGAACTTGTTTAAGAAAATACTATAAATATATAGTGATTGGACTAGTAAATCTAAAGCTCTATTGCCTGACAAAATGGATGGAGGTCCAAGAGCAAATTTAGTTGAACCTTTAGAAATGTTGTAAAATATGGAAAAAATGATAACTATCTCCTCTAGCGAAAAGCTCTAATCCTACTTAAGAAAAATTATAGTCAGTGCTAATTAGTTGTAAAGGAAATATTTAACTGAAAATGTCAATGAAAAATTTGATCCAGATAAAATTTATGAAAGAATTATTAAATTAGTAGACAATTTAAAGGCGCAAATTTCAAATCTACAATCTTAATTGTAAAGCTAAAAATAATCACAAAATGTATTACTAATTGTATTATTTAGTGTTTAACATAAGTGCAAACCTAGAGGTCAAAGTCTTTTCTTCATGAAAAAGAATAAAATTGATTATGAATAACTTTAACTTTTTCAGATAAAACATAATATTATTAAATCTAATTTCAATTCACATTTCAAGATAGTCTTTTAGATTAAACGAAAACCATGTAGTCTTCTTTAAACCTCTTCTCTTAGCTTGCATCACTTTATTTTAAGTTCTTAATAATTTAATCAGACGATTTATATTTCCAACCAGATACAACTTTGTCTTTCGATTTCAAATCTCCTTTGACATTTCGAAAGGAGGCTTAAATTACTTATTAAATCTATTTGGCCTTTTTCTCAGGGTTCTCTGATTTGTATGCCTATTAATACATCAAAGATAAAACAAGGTTATCTCTTGGAATTCTAGGCAACCTACTAATTGACTCAAAGACCTAATTCAAATCTACTTTAGAATTTGAAGATGAGTTCTAGGCCATAGTTGGTAATCTCGGATTCAACTGGCTATTTCTCCTTCTCTCTGGACTACTCCTTTCGGTATAAAAGAAGGTTCTTTCATTATGTAAATGACATTATACTTATCTTTATGACTTCTAATACAATGATCATCAGAACATTGGGTTTATAAAGGCATCTTAAGTAATTTAGCCTAGTATTGCTAAAGTGCGTTGCTGTAGACCCGTTATAAAATAGTTTTAATGGGTGAATTTCCAATAGATTTAATATCCTGAATATTACTGTCTGCAAGATTTTGGAACACTTTGACTTGACTGAGTTTATCTCCCTGAACTTCTATGATCTATTTGTTAACAATCTATTTTGAGGATTCATTTCTTCGATTAGTTAATTGATCTTGAGCTGCTTGGAAGATTTCATCTTTTTAATTAACTTAAGATTTGGCTGTTTCAAAAATTAGAGTCCAATGTTTAAGTATTACTTTTGAAGTACTTTTAAAGTTTTCATAAATTTGTATATTTCCTAGATTATCAAAGAATTTAGATTGTCCAATTTTATACACAGTAAGTCTAGGAGATATCACCCTTGCTCTAGTAAATCTTGGTATGTTATGGAAAACTTCCACTTCTCCAAAATGTTGATATTCACCATAAGAGGACAGAACGATTTGTTTAGATTTCAACTATTTAGACAATTCTACTTAGCCATTAATTATGAAATATATGTGATTGGATCTTTCATTTTCTTCATACAGTATTTCTGATGCTTTATATGTGATTTGATGACACTCTATAAGGATCCCCATAATTTCATTCAATTCGAAGTCAATTTCTTTGAAAATTGGAGTTTGAGTAAAGTAGTTTATTTTATCATCCAAAGATTTACTAAGAAAGGGATCTAAAAGTTATAAATAGGCTTGTTCACTAAGGAATACGAGATGCGAGTTCTCAATTGCAAAAACAGTAGAAGCTCTTGGACTGTACATTTTGATTGCTGCTTCACCGAAAGCGCTGTGGTTTATAAAGAATATTACTCTCCATTGATTAAGACTTTGAGAACTTTATAATCTGGAAAAGCACTCTTCAATCCATAGGGATCAGGATCATTCCTTCTCATATTTTGTTGTTTAGCCTTGCCTTCTTATTCCGACTCTAACTTAAGAAAACCAACCATTTTGTCTTTAGGTTTCATCACTACACATTTTCCATCTAAAAGGATATAATATTTTTTATTTGAGTCTCCTTACCTATAAACTGCAGTATTTGCAGGAACATATGAATATCTAAAATCTATGGCTATATTACCTTAACTCAGAGTAGACCTTATTCATAATTTCAACTGGGACTTGTTCTTTCATCAATTTGATGGAACTAACCGATTGCAATTATTCTATCAATAATGGAGAAGTGGGAAGTATAAAATTAGGTGGACTTTTAGCCCTCAACCGAGATGACATTTTACCAATCCTGGGACTAACTTCAGAATCAATTTAGGGTCGACTGTTTAGCTCTTATTTTATGGCTTCAATATCCAAAAGCTTTTTCTATCTTCTGGTGTAATTTTACAGGAGTTATTGTTATAACTGCAATTCTTCTTCTGAATCTGATTTATTCTGAGGTTTCTTGAAATCAAAAAGTTAACGATCAGAAACTACGAATTAGGAAGGCATATTCATTTTAAGATAAAATACTCTAATAATAAAGTTTATATTATTCGTTTATTGGAAACATGATGTAAACTTAAAGTAATTCTTGATGATGTATATAAATTTAATTAATTAGTATTATAAACCCATTTTCTTTGACTAAAATTTATCAAACAAAGTATTAATGAGAATGATAATTGCTAAAATTATGAAATATATTTAACTTAATTGCAGATAAGTATTAAGATAAATTTATAAAATAGTATTATCAAGTTCAATTATACTCTAATTGTGCAAATACTTCAGCAATCATCTCCAATTTCACAGGTTTAGTAATAAAGGCATCAAAACCAACATTTTCACACCTTTCCTATTCACTTTCATCATCAAATCCCGAGATCGCAATTATTTTTACATCCTCAATGACTTTTTTGGCAATCTAATTTAAATTCTGATATTACCATATCTCGAATCTTAGCAACAGCCTTCCACCCATTTAAAATCGGCATGAAGAGATCCATCAGAACATATTTAATGTTCTTGCTTTTCTGAAATGTTATTAACTATACACATATTACAAAAATAATTACTTTATTAATAGCTTATTAACCATTATAGGCTTCTAAAAATGAAACATTTAATGAAATATCCTACAATAACAATTTCAAGGCCAATACGTTAAATGGTTGATCATCAACAATCAGTATTGAAAATGTTTTGTTTTACAAAGTCTTTTGTAATCTTGATCGAGGATCCATTATTTCTTACGAGTCATCCAAAGTCTGCTCTTTAATTTTTATTCTGCTTGCTGTTGGAGATTTTAGATTTTACAAAATGTTAATGTTTTATAATTTCTACTGTCCTTCATCCTCATGTTCTGGATTCAAATCAAAGCCTGCCTCCGTATCATTTTTATCAACAGGTCTTGAGTAAACACGTAAAATTGATGACCTCACAAATTTTTATTACATTTCCTATTCATCAATTAGAGAGGGACTGTCAAGATTAAAGTTTTTAGAGCTGCTCTCCTATTTGAAAACACTAATATAATTAGGTGATCTCTTAGGATCGTCAGGCAATCGAGAATAAATCTGAAATGACATTCTCGTTCCTTTGTTTTGCTCACTCCATAGATCAATTTTCTCGGATGGACCCAACAATTTGATAAGCTTCTTACAAACCATCAATCCAATCCCAGTTCCACTCTTATTTTGGACATCCTTACTTGGATATGTGGCATACATATTGAATAATTTAGGCTTGATTAGATCCGAGATACCACAACCTGTATCTTGAATAGATATGGTATAAACCATCCTACCCTGTCCAGATTAAGACTTAACAGATTTTCCAGATAACTATTTCCGCAACTGCCCTACTGATTATTAATTTTATTATTGATGGAGCACACTTTTGGATGAAATTGTTCTAACTATATGATTAGCTTTATCAGTCTGTGGAGATTCAACTGATATTGTGATTGATCCTTGTTCAGTAAATTTTAATGAATTAGAAATAAAATTCATAAGAATCTATTTGATACGATTAGGATCACTATAGATTTAAAAAGAAGGAATGTCATAATGTGTTTATATAACAACTCCTTTTTGTTCAGCTTAAATAGCTACCAATTCAACCACTTCATCTATAATTTCGTTTAAATAAAAGTCACTAACACTCAATCTTAACTGGTTTTTCTGGATCCTGGCAAAATCTAAAATGTCATAAATCATGTACAACATCAAGTACACATTCTTTCTAATTATTCTCAAATAATATTTGGAAGGAGCACTAAGATTGTATCTTTCCTCCATCGCCTCTACTATGGTACAGATTCCATTAATGGGAGTCTTAAAATCATGAAACACAGTCGCCAATATCTAATCCTTATTGTCGTTTTGTCTTTTGCTTTCTTCAAGTTCTTCAGTCAATATTTGTAACAACTTTTGGCTCTCCAAGTCTTTCAAGGAAATCATAAAAGCTTCTTTATTTTTCCAAATGCAATGCTGCACTGTTATATTCATTTTTTTTTATTTCAACTCGTTAATCCCAAATAATTTATATTGGCTATCCTTAAATCTGAATTTGCTCTTTCCGTGAGGGGTATCGTCATTGAATTAATTGGAAAGTTGAAATTTTTGATTTTCAATTTAAACTTTAGGACTTTCAATATTTATGAAGTCCTGCTTTTCTATATTGATTTCGTCTTGCAATAATGTAGTTATTTTTTTATTTTATTGAGTTTCAATAAATTGATAATCTTCATTTGATATTTCTTTTAATCTGCAGTATTAGAACCTGCTTTTTCGCTCAATTTATTATTGCTGTTCCTCAAAAACACTCTTCAATGTTTTTTGCGATGAGTCCTAAAATTATTGGAGACAATGAATAAAGTAATCTTAGTTTGTGGATGTATAATTAAATTCTTATTCCATTTGATTGCTATGAAAAAGTGGTTCTTTTGTTTCAGCATCAAGTATCAGAACTGGGTTCGTCAAAGTTTTTTAAAAAAAATCAATTATTGAAGAAGAAAGAATCTCTTGAGATTGATCAACAATAAATATAAAAGGAATAAAAGCCAATCCTAAATATGGAAACATATTCATATAAAATTGTAATCTGATACAAATGTAGAAATAAGTTATAGAAAATATAGTGATTCGAAATGGCATCCTTTCTATTGATGTTGTTAAAATAAATAATCTGAGACTTAAAAAGAAAATATATTCCTATTTATTAATATAGTTTATACAGAAGATTAAAGAGATCCTAAAAACTCAATCTATAATATTTAGCATACAAGGTATGAAACACCTAAAAAAGTTTCTCTAATCAGGTCATTTAAAAACCTTTTATATTACAAAACAATAAATGCTATCATCAAAATTAGCTCTGCTATGAATATTATACTAAAGTTAAAACAACAGCTAGCCTAGATAAAACTGACTATTCCAGCAACCAAACTAATCGCAGCATCACAGAATCCAAAATATAGTAATCTATTATTCATATTAAATTAAAATTATTATAAATCAATTCTTAACATCCAAAAATTAAGTATTCTAAATACCCTCTTTGAGTGAACAAAATATTTTTGTATTAAATTTATCAAAAACATTTGTACTAAATGGATTCACAAAGAGTACTATAATTTACCAATTAATTAAGATATAATTTTTAATAACTCATTAATTAATATAATAAAATGGTAATTCAATTCAAATTTTGAATTTTGGTGAATAAAATATAAATAAGTTACTATTTTTTAATTTCAATAATTTTTACTTTTGATGGACCAACCTTTTTCAAAGATCATTTACACAGATATTTTCAAGTATTTAATCTCACTTTAATAGTTATTCTTCATTCTCACAGAATTGCCCTTAAAAATATTGTTAATCAGATGAAGAATTATGAAAAAATTATAAAAACTTACTCAATATAAGGTAATCATCATTTTATTTATCTATGTATGTTTTCTTTTTGGCATTATTGCACTGATATTTCTTAGGATCCATTTTGAGTCACCATATATCATATCTAATTATATATGACATCGAAAAACAAAAATAACAAATTAATGTTATTTATAAACTACATTGAAAGCAATTGAATTAAATAGTATAGATTTCACGAAAAGATTTCGGTAAAACATAAATTTTAATCTTAAAGCAAATTTTAAGATTTAGTAATAACCTGTTAAAAATTAACTACTTTTATTATACACTATTTCAGTAGCTAATATTTAATAAATAACAAAAAAATCATTTTTCCATAATAATTGTACATTAAAACTTATAGGAATTCTAGAGACTTTGCTGAATACAAAGATTCTCTAATTTTACATTATTTAAGAACCAATTATAAATTATCTTGTTAAAAGTCATAAAATTAAGATATTGATCTTATAATTAAATAATATAGATTAAAACTTTTTCATGAAAAATAAATTTTTCGTAACTCATCAAATTATTCATCTAGTTCTTCTATATTTGCCCTAGCAAGGAAATCATTTACTTGAAGTGGAGAATTTATCTCTTTTAATTATTGTGATTTTATTATTGTTTAGTAGTGCTTATTCAAATTGCTAACGTCTCCAATTTTATTTATGAGGATGCACATGAAGATCAATAATCTAAATTATCTATTGCTTTTATTTTCCTCTAAATTTTCAATTTATTTTAATAAATTATTTAATGGCAATCTATAATAATTTTTGACATCATCAAAATTTAAGTTAAAATTATCTATTGATATAAATTTTTTTATCTCCTAATACATCAAATGATTCTAATAATCAGGGTAATAGATTTACAGAGATTTATATAAATTGTCCAAATAATTTGGCATAAATTATTATTGGAGGTATTTCAAATTTTTCAACAACTCAAAGCAAGCTTAATATTGTTATGATTTAATCAAATTTTCTATTTCTTTAATATTGAATTTTAAAAATTGTTAACTTTCAAACATCAAAAATATTTTTTAGAAAAATATGCATTTAATTTTTTCAAGTACAAATATAGAAAGAGGAACTGAGATGTGATCACTTGAGATAAATTTAAGTTTAACATTTTCAATAGCCTAATCAATGATAGTAAAATTGAATAGTCTAAAGTTTAAGTATTTGTGAATAGAATTTAATTCAGGTTTAAAAAAAAATATAAGATTATTTAAACTCTCATCTAATAGAATGGGAGGAGCAATATCAACAACTTAACTATTGTCATCTCTCTTCTTAATTTCTTAATTAATTGAGGATAATGTTTCCTAATCCTCACTATAAAACTTTTTAATCTCTGTAAATTATTATTACTTTCCTTTAAGACCTAAGAAATCTGTCATAAAGTTTGCAAAACAATATCGATTCTATTGAGAAGGTGAGATAAGGTTTTTACAAAGTTCTTGCAGAGTTTTAGAATATGAGGAGGTTTCAATTTTTTTTTAGGTTTCAGGCCACATGGATTTAAAAGAGCCATGCTCTGGAATATCCTGATTTGTTAGTAAAAAATACAAAATCCTTCCAATTAAAAATAAATCAAATTAATAATCATAACAGTTTAATTCTCCATCCAAAGGCTAATATTCAAGAGGACATCCAAAACCAAAGTCCATCAATTTGATGCAAAAACTACCTTTCTATATGTTTGTGACCAAAATATTATAAATATTAAAGCATCTTCCCATTAACTTGCTTTTATGTAAATTATATATAGCTGATATTAATTAACCCAAAATATTAATAACTTCAGCCTCCAATAATTTTTTTGATATATCCGCAAGTCTGAAACTCCCAAAGTATTTAAAAAATATATATTTGCTACCTGGATTTGTTATCATTAAAGGTTCTCTTAAATATTCAGATCTAGGTTCTAAATCTTATGATCTAAATGCTTAATCATATGTTCCAGTATAGAAATATGCAAAATAAGATTCTGAGCTTGAAGTTGCTTCATAAATTGTAAAACCAGAGGATTTTAGATTGGAGGATCTAAATTAGAATTTGGACATCATTTGAAAATATATTTAATTATTAATATTTGAGAAACAATAATATCGTAAGTTATAAGCTAAAAGCAAAGTTCAACTATTATCTTAGCGCCTAGTTCTTTATCGTCTTGATTGTTAAGGCTATTCATTCTGTCTTCTTATTTCATTATACAAATCTTCGTCTTTACCATTTTCACAATGATTGCAATTGCATTCCACAGTACAAGTTTTCTATCTGATATAGCATTCACAATATCTTTTTAGACACCTAGTCTTTTTACAATTACATCCCCAAATATCTTTTGTTTCAAATAATTTTTCTTATGGCACTTTTTTATTTCTATGAGCTTTTTTCTTTATATATTCCACAGCCTCATCTCTTTAGTGGAAATGCATATTAGTATTTTTGCAATCTTCACATTTGCAGGATTCGCCACAAATTTAGCCATTGTGAAAGCACGAACAATACATTTTAAGACAATAGGTTTTAGTACAACTACATGGTTACCATTTTGAACTCTCATTTATTGGACTCTCTTGTTTTTTTTCATCTATATCTATTTATTTATTAATCACAAGATGTAATTAATCGTTGTTATCAATAGCTGAATTTCTTAGTTAGTATTAAATAGATTTTACAATTTTCTTAATTTTAGTATTTTTGGAGATTACTTGTTCTCTAAATCAATCTCACTAAACTCAGAACATTTGCTAAAAACTAACAATAACTTTGGTGGCCTATTCTCTTCTGATAGTTCAGGATTACTCATACAATAATTTTTAAATATTATATATTTAATATAAATTTATAAAAGAAACCTCAAATTCTAATTCTTATGTTTTTACATTTAAATCTTTTCATCTAAATTTATAACTCTATTTTGTTCCATACAATTTTATGATCCAATTAAGATTTTTTAATCATCTTACAATGTTATCTGCTCTTCAATATTTGATAGTCCAATTAATCTAGATGGTGGTTATTTCTAACTACTAAAAGTCTAACCATCAATGTATGGTTAATATTGATGATAATTCTTGGCTTAGATCGATTGGCAAAGCAGTAAGGGACACTTTGAAAATCCAAAATTATATTTTACTATTAAATAGATGTTAATAAAATTTTGAATTCAATATTAAATTTCTAACTACAAATGCATGAAGTGTCGGTTGCTGATTTTGAAATTCTAAGAAAATTAGGACAAGGGTCTTATTCTTCAGTTTATAAGGTCAGGAGAAAATCGGATGGATAGGAATATGCTATGAAAAAAGTATAGATGACTGGATTATCAATTAAAGAAAAATAAAATGCTTTGAATGAAGTAAGAATTTTAGCAAGTTTATCTAATCTTCACATTATCGGGTATAGGGAGGCATTTATCAAAGGAGAAACATTATTCTTAATTTTGGAATTTGCTGGAGGAGGTGATTTGTAATAAAAAATAGAGTACACAAAAAAAAAGGGTTTTGGATTTCATTTTGATGAATAATTGATATGGAATTATTTAATTGAAATGTTAGTTGGATTGAACGAATTGCACAATAATGGTATTTATCATAGAGATATTAAATGTGCGAATGTATTTTTGACTTAAGACCATAAGCATATAAAATTAGGGGACTTAAATGTGGCAAAAATAGTGAAATCAAATTAACTTGCCAACACCAAAGCAGGCACTCCATATTATGCAAGTCCTGAGGTTTGGAAGGATGAACCATACGATTAAAAATGTGACATTTGGTCACTTGGATGTGTGATATATGAGATGGCTCAACTATAACCACCCTTCTTAGCAAATGATTTGTATCATCTACAGAAGAAAATTCAAAGGGGAATTTATGAACCACTAAATTAAAGATACAGCAAAGAACTTAGTTATTTGATATCTAGATGTCTCTAAGTTTCTCCAAAAACGAGAGCATCTTGTGAGGATCTACTCAATTTAGAGGAAATCAAAAAGAGACAGTAATACAGTGATTCAGGACAATTGCTAACTAATGGATCAAAACTATTAGGAACCATTTATTTGCCCAGAAATTACAAAGACATAACTCTACCAAGACCAAGATATCAAACTGATAATAGTGATGCTAGTTTGACTCTTAATAAACGTCCTAGTTCTCGTGTTTAAAGGACAAAATCAAATAATATTTCGAATGATTCTGATAGTCCTTCATTTAAGAAGATTAAAATAAAAAATAAATTGTCAAATAATCTCAATATTCCATCTTTGTAAAGAAGCATTTCTTAAAATAATAGCCAACTTAAAGAGAACATCCCAAATAGCAGCAACATTTATTAATTGCTACCTCTTCATCAACATCACCCAAGTCATCAAGGATATTAAAGCAATAATGCAGGATAATGCTCTCCGAGACTACGGAAATAGTTATCCTCTCCATAACAATAAAAATAAAAATTATAATCAATTTTATAATAAGATTTTTATTTACCAAGAATAGATTAGAAGTAATTGAACAAGTACCAAAAAATCAATTCAAAATGTTATATTTCAGATATCAGGAAATTATTGTGATTAATATTTTACATAAATATATTATAACAATACAAAAGCTAATTTTTACCATTTTTTTTTTTATCATTAATATAAATGTCTAATTTTCGCTAAAACGAAATTCCCCAGTACGATGAATTCGATCCTGATAATTTGGATATGGATGATATTATAAAAAGAAGGTGGAAATCAAAGAGTGGAAAAGTAGTTGGATTCTAAAAAAATAATGGCTTGCCATCTTTTAAAAAACAATTTTTAGATGTAAAATTTATGCTCTATTTTCAGCCACAATAATTGGCAAGTCAACCAATGCCAGAGAAAGTCAAAGATTTCTTGAAGGCAAACGAGATCGCCATAAAAGCAATTGATGGTCAACCCTGCCCCTATCCATTTCTAACTTGGGGAGGTACATAATTTCCTCCGCAAATTTAAAATGTAATAGATGGGCTCAATTTTCGAGCTCCTACTCCTATTTAATCAGTTGGTAATATTTAATTACCAAAATATAGTGTTCCCATTGATTTTAAGTGGATACGATCTCATCGGAGTTGCAGAAACAGGATCAGGCAAGACATTTGGGTATTTGTTGCCTGGCCTTATTCAAATTAAATGCCAAAATTACGGATCTAATTTTAGGAATAGGATAAATGGCCCGGAAATACTTATTCTAGCCCCAACTAGGGAATTGGTTATGCAAATAGCATAATAAGTAAGCCTTTTTATGAAGCCCAACAATTTAACTGTCGCAACTGCATATGGTGGATAAAACAGAGATTAATAGGCATAATAAATAAAAAGAAACCCTGATATCTTGGTTGCATGTCCAGGTAGATTGAAGGACTTTTTATAAGAAGGAATTTTAGATTTATCGAAAGTGACTTATCTAGTAATAGATGAAGCTGATCGATTATTGGATATGGGATTTGAAGATGATGTTAGATTCATAGTTTAGAGGACCAGATAAGATAGACAGACTGTTTTCTTTTCTGCAACTTGGCCTAAGGCAGTAAGGAATTTATCACTTGATTTTTGTGCAGAGGATCCAATATATGTATAAGTGGGTAGATCGAATCTTACAGTAAACAAAAATATAGATTAAGAAATCATTTGTTTATATAATAATCAAAAGTTATAGACTTTATTAGATATTTTGGATCAATTGAAAATTAACGACAAAGTTCTTATCTTTGCAGAAACTAGAATTAGTTGTGAATAACTATCGGTTGATATGACTTAGGAGGGATATTACGCAGTTGCACTTCATGGAAATAAGACACAAGGCCAAAGAGATTCTATTATGGAATGCTATAAGAAAGGAGATACAAAGTTACTCTGTGCCACTGACTTAGCCTCAAGAGGGTTGGATGTATCTGATATCACTGTTGTGATCAACTATGATTTCCCCAAATATTTTGATGACTACATTCATAGAATTGGTAGAACTGGAAGAGCCGGTAGAAAAGGAAGAGCCATTAGTTTTTTTGCTATTGGTAAAGATTAACCCCAAATGGCAAGGGAGTTATTAAAGTTTGATAAAATAAATAAAATGAAATTAGATGTATAAACTATGTAAGATATCTCCAATGGAATAAGTAATTATTAACCATATTATTTATAGAATTGGAAAGAAATACTAATTTTCAAGGAGTTGCCAAATATGGTGGTTAGATAATGACACATTAGAACAATTCTAAATTTGTTGTTCCCAATTTATCATAGGAAGAATAAGCTAAATACTTTTTGCAGCCTCACCAATTAGAAAATATGTATTCTTTAATCCCATAATTTTAGTCATAGTAAAGGTAGATAAAATCATGGAAGATAAGATTAACCAAGAAATAATAAAGGATATTAACATAATAACCGTAATATTTAAGAAGAGCAATTTTATCAAAACAAATATCAAATGAATAATTAATAGAGAGGATAGTAACACAATCCATTCTAGAATTCATATAGATAAGAAGAACATAACAACTTTCAAGGATAGCGAAGACAAGATTATTTAGACGATGGAAGGAATAATGGTAGACAAAATTTCTAAAAAAATCAATAGCCTAGAACTGGACATCAAGACTCAGATTATCATAGAAATGATTAGAAATGGCATAGTAATTAATAAGGAGAATAAGAGAGATATTACGACAATCGAAGAGACCATTATAATCCACAAAGAGGAGATAAAAGTGATTTTTAGTACAGGTAAGGTTAATAATAATAAGGATTTGCTCCACAAAATAGAAATGTGTGGTAGAGAGAGTCATAATAAAACTCAAGACCTCAAAATCCTTATGAAAACGATTAATCTTATAACAATTAAAGAGGATATCCAAATAATTCTTCAAGAAATATTAATTACTAGAGAGATTAAACAAGAAATCCTTATATTGATGATAGAAATTAGACTAACAGAAATAACCATTAAGACTAAAGAGGTTATTAATAACCTTAAGATTAAGGAAGAGGTTACAGAGGGGATGGCTAATCTGATAATTAAAGATCTCAGTATAATAATTAGAGATAACTCGATAATTATGATAATAATAATAATCGTAACAGATTTCCTATTAATGAATAAAGTTAATAATAAGAGAAAATAACTCCTCCTGATAATTATCCAGAGAGAAATTAGAATTATCCTGAGAGAAATTAGAATTATCGAGAGAGAAATCAGAATTATCCAGAGAGAAATCAGAATTATCCTAATCAATAAAATACAAATGATAGATTTTATTAAGATGGTAGATAAGGAAATAAAAATTTTGGGCAATAGAGAAATTTACAAGAACCATAAAATAATCAAAGATTTTAGAATGAATCCAGTGATTATTAAAGGGAAAATAATACTAGAAATTTTAATAAACCTTAAGATGATATCCAAAACATAAGGAAAGATTCAACATAGTAGCCAGGGCCAAACATATAACCGGATTTTAATAACTATAGACCTAGTGAGGAACTAATATAGTCAAGAGATATGGTCTAAGATGGTAGGGACTAGGAAATAAATCCAAAGATTTTACCATAATCAAAATAGGTATATACCTTATTTAATTTATTAGGGAGAATTATAACATTCTTAACATTCTTCTTTTAATCGATTAAATGAAAACTTCAAGTAACCAACCCTTGAGTAAAGATAATAATTTGCATAAAGGCAAGATTAGAATAATTTTGTCGTGGAAAGATTCCAACAGTAATAATAATGGTAAATGATATCTTTATATTTAAGGGTTGACATGTCATAGAACCATAATTAAAGAACTCTCTTAGATTAGAAAATGGATTAGATGATCAGTAATCAAGATAATTAAGCAAAATACGATAATAGATAAAGATAGGTTCAAGACAATTTTAGACTATCTCAACCAGACGCGCAGAGTTTCAATAGGAATGAACGAGTGTTGGATTAATAAGATGACAGTGAGAATAATCCAGATTTCACTAGATATTCTAGATAAGTAGATGATAATAGAAAAAGATTTGAACTTGAACAAATACCTAAGTATTATACACAAATATATTACCTAGAAATAACTAATAAGAATTAAACAATAGTAGGAAGAATTCTGATTCCTAATAAACCATGATGTCGGAATAAAGCAAAGGAGATTCTTAAATTTAATATTGAATAATTTTAAGAATATAATAATTTAATATTGTGCCAAGTTTGTATTAATTATAACGAATTATGAGCCGTCTTTACACATTGGAAGATGAATAATTAGATTATGGTTTGGATTATGAAAGTGTCCTAGTAGTTAAAGATATTGATTAAAAAAGATAATAGAAGGGAAACGACAATGATCTTCAAAAAGTACTAAGTCTTCAATTTTACAGCAGACATCAGCAATAATCAAAGACTACTGTAAATTTGAGGAGCATTTAAAGATTAATCACTGAGCAAAAAGAGAATAATAAAAAGTTGAAAGAAAATAAGCCCATCAATTACAAAATTAAGACTCCTTCTTTAAAACCTTATTAAGGCTCAATAATCACGCCCAAATATTAAACCAAAACACCTTAACTTACAAAATCATTAAAATCGACAATAACTATTACACCGTTAAATTTTTAGGATTCATTATAGAAAATTAAGATGTTAGTTTCTAAATAACAGTAAAAATACTAGTTAGACTTTAACAAATTTAAAAAGTCAATATATTGATTTAATAATTTGTATTCAGATTCTTTTTATATTAGTTTTTAAGTAAAAATATACGATTCAAACATTATGTTGATTAACAGTGTATAGGATATATCAACAATAAGAAAATTCACCATTCATAAATATAGTATTAATTATTACGACTATTTTAATAATTTTAGTGGAGATGAAAATAAAAATACAATTCATTTGATAATGAATTTCTCATGATTTTTGCTAATTTGCGAGATTCTAAAGATAAATTCAAAGAGTTGAATCAAAAATAAATTATACTCTTAATTCAATGCAGTAATTAGTAAAATGATGAATTTATAAGTAATAACAAAAATAAATTATAAATTTAATGCAAATTAATGTTAAACAATCTTCAAAGAGTAGAATATTACTAACAATGATTGAAAATTATCACAAATCCCCTGATGATGAAGCTTTGCTTGAGACTTCAAAAAATAACTCAGTTGCCTAAATTGAAAAGAGATTCAAAAAAAGCTAAGTTAATCATACATATACATTTCCAAGAACGGAGGAAAATAACCAAAGACTTAATTCTGAATCTCCTATTGCAAAATAGTTTTCACCTAAAGAATAACCTCAATAGAAAGACAACTTCAAAGATCTTTTGAAAAAAATATATCTCTCTAATCAAAACAAAAATTCAAGAAAAACTCAACTCAACCAAGAATTTATCAAATAACAATATTCAATACTGCAACAATCCAATCATAAATCATTTTAGACAGCAAACAAATCAAATTTATAACATTCCTTAAGTTAAAATAGGCTTTTAACAGACGTAGGTTTAAAATAAAGCTATTCTAGGGGACAGTCCCCAGATAATAAATTGTCTTACTCAAATCGTCAGCTAGGAACACAGCTTTCTAAATTTATGAATCAAAATGTCAAGGAAAAACAAAGATCATAATAAAATTTTAATTAACAAAACTCATGTAGAAGTTTTGAACTTAGATATTAATTTAACAAGTCACCTTATTCATTACTGTAAAACAAAAGCTTTGATTTAATTAAATAGCTTTCATAATTTTCAAGTCTATAAAAAGTAAAATCTAAAAATAATTGATATGGCTTCAAATTATTAGTTTATAATTCAAATAAATATAAATGTCATTCTTTTTTTTTTTAATTAACATCAAATCCTCCCCCACATCTTTTAGATTTAGTCGTTTTTGCTTTCTGCTTAATATTTATCACTTGGGTATTGGACTCCTTAGGTTGCTAAATTACAGTATCTTGTTATTTAACCTCTACCTTTTATTTTAAACTATAGTATTCTCCTAACACTATAATATTATTCTCGAATCTGAGTTCAGAGGCTAACAGCATCATTTGAATGGCCAAATCTTCTGTTGGATTTTGAAATTCATTAGCCAAAAGACACTTTGCTTACTCTATGAAAATTCTCATGCAATCATATTTTTCTTCAATAATTGCTAGTAATTTTTAAGTACTTGGAACGGCCTTTAAATTGTCTTCCCCATTATCCAACCATCTAATAATATTGGCTATCTATTCAAATTCTTCATTTAAAATAAATTGTAATAACACAGCCAATGCAGAATAAATCATGGCATGAGATTTCCTTTAATATCTTTAAGTGATATTGTATTTCTTAGTTGTTATGCAATCTTAGATAAAACCCTTTAGATGCTTAGATTGGAAAATCGGTTATGAAAGCAAAAACTTTTCTGATCTCACAAATCCACTAATGTAGATATTGTCATTTTCAAAAAAAATATTTGTCGCTTTTAATCCTAATAAATGTACTCCATATCCTTCAAGGGAAGCCAAAGTTTAAAATAGTTGTTGAGTTATAGTAACAACTAAAAATTTGTTTCTAATTTTGTAATCTAACAATTTAGTTTGATAGAATCTCCTTAAAACCTCAATGCATCTTTCTTTTTCATTGTAATCGATTTCAAAGTATTACACAATATTAGGGAGATTCAACTTTATTACATTTTCAAAAGCATTAATTAAAAATACTTATTCTCTTTCATCTGTAATATATATTTTCTCTAATAAAAAATCATCCATTTGATAAAATTTTGAATAAGCATCTGATTCTAATTCATTTGCAGCGTAATAATTGAAGTTCTTAATTCCTAATTTATTTTTCATCATTGGAAATATGTTGTATTTAATTATATTATTATTTGAAATTTCTAATAATAACTAGAATATGATTATAAGTTATTTTTCTTTACAAAATAATATTTATTAATATAATCAATTTTTCATGAAAAAATAATAATAATCTAAATCTCTTTCTAGTCGCAAACCCTAAGATAATGCTAAGTCGGTTAAGAAACAGGAGAAACTTACTAAAATATAAGAGGCCTTTAATTTCAATAAAGCATCCAAATACATTGTACATTTTTCCCTTATTTTTAGTTTTAATCTGGATTTTAAGAGAGAGCTTGGTTAATTAAAAGAGGTTATCAAGATAGGATTGATTTTAAGGACTAGGAGATTGCTGAATTGAGAAAATATTTTTCATCCTTAGATGGAGACGGATCAGGTGCTATCGGAATAGAAGAATTAGAGGACCCATTAATTGCTTTAGGCTTAGTTAATTCTAGGGAGGAAGTTGAAAAAATTATGAGTGAGGTCGATGAGGATGGAACCAATGAAATTGAATTTAAAGAATTTCTAACTATAATGAGAGGAGTTTAGAAAGGTGGAAATGTGGACTAAGGAGAAAAAAATCCAATTTATGATTTTTTTAAAAGTAAAATTTTTCATATTTGTATTAGAAATGAGTAATGGCCAATTAGAGAAAGGCATGGATAAGCATATTCCGTTTAAGTTAAATGTCAGTTTATTTAGAAGAAAATAAATATTAAGTATAAATCGATATAAATTATTAGATGCAATAACTGGTGATTAAAAAGAGTTAAAAGATAAGGGATAAAAAATATTATAAGCATATAAAAGATAGTTATTGAATTATAAACAATAAGATAGAATCAATAGAGGAGAAGATCCAAATGGTAATTTATTGGATTAAACATTAGATATCTCCTTAGATTAGTTTCCAAACAAAGATAATGGTCCTAATCCAAGAAATGGATTTCCTAAGCTATAAAGAGTCATTTAACAAGAATAAACTATAGGACATAATCATAAACACTATGATAAATGAGATCAATTCAATTAAATCATAAATTTAGTATGCTTTTCTAATATCATTTTATTTGATATCTAGGATTTAATTCTAAATCAATTCTTAATAGTGTTCTGTTAGCTAAAGCTTTTCTTAGCTAAAACAAACTCTACTTATTTAAATATAAGTATTTAAATTGAATTGCTTCAGTGTCACATCCAAAAATAATATTTTTAGAATTGTTTAAATTATTTACACAAAGAGGATTATTAACAATCTATTCCTTAATTCATATCTTTTAATATTCAAATATTTGCCTTAATTGAATAATCATAAATATTGTCAAAAGAAATATGATATTAATAATTAATTATTCTTAAATATATATATTATTTATGAAAACCCATTTTAGTGATTTATTTGATTATCTGTCAATCATATATTTTATAAATATTGAAAAATTTGATTGAACACAATTTAAAAGAAATTTAATAAATGAGATTTGTGGGTATAGAAATAAATTTGATAAATTTTTATTAAAATATTGATTCCCATTTATATTATTGTATAAACGCTAACTACTTTTAAATTTCATGATTGTTTTAAAAATAAAATTTATTAAATTTTACTTATAATGAACATAAAATTAAAATAGAATAGGCTAACAAAAGTATAATTTTATTATGAGTCAGCATAAGAAAGAAGAAAGAAACAAGCATTAAAATATATTAAAACTTATTAATTATTTCAAACTCCATAAAAAAGTTAAAGAATAATTAGAGATAATATGCTTGACATCAGTTCTACAAAATTAGGTGATTCAAGTTGTTGTTGTTCAGAATGCGGAAGAGAATCTGATTTTAAATAAAGAATATTTAAAAATTATACCTTTACCCAAACTTAATATTCAAAATAAGAGTCATAAAGATAGTAGTAAATTATGGATCGATATAGAAATTCTAAATACATTAAAATCTTTAGGAAACTTGTGTATTGCTTGCTTTTCATAATCAGATATAAGATAGTTTAAAATATTAGGTATAGATAACGGTAGAGAATGAAAAAAGCTTTTAAAACAAGAATAGATCATCCCAAAATGACTTTTCTTAATATTTTAGACTTTTCATCAAACTAATTTCATATAAACCCAAAATTTAGATCCGCAACTAATTTTAATACTGTCTATATCTAAAATGGTACAGCTGTAAACTCTCCTTAAGATTCAGATGAGGAATTTTATCATCTTAAACCAAGAAAGTCTTTGGTGCACAAGTTTTCAATAGAGGAAGAATTAATGCGTAAAAAATTATCTAAATCCCAATAAAAACTATACTTAATGACTGGGTCAAATTCAGTTTTAAATTAATATGTAACAAAGAAATTAAACTAAACTTATCAAAAGTCAATTGAAAAGCCACAATAAAACGTAATACTTCCATAAAATTCTAAAAATAATGTTGCAAGATAAAATTAATCAGTCTACTTACCTAATATCAGAATAAAAAAACTTAATTGAAACTATAATTAACTAAATTTTGTTTTTAATAGAAATCATAATTTAAATATCTAAAATATTGATTTATATACGCCTATCTTTCAAATTAAATTAATATATAAATGAATTAACATCCTTCACATTATTTTAATTATTATTGTCTTAAGGTAAGAAATTTATAATATATATAAGCCCCTAGTAATGTTAATTATTGTACCATAAAAATTCATAACTAGAACAATTTTTCAAACAATTTATTTAGACTTGATATTTTTATATCAAATTATTGAATCATTAATTTGGTTTCTTCTCAATAAATATTTCATTTATTTCCTGAAAATCTTCTGCTTTCATTTTTCAAAATTTATAAATTCGTATTTTCTAATGCATAAATTTATATATTAACAAATAATAGGCAATCTCAAACTAAAAAACATTTAATTTGAAAATTAAATTACAAAAACTGTGTAAACAACTATATATAATCTTGCTTAAAAGTACTTAAAATATTGCATCCTATTTTATTATTAAACCAATTATGGATTTGAAATTCTGTTAATCTGATTAGCAATTATTCAAACTTTATGAAAAAGAAGAGGTTATAACTCTAATATATATTTTATAAATTAATGGAATTAAATTTTATGATATTCCCAGCTCCAAGACTCTCCTACCGTGAGGAACATTTGAGAGTTTATATAATAGTTAATTTAGGAACTTGTCAAGATTCCTTATTATGATGATTTATTTAAGTTTCAGCAAACATCGCCTAAAACTCGAATTTAGTTTCATAAAATGGATCCTTTTAAACCTCCAGAGGAAGTTCCAAATGTATTGCAATAATTAGAATTTAGGATGTTAGTTAGCTTTCAATCTATGATGATTAAGTTGATGAGCTTCCTAGCCAAAGAATTCCTCATATGAATAAGACTATTTCTGTAAGTAGACAACAAAATATGTTCACAGTTTAAGAAAATAGAAACAATATGAGAGTCTCAACTACTCCTCGTGTGAGTAGTAGCTCAAACACTTTTAATTAATTTAATAATAATAGGAATTATAGATGTTCAAAATAAATTCCATGCTTGTATTTAAAGGCTTCCATTCCTACTAAAAAAACTATATTATATTTTCATGCCAATTGTGAGGACTTATTGTCTTCCTATAATTTGGTGGACTTTATAAGACACAATATGAAAATGAATGTTTTGTCAGTGGAATATCCAGGATATGGATTGTATTAAGGATATACAAACGAGGAAAATATTTTGAAAGATGCTGAATATATTTATAAATACGTTGCATTTCACTCTGTAGTTGAAGAGAAAAATATGATCGTGATGGGTAGATCGATAGGAACAGGAGTAGCATGTCATTTGGCTTCGATATTTTAGCCTGGGCTTTTGGTTTTGATCTCACCTTTTTTGTCATTGTAAGAGATTGTGAATGAGAAGTACCCTTTAGTAAAGAAAATGGTTAAGGAGAGATTCGTTAATAAAGATAAAATTCAATAAGCAAAATGCCCTGTTTTTATTTTGCATGGTCTAAAGGATAACATAGTTTCAGTTGAATAAGGGAAGAAACTGTTTGGTATCTAATCGGTTAATAGTGTTTAGACTTATGCAAAAGTGCTTGTTTATTGAGGACACCGCCTGAGATGACACACACTAGATTTCAATTTGAGAATGACTTGACTTTGCCATTGCTAAACTTTATGAGATCGTTGAATTTACTTTGAAAATAAAAAATAATTTGAATAAGTTTTATTTAATTAATGATTCGTATTTAGTAATTACAGAGCCAAATTGTGGAACCAGCAGGTCTCAAAGGATAGTATTACGAATAAGTAAAAAATGGGGTTTATGAGTGTTTAGAGACCATAAAATAAATTGGAATGGTTCAAGAATAATGGATGGGGATATAAGGATACAAAATTTGTCTTAGAACAAGATGGAGCTGTAAGGTTGACTGGAAATAAATACAGATTTTCAAATTAGAGAATGATGAAATTTAAGGACTGGGCAGAAGCTAAAGTTGGAATCGATTTGAGTCTTAATTGTGAAGCATAAAATGAAATTCCTGCAAATCCACCCATCATCAATGAATAATTTATGAATGCAATTCAAGGGTAGTTTAATGAGATTTCCTTTGATAATGCATAAAGAATATTGCATTCTCATGGATAAACAATGTAGGAGGTATAAAGTACATTAAATGTAGATTTACGATTTAAGAAATAGTAAATTAGCAAGAATAGTGGATTGTGTAGTCTTTATAAATTCTCATGCTTAGGCAGAGTTGTTAGTGAAATTAGCTGTAGAATACAATGTAATGTTGACAGTTTATGGAGGAGGCACAAATGTTACATGGGCATTACAATGTCCATAAGAAGAAAGAAGAATGATTGTTTCTGTTGATACTTCAAGGATGAATCACATAAGATGGGTAGACCGAAAGAATATGACAGCTTTGGTTGAAACTGGAGTTACAGGAAAGGATTTAGAGAAGGAACTATCAAGATATGGAGTAGTATGTGGACATGAACCTGATTCAGTAGAATTTTCAACTCTTGGAGGTTGGATTAGTACAAGAGCTTCAGGAATGAAAAAGAATCGTTATGGAAACATAGAGGACATCATTCTATCTGTTAAGGTGGTTACTCCAACTGGAACTTTGTCTTAGAGTTTAGATTATCCAAGAGTCAGTAGTGGTCCTGATCTCAACTAAATTGTTTTGGGATCTGAGGGTACTATTGGTATCATCACTGAGGCTGTTATCAAAATTAAAGCTCAACCTGAAGTAATTTAAAACTATTATATCAGGTTTGTAAATATGAATCTATTTTATTCCATAACTTTGCTTTGGGAACTGAATTTATGTACAAATTATCAAGGAGCAAAGTTTGGCCAACTTCTGTTAGATTGGTTGATAACAATCAGTTTTAATTTGGAATGGCTTTGAAAACAATGCCTCATAGTAAGAGGGAGGAATTTATGGATAAGGTCAAAAAGTACTTCATCACATAGTTCATGCAATTCGATCCAGATTAAATGTGTTTAGTAACTGTTTTGTTTGAGGGAACTAAATAAGAAGTGGAATTCCAAGAGAAGAAAGTTTTTGAGTTGGCTAAGTTTTATAAGGGATTTAGAGCAGGAGCAGAAAATGGAGAAAGAGGATACTTCTTAACTTATATGATTGCATATTTGAGAGATTTTGCAATGCAATTTTAGTTTATTGCAGAGTCTTTTGAGACAGCAGTAGGATGGAAGAATGTTCCTGCAGTGTGTGAAAATGTAATGAGATGATTTGATATGTAGATTTAAAGAAGAATAGTAGAGGAGTGTTCTAAAAGAGGAGTTGAGAAGGAACCATTTGTTTCGTTTAGAATTTCATAAGTTTATGACACAGGTGCTACTATTTATGTTTACTTTGGATTTGGTTATAAAGGAATTGCAGATCCAGTTAAATGCTATTCTGAAATAGAGGATGCTGCAAGAGATGAGATTATGAAAAATGGAGGATCCATTTCTCATCATCATGGTAAATGATTGAATTCATCGTTTTTTTAGGTGTTGGCAAGCTCAGAAAATAATTTATGTAAAAGCAAATTGGAGATACTGGAGTTGAAATCTTAAAGAGAATCAAGCAATAGATTGATCCTAAGAATATATTTGGAAATTAGAATTTGATATGAAACTGAGCATAAAATTATTTAAAACTAACAGTTAAAAGAATTTAAATTCAATTAATTTAAATATATTTTTTAAGTAAATGAACAAGTCTGATACTACTCACAATTAAGAGAACATTGATCCAAATATAGTTAGAAACTCTGTTTCTCAATAAAAAAAATTTACAAGAAGTTCAGGTCAAAAAACACCTTGGAGTGCTAAGTAATATTCTCTTTAAATTTCGATTAGCACTGGAGAAATAAGTCATTCAACCAATGACGATATTGAGATTTCTTGTTTCCAAGTAGGACCGACTAAAATATCTTCACTTTCGACCAATTAGGCTCTGATATGTCAAACAAGATTAGAGTAATATTTGACTTCAAATAATGTTCCTGATATCCTATCATACTTAGATGAATTTGAAGATCTTGATTGGGTTAAATAAAATTATGTTACTCATATAATCGAATTAATCGTAAAACAAGAGAGAGAATATTTAAAATAGAGGATTGTTGGATTAACTGCAATATTGACAAGCAAATGTTATTTACTCAATAGATAAATCATCAAGATGATATTTAGTGTGTCATCTAGGATTGGTTCACAAGAAGGTTTCTATGCTTTACATGAAATATAAAACCTTATGGAGACAATGATTTTCTAGGAGGAACTTCAGTAATACAATTAGAAACAATACTACCCTCTTATTGTATATTGTCATACACATCAATTATTGTATTGGGGATTGGCTGGAGAATGCTGGGAATTACTAAAACTCAAATTAACCAAATAAATTGATGAGTCAGTCAAGGATGAATTTGAAAAGACAGCATAGAAAATCTGTGATATGCTTTTGAGATAATTAATAGAATTAAGTAGTTCAAATAATTAATGGTATCCAATTTTCAATTAAGTCTTATACGAAGGTGTCATTAATTTGCATCCAACTGATATATTCTTTAATAAACTCATTGATTATGCTTTCAGGAAGTCTCAAGTTGAAATGGCAGAATATCTGCTGGTATTTATGAGAGATCAAGCCAAAATTCAGCCCACTATTGTTACTATAAACACAATGATCGACTAATACTTTAAGAACAACCAGAGAGAAAAGGCTTGGAAGACTTTTGAAAATCTTAAATTGACCTAAACAAAGCCAGATAATTTTACATACACAACTCTTATTAATGGTTTAAAGAATTCGGATAATATGGATTTGAAATTGGCATTCTCATTATTTGAAGAATACAAATAATACAACCAGCCAGATCAAATCATTTATAATTGTCTTTTAGATGCATGTATTAATGCAGGAGACTTGAATCGAGGCTTCTAATTGTTAAATGAGATGAAATAATCTTAAACCATTTAATTAGATGAGATTACATATAATACATTGATAAAAGGATGTGGAAGAAAGAAGAGATTGAATGATGCTCTAAATTTGTTTGAAGAAATGAAATTAATAGGAATTAAACCAAATAGAATTAGTTTCAATTCTTTACTTGATTCTTGTGTTAAGTGTAATAAAATGAATATTGCATGGAGATATTTTGAAGAAATGAGAAAACAATATGGCATTTTCCCTGATAATTTTACTTATAGCATTTTAGTTAATGGAATTAAAACCAATCACTCAAATAGAGATGAATTATTGAGGGCTATAACTCTATTGGAATAGATTCAAGAGACTGGGTAATTCAAGCCAGATGAAATTCTGTATAATTCATTAATTGATGCTTGTGTTAAATTTAATGAGATCCAAAAAGGAATGGAATTATTTAGAGAAATGAAAAATAAACAAATTGAACCATCATCAGTTACTTATGGCATTTTAATTAAGGCATATGGAAAATAGAATGATTTGAATGGGGCATTTAAGATATTTGAAGAAATGAAATAAAAGAAGATACCAATAAATGATGTTACTTATGGATGCTTGGTTGATGCATGTGTGAGGAATGATAGATTAGATCAAGCATTGTAGTTCATAGATCAAATGAAATCTTAAAATCTACCAATCAATACAGTTCTATATACAACAATAATCAAAGGATTTTGTAAATTGAATTAAACTGAAGAAGCAATCAAGTATTTCGATCTCATGAAATAGTCACCAAAGACTTATCCCAATCTCATAACTTATAATTCATTACTGGATGGAATGGTAAAGAATGGATTACTGAATTAAGCAGATAAACTATTTTAAGAATTAGTTGACTCTAAAATCAAACCTGATCTTATTACTTTTAGTACCTTATTGAAAGGACATTGTAGAAAAGGCAACATGAAAAGACTCAATGAGACAGTATAAATCATGACAGGTTTACAAATTAGTCCTGATGAGTCTTTGTTACAATTAATATTGGAAGCTTGTCTCAATCAATAGTAGTATCATATAGGAGTTCAGATATTTGACCAGTTTTGTCATTAGATTCCTTAATCCACTCAATTGTTATTGACAATCATCAGATTGCATTGTTTAGATAAGAAATTAGTCTAGGCAATGTCATTATTGAATCGTTTATACTAATTAATGGACGAAAATAGAGTTTAGCACTAATTTTTAGAATAAACAATTAATTCCTTATTATTGTATTAGTTGGACGAATAAGTTTATCCAATAGTTACTAACATAGTAATAATAGCCTTAAAAATGGAGTTTAATATATCTAATTTGGAGACCCTAATATCTAGTAAAAATTCTTAATTAACCACGCTGTTATAAAACACTAGTCAACTTCCATGTAATAAGTTACTGCAGATAATACCTGAATTGGCGAACGAGGATTAGAATGCATGCAGAGAGTATGTTAGGAAGAACAGCAAGAACGGTCTTAAAGAGCCATTGAATGAATAATTTGGGTAGGTATTTTTGTAATGTAACAACAATAATAAAAAGAGTAAGGTTTAAGAACGATCATCACCATTCAACAATGAGAACAAAGAGAACGTCTACCATCCAAAGCGGTAGTATAATAATTATGCAAAGAACGATTTGGATGAGTTCATGCCGAACAAACAATACGCAAGGAGAAGATGATTAATTAATTAATATTATAAAATGAATAATGATCAATCATTAGAAGACATTGACTAATTTATTCATTCTTATGCACCGCAACAGTCTATCCCAAATATTCTTTCGCAAGCCATCACGTAAGATTAACTTCTGGTCCAAAATGTAAGGTTATTACAACAATTGCATGAACAACAATCGATTTTGAATCTTTAAAGTTTAATGTTCCTCAATCCAATGGTGCAAACATAAGTGAACCACGAAAGTAAGAAGATAAAAAAAACAAATAAAAGCATCTAAGTTATCCCCTCTACGACAAATGTAAAGGAAAATGCACAGCATCTCTTAGAAATTAAAGGAAATGTCAAAAATGCATATATAAAGAAAATAACTTCGTTGTTGAGTGTGGAGGGTGACAAATTGCTTGATGATGACTTTCAAGAGGATCTGGAAATTGAGAGTTGTTCCGACCTCCACAAGTAGGATAAATTGAGTGGACTGTTGAACTCTAACAATGACTAAACTCAAGTGAAACAAAAAGGAAGGTAAAGTGCCAAAATGTCAAGACTTCGTAAAAAAGTGTATCTGAAACTTTTGGAGAAGAAGGTATGTTATTGCATCTAAGTCAGGTTTCAGATCTGGATTAGCAGATATCGGAATACAAGAAAACAACCCGGCAATCCTTTGAATATTTGACTCAAATCTTGCAATCGCATCCCATCCTCAATAGCATGATAATAGGGAATTCGGCGGCAATTGATTAGGTAATGGAATGCTCATCTCCAGAGTAAGCCCAATTGATCCTCGACTCCTATATTGTAAGCATCCAAATAAATGTAGATGAGATATGGCATATGTGGAATCAAGAGAAGGGATTACTTCAAATATGCCGTAAAAAATATACAGAAGAACTTTTTGAAGGGGAACTATGGTCTGCTGCTGATGAGTTGGAATAATCGAGTACATAATTGTAAGAGACTTTGACTTATGAGTAGATGATCAAGAGTTTAATCAGTACGTGGAAATCGTGAAGGAAGAGGCCAAGTTGGAAGACGATAATCAAGTGTATAAGGTACTGCCTACAGTTGATCGGATGCTGAATCATCGAAGATTGTCCTAATAGTACACTTAACAGTATTAATCATAGGCTATTGTTGAAATTCAATTAGGACATCAGAAATTTGAGATCCCTCCAACAAGAAGTGGAAGAAACAGTAAATTAATTTACTTAAAGCTTAAGTCCCACTCAGCATTTAGATTTCATCAAGTTGATAGAGAAATAAGGAAGTTTTAATAGATATACCAAATGATTATTATAAAGTCATTAAAAATTTTTGGTTTTCTCTTAATACATGTCATCCATTTTAAACAGCATTGCTAAAATGAGATATAAAACAAAAGTATCAATATGATTTGAGTGTTGTTAGGCCGTATTTTCAGGAGTGACAGACGTTGTAGTTGTAGATCAGGGGGAGGAGAAGTATGCATCAACTCCTTTCAATGTGAAGTTTGGTAAATTGAAATTCTTAAATGCTGGAGAGGAATTGGTTATTGAGAGTATATTATAAATCCGATTGCATAGCATTGAATATAAAAGAGAAATCAACCATCAAATAGATGAGTTTGATAAAATTAGTAATTTTCATAAACGGAGAGAAAAGGGATGACATCCAATTTTACTTGGATGACGATTAGATAGGCCATTTTGCATATGACTAGAAGGCAGATATAGAGGAACTTAAATAGAAATATTTGGAACAGACAAAACAAAATATGAATCTACAGCAATAACAGGAATCTAAATTGATTCCATAAAATAAATTCTTAGTTTTGTCTAGAGTGCCTACTTCAAAAACCATTCAAAGTTTAAAGTTAAAGCATGGATTAAACACAATTACTTATGAAGTGGAGTGCAAGAGGTTGGGTTTGTAACATATTGAATGTCAATTGTTTATGATAAAATAAAACCAGAAGATTTTCATAAGTGACATCGATGGAACCATTACTAAATCTCCAACAAAAGGTATGATTCTATCTACATTCGGAAGAGATTACACATAAGATCACATATGTGAGTTTTACAATAGGCTCACTTAGAGGAATTATCTTATTTTATACATGTCTGCTCGATCGATGGTATAATACGAAAGTACCAAAGAATATCTGCTCAGATAATAACAATAGGGTATCTAATTACCTCCAGGCCCACTGTTTTTGTCTCCCTAAGAACTATTAGAGGCTTTTACTATAGAGGTTATCAAGAAACAGACTGACATTCTTAAGTCACAAATGTTAAACGATTTGGTCTTCACCATAGGAGTAACTGGGACAATTTAAGGTGGAATGGGAGATAGATTGAACGATATTCAAGCATACAAGATGGCCAATATCGAATATGAAAGGATATTACTGATAAATAAGAAGGGGGAGATAGTTCGAGTGAATAATGAAATGAAAGAAGAAAAATTCACTATAAAAGAAATTATTTAAAAGATGGATTAAATTTTCTGAATTTATTTAAATAATTACACAATTAATTAAAATGTCTGCTGTGGGTATTCGTGGTGAAAGAGATCAAGGACAAGATGTTCGTACAAGTAATGTAACTGCCGTCATGGCCATTGCAAATGTAGTCAAAACTAGTCTTGGACCATAAGGATTGGATAAGATGTTAGTAGATGAAATTGGAGATGTTGTAATCACAAATGATGGAGCAACTATTCTCAAATAATTGGAAGTTGAGCATCCAGCTGCTAAAGTCATTGTCGAGTTGAGTTAATTGTAAGACAAGGAAGTCGGTGATGGTACTACATCCGTTGTTGTATTGGCTGCTGAATTGCTTAAGCGAGCTAATGAATTAATTAAAATTAAGGTGCATCCTACCACCATTATATCCGGTTACAAATTAGCTGCCAGATAGGCTGTCAAATATATCCAATCTCATTTAGTGCACAAAATCACTGAAGATGACACTGAGATATTGATCAATGCAGCCAAAACTTCCATGAATAGCAAAGTTATTGGTCCAGAAAGTCACATCTTTGCTAAATTAGCAGTCGATGCAGTCAGACTAGTCAAAACTTAAGGTGCAATCTCAGGAAAACCTAAATATCCCATCCAATCTATTAATATTGTTAAAAGTCATGGACAATCCTCCAATCAATCTGAATTGGTCAAAGGATACGTTATCCAATTACAAAGAGCTTCATAATAAATGGTAACCAAAGTTAAGAATGCCAAAGTTGCTTGTTTAGATATCAATTTGAACAAATTCAAAATGTAGATGGGAGTTTAAATTTTGGTTGATGATCCAAACAATCTTGAGAAGATCAGAAAGAAGGAAATGGATGTTTTGAAAGAAAGAATCTAATTATTATTGTCAGCAGGAGCCAACGTGATCCTAACATCAAAAGGAATGGATGATTTAGCTAATAAATACTTGGTTGAGGCGGGAGCTATTGGATTAAGAAGAGTCCCAAAGGATCATCTAAGGAGAATTGCTAAAGCAACAGGTGCAAAGGTTATTACTACCTTCGCAAACGAAGAAACTGGAGAGTCCTTTGATGCATCCAGTTTAGGAGAAGCTGAAGTATGATTGTATAATAACAATAGGAAGTTTACGAAGAAGCCATAGGAGACAATGATTACATATTTTTCAAGGGAATGAAAAGAGAATAATCAGCAAGTATCATCCTCAGAGGTGCAAATGAATTGATGACTGATGAAATAGAGAGATCTATACATGATTCATTGTGTGTTGTTAAAAGAACCTTGGAATCTGGTTCAGTCGTAGCTGGAGGTGGAGCTGTCGAAATGGCCTTAAGCATTTATTTGGATGATTATTCGAGAACTCTTGACACAACTGAACAAATTGCTGTTGCCGAATTCGCTGAAGCTTTGACTGCTATTCCAAAGATATTGGCTACCAATGCTGCCAAAGATTCAATTGATTTGATCAGCAAATTGAGAGTTTTACATAGCAAATCTTAATAACTCTAAGTGGATGAGAAGGGATTTAAGTACAGTGGACTAGATCTGATTAAAGGAGAGGTTAGACACAATTTGAGACACGGAGTTCTTGAACCAACAGTGAGCAAAGTGAAATCATTGAAGTAAAATACAAACATATATTGTTAGGTTTGCAACAGAGGCTGCTATTACAATATTGAGAATAGATGACATGATTAAATTAGAACCAAAGAAGGAGTAAATGCCAGGTAGACATTGAGTTATGATAAGTATAATAAATAATTATATGCATAATATTATTAATGAAAGTCCATTCAAGGATGTTAATAAATACTTACTCATTTTGGTGCTTATTTCTAGTTTACTTGAAAATATTTAATTAACCTAGAATCAACTCTAAAATTAATAGAGCTTTATTAATCAAAATAAGGAATCCAACAAATCGTTTAATTATTTTAATAAGAATGAATCGAAGAATTATCACAGAAGTTGGAGATTCTAATCGCAAAGATCTCAAAGATGAGTGTAATGCAAATGAGTATAATTTCATCTCGAATAAACGTTATCTACACTTGAAATCCAATGCAAGTGAATCTGCGGTTGAATTGAAAAGACAAAGTAGAATTAATCCAATGGCATTTCAATAAGAGAATGTTTCCATAGATTAAACGAAGTTATACTCTATGGCGAAACTGTCCCTTCAAGGATAAACTGAATAGCTGAAGAATTGCTAATGGTAGGATCTCAATCTACAAAAAAAGAGTTCTTGCTTATTCAAGAATTTAGACAAATTAGAACATAAAATTTTTGTTAATCAAGGTATTTATAATAATTCTAAAAGATTGAGATTAATTTACAAAGAGAAGAAGTTAGTTGCTGAAATAACTAATGTAAATAAAACAAAGTGATAGGAGTAAGTCGAATTATAACTTGTAGATTAAAGATGGTGAGAAAATTGAAACGATCCTTCAAGTGCGATCGATAATGAATGCTGAAGGGAGGTTGGAATAATAGTAGAGAAGATTTTAGATACAAAATCAATCTGTCTTAAGAATGAGATAAAGATTGGCTAGTTGTTTGGAACAGAGTCAAGATAGAAGCTTGAGTAGATTGAATATGAATTTCTCCGCTTTGACGATACAGAGAAAAGAGCTGATAAATAAAAATAGCTCTTAATTAAGAATAAGAATGTAATAAAATTGTTGTAACAAAGAAATAAATACTAATTGATTAATTATATATATTATATATATAATGAATAGACTATTGATTACGGAATTAGGAGATACAATGAGAACAGAAATGAAAAGAGATTTAAATAAGACTATTAAGTCGAACAGAACTATACTGAAAACCTCATTTCCAGAAATAAAGAATAATTTTTGTAGTTCTGCTCTTCTTACCGAGATCGACAAAACTTAGAACCCACTCTACTAAAAAAGTCTTTCTGATTAGGCACTTCTAAATCTGTCTAAGGTTGCCAATCTTTCTTTGTTTGGGCCTAAAAATAGACAGAGTTTGGAAAATCACTTAAGAGATGATCTATAAATTAAGAAGTAGAAGGATTATTTAAATTTATGTTTGGACAAGTAGGTTGATAGAATTCTTGATGATAAGAGTATTAGAATTGAAATAATATTAGATTTGATGAGCAAAAGGAAGAGACAGTTACTGAATGAGTTGAAGAAGTTGGAAGCCAGAACAAAGTTGAAACATTTTCATCACATCCCAACGGAGTAGTCTTAATTTAGTTCTCTGATTGAGGACAACGACAGAGGGATGAAGTTGATGTCGATAGTAAATGCTGAAGGTAAGTTATTATAATTGAAGAGAAGATACGAAAAGCAGTAATTGGTGGATTTGAAAACGAAACAATAAGTGAAACTGAATTATTTCAACTTCAAAGAAAATCAGATTAGGAACATCGAAGCTTTGAAAATAATGGAGCATAAGGATATGGAGAGTGATGTTAAGGATATTTTTATGAACAAAGATTTGTCCGAAATCAGATTCAGTGAAAGATTGAATGAGAAACATGTAAAAGAGACTGAACAAATTTGGAAGTAGCATCACTTTCCTCAACATAGGAAATGGCTATCAAATTGATTAAATATATATTAAAATTAAATTGATAAAAATGACAAGGGCGATTAATCTAAAATTATAAGATAAGTTGATTCTCATAGAAATGGCAAATGAAGCTACTCTGAGTGATCTTTACAAAAGAGTAATAATTCAATTTAAGACATAGATCAAAGAGCATCCTCTCACTCCAAATCCAAATTAACTGATTGGACTCAAAACTGTATCAGGAGCCTTGACTTTAGATTATATTCTCTCAAGACCTGAAGATAGGAGTATAAAATAATAATGATTAGGTTTGTTACAATTAAATAAATTGAAGTAGAATGAGTGGTTGGTAGGAATTTATAAGTAATAAACAGGATAGTTAAGTTTGAAAGATTTTGTATTTGAAAAATGCATAGGAAAAGGAGGAACCTCAGAAGTATATTTGATAAGACATAAAGGAAATGCAAGACTGTACGCACTCAAAATGATAAAAAAGCATTACATTACAGATTGCAGACGTTTAGAATAGGTATTGAGAGAAAAGAAAATATTATCCAATGTATTAAATTAAAGTCCATTTATTGTACCATTGTATGCAACATTTGCCACTCGAGAACACTTGTGCTTCTTGATGGAATACAGTCCAGGAGGGGAGATGTTCTTCCACCTCTAAAATTATAGATTTACAGAGGAAGAAGCCAAGAAGTACTTTTGTGAAGTGATTTGCACATTGGAAGAGTTACATAAACATAAAGTGCTCTATCGAGATTTAAAGGTATTATTACAATTGATTATAATAGCCAGAGAATATCTTAATTGATATTCGAGGTCACATTTAATTGACAGATTTCGGTCTATCAAAGTTGGATTTGATGAATGAAGATGTTACACACAGTTTTTGTGGTTCTCCTGAGTACATGCCTCCAGAAATAGTCAGGTATATCTATTGACTATTCTAGTCGTTAAGGATATTCATACCCAGCAGACTTTTACACCTTGGGTTGTCTCTTACATGAGTTGTTATTAGGATTACCACCACATTATTCTTAAAACACTGAAGAGATCTTTTAGAAGATAATTAATGAGGAGTTGGAGTTACCAGATGACCTTACAGAAGAAGTAACTGAACTATTAATAGATCTATTGGAAAAGGATGTCAATAAGCGAATCAAGGACTTCAAAGTGTTGAAAAAGTATCAATGGTTAAGTGATGTGAATTGGGAAATTATCAAAAACAAACAATTAGAAATGCCTATTGAAATAGATATATATGAAACTCATATTCATGGAGAATTCTTAAAGGTGGATGTTGCTGAATTTAATTAAAAAAACGAAACTGGTGATTTGAAACCTTAAGATGATTTGTTCGAGTTCTTTCATTACATTAATCCTATGTATTAGGATTAATTCTTGTTAGAATCAAAATAATAGAATGTCAAAAACAGAGCTTCAAGTGATATGATAATTGAGAAGAAATAAAAATTAGGACTAAATGACAGATAGTCGAATGTCAATCCAACTCAATTAAAGAAGTGCAATTCTATCAAATAATCTTTGAAGTCTGCTAGTTCTCCAAGAATAAGTAATTAATTATTTAGTACTGGCCATCATAGTACTCAAAATTCGCCCAAGAAACAGCTACAACTCAATTTATAAGATATTGACAACCAATTAAACATGAAAACGCCAAAATAACCCAAATCCCTAGCTGGAACAACTCCAACAGCTGCAACTTTGGCACTGCTGAGAAAGAGTTTCTAGACTCTATTGAAGAAGGCTCCATAATTAAGGAATCAAGATAATAATCCCACTTTAAGAACTCTGTTATCAGAAAGGTCTTTAATGGATAGGAATTATGTTAATCATATTAATTATAATTAGATTTAAAAAATATTACAATTATAACATAGCAGTCCCACCAATAGAGAATTGTCATAGAGGCCACCTCAATAATTGTAAAAAAGAATTTCAAGCACTTCCACCCATCTTAAATCCTAGTTATCATAGTTATCACTCTTTACTTTATCTTCATAAATTACTTAAAGGGGCAGTACCTCACATAGACCAAAACTCAAATAATGATAATATTATTATATATATTTAAATATAAATTTATCCTTTAAATTCATCTGATTTGTCCATCCTTACATTTTAAGTCTCGTTTTGATATTATTTATTTATTTCAAGTCACTTATCAATCACTATTACTATGATATCTTATATTAATTTCTATCTGCTTGAAACAAAGAAACATCAAGAAAGCAATTACAATGTTTATTTGATCTATCAATTTGATGAATCAATCAGACATAGATATAAATTTTAAAATTTCATTTTAAAAGTAGTTGAATACATCAATAAATATCAGTTATAATATGTTATTGAAATATTTATATTAATTAGTAACAACTTTAATAATATATAAATTATTCAAACTTTTTTTAATTAAATTTATAATAAAAAATACTTAAATCACAACAATGATTGATGTGCAGCCTTCCTAGCAGAATTAATATTTAATTAAATCTTTACTCAAAAATTAAATCTTTACCTTAGATAAATAGGATTCGTTAAAGTATTAATAAATTACAGCCCAATAATGTAATCAGCAATTTCATTGGACTATAGTAAGTGTGGACTAACTCTAAAATTTTACTTAGAAATACTCCTTAAGATTTGGAGAGTTTATTTAAATTACTGCAAGCAGACCCTAAAACTAAAATCAACCTTTGAGCAAGGTACCTCTATTGATCCAATAGCCTGATAATTCAATTATTTCAGAGTAAACTTTTACAAGCCTTAATGATAATTTAGTTAGAAAACAACCATGTGTCCTTTAAAGGGCTGATGACAATTTTTATTTAACAATAGAGAAAGATAAAATTATATTCATAGAACTCCCTAATCAAGGAAGCTATTTCTAAATTATACCCCTAAGTGAAAATGAATTAGAAATAAATAGACCTATAATTTAATTCCAATATGAATATGAAATCAGGAATTACTATACTGGATATTCTCTAAATATTAAATAAGAAAATAGCATTCCCAACCATCTAAAATTAAGCGCAATAAGAAGTAATAAACAAAGTGAGAAATGGCAGATAATATAAGATCAAAACTTCCATAACTAATTTTAAATTCTAAATTTAAGACATCAGATTTATATCAATACGAAAGACGACAATACAAAGTAATTTTCAGTGAACCCACAAAATGTTAATTGGGAATTTTAAAGTACAAGATTAACCATATAAATTAGCAATTGGCGGTCAAAAATTTTCTTATGGTGTTCCTTTTATTATTCAAAATTCCTCCACTAAATACTTTTTAACAATGGGTGTATTTAACTTAAAAAATATTATAAATTTTTAATAAGTAGTTAAATAAAGTCAAAAACTAAAGCCAACATCATTATGGATAATTTTTTAACATTAAATTTGATTTTTTATTTATTTATATTAACACAACTAAGTGGAAATTCTTTTGAATATAAATAAAGTAAGTAGTAAGTCTTGGATTATTATAAAAGTTCTTAACAGAGATAAATAGTATTTTTTTTCGGAAAAATACTACTTAACTAAAGTAAGCACAGTATAAGGCTATTTCTAAAAGTTCTAAGAATAATACTAAAGGGTTGTCAAATTGATATCTTTGTAAAGAATAGATAACTTATAAAAAATAAAAGAATTGCTAAACCATCCTTATTTCATTTATCAAATATTATTTATTGTTTATAATTTATATTTTATAATTAAATGAAGCAAATTAAAAGCTAATTTAACTATCAACTAATAGGAAGGATTCCAAAACAACTGAGTATAGCTAGCTAATTTATTATTAAGGTAGTTCATACAAAAAAATGAATAATCGAATACTTGCATATTAAAATAAAATATAAGTCACAAAAGATGATAATCAATTTGACTTTAGCATAATTACTCCAGGCTATTTAAAATGCAACAAATCATAGTATATGTTTAATTGGAAAATCAACTTTTTTGAAAGCCAACTTTGTTAATTTTCTAAAGATGAATTTTATTAGATTTATCTATACAATTGTTTCCTCTTGGGGGATTGTTACAAAGCTAATAGTCTATCATATATGCAATAACAATTTAGATCATTTTAGTCATATTTTGATAAAAGGAGTGGAAACAGATATAATATGCTTTTATAAGGAGAAAACATGAAATAATTCAATGAATTTAAACTATAAAATTCATCTCAAAATGAGTTCACAGATTTTAATCGAATTTATGTTAATAAAAGAAATCCATTTGTATAATTTTCAGTATATGATATGGTAAACAGCAATGAAAAGGCAATATCATATTTTTAGAAATTGATTCAATAAAAAGCATTTAAAAACATAGATGAAGCCTTATAATATTATGGAGTGACTCTAAAGGAAATTGAAGAATTGAATGTTCATGAATTCTTACATCTAGAAAAACTAGTTCCTGGGAATATACAAACATATAGGTAGAATTACCAGAATTTCTAAGAATACATAGCCTTTTGTGCATACACATTACATATCAATTAATTCCATAGAAATGTACCAAGTATGGCATTCAGCACTAATGAATGCGAATAGTGTAACTCAAACAATCCATCAGAGTATTGTACATCTCTTAAACCTATTCAACCTTTAAAGTAACCTCTCTTAATACCTATTTAATAATTGTAAGAATACCCTCTAAATTATAAAACATATGACATTATTTGCATTCTCTATAATTCATTAATTTGCTAATTAAATATTTGGAGTCATCAAGACTCTGTTGAAAGCATACTAAATTACTAAGTGCCTGAAGAAGCCATAGTAACTTCATCATTCAATTTCAAAAGAAACTATGAAAATTTGGAAGTATTAGGCGATTCTGTTTTGAAATATGTCATAACCGCGGATATCTTTAAACAATACAAATTGTTAGACGAGGGAGAAATGACATCCTTACGTAGCCGCTTAATAATGAATACCTTTTTGGCCTAATTATTTGAGTAACTAGGTTTAGAACAATTTATAATAAATTAGGATTTGCATTTCAAATAAATTAAAAATCCATTAGTCAATGATATAATTTCAAGTGAAAATAAACAGCTGCAAATCAGCCAGAAAGCTGATATTTATGAAGCAATAATTGGTGGAGTGTTTGAAACTACTCAAAGTCTCTATGAATATATTACTATTTTAAGAAGAACAAACTTTCCTATATCTATCTATAAAGACATCCTCTTTGATTATGAGCCAATTACAGCTCAAATCGAGCAAATAGATATCAGAGACTATAAATTCAATAATCCTCAATTATACGAAATAGCTATTAATCCATAATATTATGATAGATTGGAATTTTTAGGGGATGCTGCTATTGAATTACTTGTCATTTCTTATGCTTTTAGAGTGGCAAGGGAAAAACAATAGAAAAATCCTAATTGGAGCTTGAATCCAGGATTACTATCGACATGGAAGTAGTATTTATTAGGAAATAAGTTTATGGGAGAACAAACTATTAAAATGGGATTAAAACCTCAAGTTAACGAGATACCAAAATTATATGGAGATATTTTTTAAAGTGTTGCAGCTGCCATTCTTCTTGATAGTGGATGGAGAGGTTTAAATTAAGTGTATGGAAGCCTATATAAGAAATATTTGGATGAAATTATTGAGTTGTGATATATTATTAAACTAATTATATGAATAAAAAAAATTTAGGATGGGACATTGAAGAACACTAATACTTAGATAGTTTAATACCTAGCAATTTACCAAGAATCGAAAAAAGACATTAAGAGAGCAAGAACCATAGAATTAAGTCAATTTTAGATTCGAAAATTATTATCTGTTCTTCTTCTGTTTAACCTAACCAAAATAAGAAATCAATGTAAATTTGTACTTAAACTACTCAAACTGCATTTTAAAATACACTTACTTAAAGTTTTTATAGTCCCATGGCTTTAACAAATTACCAAGCTTTAAGATATCCTCCAATATAAGATGTTGTTAATAAGTCATCTAAAAAATCATAAGGACCATTGAAAAGAAGGAAATATAGATGCAGTATAATTAATTTGAGTCAGCCATCAATTTAAAGTCCATAAGCAAATAATAAGCTGTACAATATCAATTAATATTTATAATAAAAATACTCATGTATTAACTATTTTGATTGATGGTTTCTTATAGCATAATTTATAAATATTAAAACATAAAGGGATGACCATAACATTATTAATTAGAAAATATAAAGGATATTTCATTTATTTATATTTTAATTTCCTTTTCATTTACATCGGATTAAACTTAAATCAATCGATTCTAAACATAGACAAGAATAACATTAAGTAAATAGATTATTGAAGGAGCACTACAAGATGAAGATGGAAATTGAAAAAAATAAATTATATATCTTGAAAAAAAGTTTTCCTTATTGATTGATTCTAAAGACTATGAATTTTTATATATATAATACAACAACATTTCTTAATTATTGATTTAACAACTCATTTAGAAGTGAGCTAGGGAATCCTTGAATAAAGGTAAGTTAAGATCTAAATTATATCCAAATTATAGGTATGTTGTTTTAGATGCCATAAGATGAATTCTCAAATAGTTGTATTGCCATTCTATTAAATATGATAAATTATTCGATGACAAATATATAGAAATAAATATGTATGATTTATAGCTTATTGTAAAGATTAATTATTATTTAATTACATTAATTAAAATATTAATATGTCAGCACTTGAGATAGCACGCAAGAAAATATCATTTGATGTAAATAAGCTGTCCCACTTCATTTGGGAAGGAGAGGAGAGATTCAAGAGATTCATGGCATTTTAGAAGCTATGCAGTTCTGATCCTCTTCTTCGTAATAATCCTAAGGACATTGGAATAGGAAGAGCCGAAACATATGAACTATATGCAAGGAAAATGAAGAAGTTGTTGGAGGTGGCTGACTTGCGTGATATCAAAGAATTCGCAACCTTGATCTATCCAGAGGCTGTAAGATATTGATATTATGTTGAATAGTTGGTGTCATCATTGAATTATGAAATGTTCATGCCCACAATAATGAATTTGGGAACAGAAGAATAAGTGAAGCTGTTTTATGAGCCAGCATCAAGATGGGAGATCTTGGGTTGTTATTCATAGACAGAATTAGCACATGGTTCAGATATAAATAGAATCGAAACAACAGCCACATATGATAAATAAACAAAATCTTTCATAATTAACACTCCCTCATTGAAAGCCACAAAATGGTGGGGAAGTGACATGGGCATAACAGCTACTCATGTCGTAACCTAAGCCTAATTGTATATAGACGGTAAGAGATGCGGAGTATAGAATTTTGTTGTCTAAATCAGAGATGTGAAAACCCATCTAAACACTTCCAGGCATTTTGGTCGGTGATATTGGTGCTAAGTTTGGATACAATGCAAAAGATAATGGATATTTGAGATTTGATAATGTTAGAATTCCCAAAGTCAATATGTTAAGCAAATATGTGAATGTCTCAGATGATGGACAATTCACTAAAACTGGAGATGACAAAGTATGGCATGCCACCATGTAATTGATGAGATAACATTTCTTGGATTCAGTATGGAAATGTCTAGGAATTGGTCTCACTATTGTTATTAGATATTCATTACAAAGAAAACAATTCAAAGATTCCTTAGGGTAAGAAATTCCCATCTTTGATTACCAACTTCAATAACACAAATTGATTCCTTTGATTGCTGAAATGTATGGATGCATGTTAGGAAGTAAGAAGGTCTTTGCTATGGCACATGACAATGTTGCTAGAATCAAATAAAAGAATGATTTCTCTAAAATGATGGTATATCTTAAATTCATCTTAGGAAGTTCATGTTGTCTTAAGTGCTTCTAAAGCATATTATACATGGAACTGCTTCTTTGCCTTAGAAAAGGTTAGATAATGTGCTGGTGGACATGGTTATTCCTATTACTCTGGAATCCCACCTCTTATTACTGAGATGAGTCCCTGTGTCGTGGCTGAAGGTGATAATACAGTCTTATCTTTGTCTGTGGGTAAGGTCTTGTTGATGTATCTCAACAAAGGTATCACAATATTTTCTATTGTTAGCCATGTAATCAGGAAAGGCTCCCAACACCACTTGTGATTATTTGGAAGACATTTTCAATTATTTGACTGAACTCAAATAACCATTGGTCTCCAAAGAGTGCACCAGAGACCTCAATAAGGTTTTGGCTGCTTTAAGATACAATGTTGCTTTCAATGTTGCTAATGCAGGATAAAAGTTACAAACTCTCATGGGTGATAAGGGATTAACATTTAAGGAATCCACAGACAAGCACTTAGGCATTCTCTTATAAGAAATTGCTCACACACAATCTAATTATTGGACTTATAGAACCTTCCTTGAAGAAGTCAATGCTTTAACTGATCCAAATATTAAGACTGTCCTCACTCAATTATGCTTATTGTATGGTCTTAACAAGATCTTGGAATAATAAGGATAATTGTTTGAGTATGGTGTCTTAACTGGTCCTCACATTCTGTATGGATCAGAGAAACCAGAGATGAACTTATTTCAAATTTGAAAGACAACGCATTGGGATTAGTTGAGGTATACTTATTATCTCTATTTTATAGGCCATTGCTTATGATGATAATAGTGTGAGATCAGCCATTGGAGATTCCTAGGGTAATCCATATGAGAAATTATATCATTGGGCCAAAGACCTCAACCCATTAAATGAACCAGAGTTCCATGAATAAGTTTTCAAGACAATTAAGACAATCAGAACTGCATCTCCACATGCTAAGTTATGATTAAGATTAACAAATAATTAGATTCATTATTTATGTTCTTTTTCATTATAGAGTATTTATGATGAAAGTAAGGGAAGGACCATCAATGAATGCTTTAATATTTATTATTATTAATTAAAAATGGAAGGATATTTGAAAAAATGGACTAACCTTTTTTCAAGATGGCAAGATCGTTATTTCATTCTGAATGAAGAAGTTCTTGTTTATTGCGATTCTCAAGGAGGCTAGATTAAAGGATAGGTGCATTTAAAAGTGGCGGCTTTGATTTTAGTGCCTGAAGACCCTTTAAGAATAATTATTAATACTGGAACGACAGAAATTCATTTGAGAGCAAGCAATATAAATGAGAAGATCGATTGGATTAATGCATTGAAATAGGCATAGGACAAATGTTTGAGTCGTTAAAATGAAATAAAGTTTGAATAAAAGATACAAGAATTGCTTACTGATGTTTGGTAAACTGGAGCTATATGTAAGATAGATAAATTATTGTAGTTGATGAAACTTTGAGTATGTTGATTCCTAAATTGGAAAAGAACTCGCAAATTAAAGAAATGGCTGACAGATTAGAAAGCATAGGGAAAAATCTAAAAACGAAAATCACCTTATGTGCTCAAATTGTTGAAGAGGAAAAACAAAAGCTATCAAATATAGATAATGGAACTGTGTATGAGAGTTTTATTCATCAAAATTCAGCATAATCAGTATTACGAGAGGAGTCATTGAATCACTAGCATCATTAATCACACGGTCAATAATAATTAATGAGTGTATCTGAAATTGGTTAGCAAATAAGAGAGCATTAGCCTATAAAATATGTACTTAAAGAATTTGTTATATTAGTTTTTAGAATAATCTCATCAATAATCCTGCGTTTCAGAAGAGTAAATTTACAAATCAGTCTAAAAGAGATAGATTACCTTATCGAAAGGACCCTAATGAAAAGATAAATGTTTGGTTATTGTGTAAGGAATTGATTGGAAAGGATTTAGGAAGATTTTCAGTGCCAAGTAATGGATTCATATTTACAAATAGTTATTTTGAATGAGCCATTGTCGATGTTATAAAGATTAGCAGAATAAATGGAATACTCTGAATCGTTGGAAGAGGCTGATAAGATTCAAGGAGATAGTGCATTAAGAATGTGTTATATTATGGGTTTTGGTGTCTCACCCTATTCAGCAAATATAGGAAGAACAAAGAAACCTTTCAATCCTATTCTAGGAGAAACCTATGAAATTTAGACTCAGAATTGTAGGTTTATTAGTGAATAGGTTTCGCATCATCCTCCTATATCTGCAGGGTATGCAGAATCCAAAGCTTTTTAGTTTTGGGCGCACACAGATGTCCAAACAAAATTTAATGGCTTATGTTTCTAAGTGAATCCTGTTGGATTATTTAACGTCATTTTGAAATCATCAAATGATCATTATTAATTTAATAGGTGCACAACAAAGGTTCAGAACATTTTATGGGGGTAATAATATTTGGATCATATGGGACAAATGAAATTTGTAAATCTGACGACTGGTGATAATGGAGTGTTGGAGTTAATTGAAAAATCAGGAAAATCAGAGTCTGAGATGAGAGGGTATGTAAAAGATAAAAATGGAAATGAGAAATATAAGTTAAAAGGTTTTTGGAATGATCGTCTTATAGCTTATGATTCTTAAAGAGAGATCATAGTGTGGAAGAGACATCAATTACCTTAGGATTCAGATTGGTATTATAATTTTACTGAATTCGCCATGTAACTTAATCATTTGACAATTGATATGATAAAAGTAATAAATATATGTCTAAATGACTTAGGATTTGCCATGTACTGATTGCAGATTGAGACCAGATTAATTAGCATTTGAAAATGGATGGGTTGATTTGGCTTCAAGTGAGAAGCACAGGTTAGAGGAGAAGTAAAGAGCGCGTAGAAAGGCTATGGCAGCAGCTAATTAAGTGCATGTTCCTATGTTCTTTGAAGAAATGATAGATCCTAAGACAAATTTGAAGTGGTATAAATATAAAGGGAATTACTTTTAATAATAGTGGAAATAGGTGGGATCAGAATTGCTGGATTTGTTTTGATTAATTTGAATAACAAAAATTAAGTTGTATTCTTCATTTAAAATATTGTTGTTAAAATACGAATTAAATTAAATATTTTAAGACATTTTAAAAATGTTTAAAGACATTTCTTTTATGTTCCCTTTGTCCACAGTCAATTTAACTAATACTAGGATAAGGACACTGTCTAGTTTAATAGAGTCTAATGGAGGTGAAATGAGACTAAGTCCAGATGCATTAATGATTGTTGGTTCTGATGCAACAGTAGAATTATGTCAGAAATAGTTTATCAAATTTAATCTTGATTTTGAATAATATCGGTACTAGTTCTTGAATGCTGATTGGGTCTCCTAATCGTTATTGCATAAAAAACTACAGCAAAAGAAGAAGTTTTAATTGTTCCCGCAAGTAGAATTTCAACCTGTCTTAGAAGAAGTTCCAGAATTGACAACCAAATTAGTTTATGTAGAAGCTTTGGCTAAGACTGTGCCAGTGAGAGATGAAATGACTCAGTAAGATGATGGAGACACACATGTTTACAATATCAAGGATGTCGAGTTGAGAACGAATTATGAGAAAAGGATGGAGGAATTTAGGAGGGACATTGTTAAGGAGTATAGATAAATATTGGATTATGAGTACGATTATGATTTGGATAATTTCCATAATCAAATAGATGATGGTTATGAGTATTTGTTGGAGGATTTATCCATATTAAAAAAAGAAGAGCCATAAATACTTGAGTCTGAGAAATTTTATGGTGATGATGATTGTTTGATAACTGAGACTAGGAAAGTTTAATTTGATATTTTGGATGGGTTGGATCTAGGAAAATCAGTTGTTAATGTTGATTAACCAATATTGTCTGCTTAATTAAAAGAGACCAAATAATTTAATCCTGGATTAAAAAGAAAATAGTAGTTTTGGGAGGCTAAGAAGGGATATTTTGTTTGTGAAGCTGGTGCTGCTCATAAATGTTAAAATAATGAGATTATTGAAGAATTGGAAAAATTGTTGAAAATATACACAAATGAAAAAAATAAAGGAAGATGTATAGCTTACAGGAAAGCTATTGGATTATTAAAAGCACTTCCATATCCAATCAAATCTAGTGATGATCTCAAGGATATGCCCACAATAGGAGATAAAATTAAGAAAGAAGATAATCGAAATTATGTAAACAGGTAAATTGACTAAAGTATAAAAGCTGGAAGGATAAGAAAAAAATGTGGCAATAGGCTAACTAAGTAGAGTTTGGGGTATAGGACCTACGACTGCTGCCACCTTCTATTTTAAAGGAATTAGAACTCTGGAGGATTTGAGAAAGAATAAACATTTACTAAATAGAAATCAATAAGTTGGTTTGCATTTGGTGGAAGATTTAGAATAGAGGATTCCAAGAGAAGAAGCTACCTTGATATATGAGATTGTGAAAGAGAGAAATCGATGATTTAAGTGGTGTGTAAGGATTGTATAAGGCAACAGCTTGTGGATCTTATAGAAGAGAAAAGGAAACATGTGGAGATATGGATATTTTGATTACAAGGTGTGATGGGAAAAATGCTGATGATTTCCTATTAAACTTGATCACAAGATTGGAGGGGAAATTGTTAACTCATCATCTGACAATGCCAAAAAGAACTGAACAGGATTGTGAAACTTATATGGGGATTGGAAGAGTGTCTAATTAGGCTGTGCATCGAAGGATTGATCTGAAACTGTATCCAAAAGAACAGTATGGTTGTGCAGTTTTATATTTCACTGGGTCTGATCATTACAATAGAAGCATGAGATTGTGGGCTCAAAAAAACGGATATACTTTGTAGTGATCATGGACTCTACCCTACTCAGAGAGGTGCTCATAATAAGAAGTTGTGGAAAGGAGAAGTAATACCATGTGAAGAAGAAATGGATGTGTATAAGATTTTAGGATTGAAATACAAACCTCCCAAGGAGAGATCGGTATGATTAATTTTTATTTTGTTTTTTTATTAATTTACTCGAACAAGATAGAAAAATATACATCAAGTCAATCAAATATTCAGCTATGTTGCCCTAGTTCGTATTCTATCTATGAATTCAACCGATAGAGAGAGATTGGCAATAATTAATTGTAGCAATTCTCTGATTCTTCCGAAACTCCAACTCCCAATTTCTCTTCCTCGAAGAAAGTGTTAGTATCAATAATGGAGTATGATTTCTCATAATTTATTGGTCTCATTGCACTTTCGCTTGACATCTCTTCAATTTTAACGAGAGGAGTTGTTATTGTTTAATGTTGTTGTTCTTTTTATGAGATTACTGAAAACACTGACACAAGGGTCAAGAGAAGCAAGACTTATTTTACCTAATCTCGATCCTCGACCTAATTGCTACAGAATTGTTAGTTGATTTCTTATTTTAGAACTCTTATTCGTCAATTTTTGATGTTTTTCTTAAAGGTCTTCAAGTTATTTTCTCAAATCATTATTGTAGTCCAATTCTTTCTGTGCTTGTGATTCCAATTGATGTAAATATTGCTTTTTTCTGTCCCTTGAGTTTTAGGCACTTATCCTATTTCTTATCATCTATATAGTTTTCTTATCATTATCTCTCAATGGGTCATCATCTTCCTTCTTTCTTTTTATTTTCTTACTACTTGACACGATCTCTGGCTCTTCTTTATTCTTTCTCTATTTAGCCTTCTCTCTTCTCATCGTTCGCTTCATCTTTTCAACAAGCTTTTAGAAATCTTAAAAAACATTAGATAACTTAACTTACTTTGAGGATTTGATTACTACATCTCTAACAATCCCTTCTCGGATGTTTATAAGGTTTCACTCATATACTCAAACAACTCTTGTTAGCTAGTGCTCATTCCAGAAAGATTTATATTATTTTATTACATTAAAAAACGATTAATTTTCTTCGCTAAATACACCAACTTCGTGAAATAACTGCAATCTAATATAATTGAATCACATTTATAAATCCAAATTTTATATCATTAATACACCAGCATCTTAATCACCTCCTTTTTAACTGTATTTCTCAAAAGTAATCATCCTATTAAAAATATCATTTCTTCACTAAATATCGTTTTTAAATTATTATTTACTAAATTTCTAAATAAAACTTATTACACGTTCTAATTATGTAAATTGAATAATATATATAACAACTTAAGTAACTGAAAATAATATGCTATAAAATAACAAATTATTATTATTGGAACAAAATGAACACTACTTGATATTCTTTGTATGATACATGGGATTCACTAAGAAATTATTACAAATCACACAAGATAATGATGAGAACTATATCTCAATAGAGGTAGGATCAAAATAGAAGGTAACTACTTCTGGTATGTTGAGTGATAGGAGTGATATTTTGAAGATAACTAGTCATATTGGTGATAAAACTGGGGATCTTAGGTTTTAGATTGTTTTTTTAGGCTTTCTGATTTTTTGATAATGGTATTGGAACTGATGAAATATAAATTTTTGATCGTTTTTCAATTATTAATATATAATATATTCATGAGGACACTAATTCTCACAGTGCTAATTTGCTTTGGTGCTTCACAAATGTTGAGAGGTACACCCAAAGCCTTGATTGAAGAAGAACAAGGTAAATGAGATGATTTAGAGAAGCAATCTTCGAGGCCGAATAGGAAGATTAAAGTTTTTATGTAGGGAGAGATGATGTTTCAGCTGAAACCCTGTAAGGAGATTAAAATTAAGAGGTCGAAGCTAGTTTGGCAGTGTTTAAGAGTGACGATACTCCAATGGTTTATGTGGAGGAATCGACTGATTCAAGTATTGAATAGAGTTAATTAAAAGCCCAACTAGATGGTGTTGAGTAGTAGGAATCTTTGAAGATAGAGAAGATTGAAGATTAGGTGCAGTAAGAATATCATCGATAATAAAGAGCTGAAGACTTGCAAGAAGCAACGACTGAGTCAGCAAATTATGTCGATAAAGCTATATCTTTGGAGGGAGACACTGAAGCAGAACCAATTTAGAATTCTTCGACTGATGTGGTGTTGAATATTGCACCAAAGACTGAATCTCTCAGTAGTTCTGAGAGTACCAAGAAGCATGTTTATGTTTACAATCGTAAATGGATTTTCGAATACTTTATTTAGCTTTGGCCAAGAAGCCTTTTGTTGGCATCAAGTTCCCACCAATGCCAGTCACCAAGGATCGTAACTACTTGTCCAATTCTGATACTTTAACTATCAAGTTGCCACCATGGTCAGAACAAAGCAACCACAGAGTAGAGGATGACTTAGAGTTCTTCCAGTTCATTAGACGTATTAAACTATTGAGTATGTAGCATCTGATGTATCAGTTAATGAATATTGATCTAATATTATTATATATTTCATTCTTTTTTACAAGTTAAGCATAACAATAGTTATAATAATTAAAAATGCAACAAGAGGACAAGAAGAAAGCAGACTCTGGGAAACTGGAGACAATTGTAAGAATGCCCATTTAACTTAGAAAATTATGAACGGATTTACTGACAAGGAATGGAGCAATTTGGATAAAATAGAAAGAATTGAACTAACCCTGGAGGACTTTGGGAGAATGAATGTAATTTAGATGTTCAAAAACTTGAAGTCCTTGACCTTAATTAATGTTGGCATCACTGTTATTGAAGTATTCACTCATTTATTTAACTAGGGATTAGATGATTTAAATAAATTGGAAGAATTAAATTTGAATGAGAATTAGATACTCAAATTGTCTGGTTTGAAAGGAACAACCAATTTAAGAGCCCTTTACATATCTCATAATGCCATCCAGAAGTTGGAGGGATTGGAGCAATTGACCAAATTGGAAACATTGTGGCTTTGCGATAATAAAATAGATACCATTTAAAACCTGGATTAACTAGTCAATCTAAAGCAACTTTGGTTGGCAGCCAATTCCATCAGCAACTTAAGAACCTCTTTGGATAAATTGAAGAGCTTATATGATTTAAACATAAGTGGCAATAAAATATGCAGTTTCAAAGAAGCCTTGAATTTGAATCGTTTACCCAATCTCAAAGTGTTGGCATTTTATGATCCCCACTTCGGTGATAATCCTATATGTAACCTATGCAATTACCAAACCTATGTACTCTACCATCTAAGAAACATCTTTAAATTAGACACTCTTATGATTTCAGACGATCAAAAATCCTTTGCTGAAGGCACCTTCATGAAAAAGAAAATGTATTATAATATGAGAATAAAAACAATGCAGAGAACCTTTTCGACCTTATGTAAGTTATTGAAAAAAGGCAAAAAAATAAAGAATGATTCATTGTGTGAAGACATTTCTAATTTAAACATCAAATTAGCTCAGGAATAGGACAAAGAGAGATAGCAACTTTTAGAAAATAAATAAGAGGAGTATGAGAATCAAAATGAAATTTACAATAGCATTAAAAAAAAAGTGTATGATTATTGCAATCAAAGCATACATAAACTAATTACTGAATTAGAAACAGGAGGCAATATTAGATTGGAAGAAGGAAAAACAAATGAAAAATGGTATGGTTCTTGTGTTGATCTAATCAATTCAAGATTCCATGCAGAAACTATGGGCAAGTATGGCATCAAAGATATACAAATAAAAAGAGTTGTTAGAATCCACAATAAATTCATAAGAAATAAATTCGAAGAAAAAATGGAATCATTGGTTGATGTTTCAAGTCAAAGTCACAAGAAATCCCTTGAGTATTTATTCTATGGAGTCGATCCTAACTTTCCCTCTGAAATCTACAATGTAATCGAAGAGGGATTTAGAGGATGTCAAGTAAAGAATTTTAATATCTCAAGGAATCTCAATCTATAGGATTAAGTCCATACACACCCTTGGTAAATAGTATATTGGGTGCTGATGCCTCCAGAATTCAACATCTTTTGAATGGGTAAGATCATGCTCAAAAATTAAGCAAAAGATTTATCAAAAGAAGGTATATTTGAATTAATCATAGATTGTACTATTAAAAATACAATGTAATTCCACCTGGAGTAATCCTCATATGCAAAGTCTTAATGATTAAGTCAGTTGCTGATTAAAAACAACCCTATTTCAATCCAGAATAACCATGGAGTGAGATGCTCCAAAAATATCCCATAGATGGCAAATAATACTAGGATGAATACACAGTCTATAGAGAGTTGGAATCTGATTCAAAACATAAATTATGGTTTGTTCTAGATAATAATCTTGTACTGCCTGAATACTTTGCTGAATTCGAGTATGTTATGTAATCTCCACTTTAAAATAAAATTGCCGACTTTGGATCTGCCTTAGGGATTCTTGAGCAAGAGGGAGACGATTTCATTACTCCTGCCAATATTAATAAATGCAGAGACAACATAAATGATTTATACAATCAGTTGGCTGATGATTTGAATAGTTATCAATTTGAGAATCTGGAGGAATATCCCACTTATGAATTGAAAGCCTAAGATTTAGACAGATCAGAAAGTGCATCCCTTAAGCCTGCTTTAGTCAATTACTTCAAATACTGTTTAAGCAGATCGACTCTTTATGAACTAAACCCTAATTTGGTTGGCACACCAAATTTAAATGAAATATTGAAGAATCAAACTCTATTCTTGAATTTAAGTAATTGTTCTGTTTAAGATATAACATTTGTCAAGGGGCAATTTCACACTCTCATTCTTAGTTACAATAAGATAAGCAATATTACAGGTTTGAACGAATTGCCAAATCTAACTAGACTTGATTTATCACATAATGAAATATCCAATCTTAACGGTTTACAAGGCCTAAGTCATTTAGAAGTTTTAGATCTGACTCATAATAATATACAGGATGTGGATTAAATTGCAATTCTTAAATACAATCAATCATTGAAAAATCTATGTGTAGTATTTAATCCAATTAGTGAATACAAAGAAACCAGAAAGGAAATAGTTATGATCCTCAATAATTTGGCATTCTTGGATCATCTGCCCATCAATGAAGAAGATAGGGAACCAACAACAAATTAGAAATAATTAATTACTACAGGGATGTTGCAAACATTCAGTAAAGTTTAACATGATTGGAAATAACACATCTAAACAGTTATGATTACACATCAAAAGTTGAGTAGTATGAAAGGTTTGGAAGGCTTGGTTCAATTGAGACATTTGAATCTGGGGCATAATAAGATCACTTAAATTACATCAATTTAGGATTCAGTCTTGCTGGAAGAACTTAATCTAGAAAAAAACTCTATTATTCAAATTTAAGAATTGGATAACATGTAATACTTAAAGAAATTGGAATTGGGAGGGAATAAGATATTCTAGATAGATGGCATATCTAATTTAATCAATCTAATGCAATTGTCTCTTGAAGATAATGCGATTCTTAATCTAAAAGAATTTCCAGATTTGAAGAGCTTAATGGAGATATATTTAGGAAACAATAATATTACGAATTAAAAAGAAATCAATAATATAAAACATCTACAAAAACTTATTATTTTAGATTTATCTGGAAATCCATTTGCAAGAGACACTAATTATAGATCCTATGTACTTTATATCATTCCAAAGTTAAAGGTCTTAGATGGAATCTCTATTGAGGCCTCTGAATAACAGATGGCTAAAAATTTGTTTACTGGTCGTCTGACTGAAGAGATTCTATTCTCTAGACTTCAAGGTTAGCCTGCTAATAAGATCACTGAACTTTGCTTATAGAATTGTGAATTGAGAGATTTCGAAGATGTGTTCAATGTTCAACAATTCCCTTAGTTGGTTGAATTGGATTTAAGTTAAAATTTATTTACTTCTACTAAAATGCTTGGGTTTTTGCCTCAATTAAAAATTTTAATATTAACTTCTAATAAAATAGAAACTCTGTTATATCCAACTGATTTTAACTAAAAAAAGGGATTGAATGGATGTCAGTAATTGCAGATTTTGGATATTTCATAGAATTGTTTGAAAGAATTTAATGGATTGCAATATTGTTTATTGAAGGATTTAAAAATAATGAAATGTGAAAAAAATGAAATTATTCGAGTTGACTATTTGGAAAATTTGAAATAATTAAAGGAGCTAGATTTAAATTATAATAAAGTAAGATAATTTGATCCTTAATCATTTGCTGGACAAAATCCTATTAAATGTTTAAAAATAGATGGAAACGGATTGAAGAATTTCTAAAACATATAAAAACTATTTAAATTACTTGTACAAATTTATACATATTGTAGCATCTATTCGCTAATTCAAATAGGATTAATGACCTGCCTGATATCGAACATTTATGTGCTCTAACTCAACTTAAAGAATTGGAACTTGTAGGAAATTCTTTGAGTAGAAGACCAGGATATCGATAAATGGTTTTAAGAAAGTTGCCAACCATATTATATCTCGATGGAAGAGTAAAATAACGCATGAATATTATTATAGGAAGTAACACAGGAGGAGAGAGAAAGACTAGAACTAGTTGATAGACAGGCTGTACTACCTCAAATGTAGATTTAATAATAACCAAACACTAAAGTGCCAGTCAAATTAAGTTCAATCAACTTTGATGGGATTTTCAGCAAATGAAATATAAAAATTTATAATTTTAATGAGAATAATAACTAACCAATATATTCAAAGTTATTGAGCATATTAAATTGATTTTATTAAAATTTAATTTATGATATACCAAATTGCTCAAAGATCATAAATCAAAGTAAATTGGATTAAATAAAATGCAAAGTCATTTGATAAATATTTCTGAATATTGATTTGGTTCATCAAGCTTTCATTTATTATTTTGTAAATTGAATTGAACAATTAATAATTATAAGAGTTCTAATATATTTTGAGTTGCAGATTCATATGAACGTATCAGGCTAGACTGCTATCTAATTATATGAAATAATTTTTAATTTTCTTTGGGATCTGTTAAGAAATAAATTAGAATTCGAAATATTTTGAAAATGCAACTTTAATTATTTATGTGCAATAAGTATTTGAGTTTTATTGTGTTTAAATATATTATTAATATTCTATATATTTATTGAAAGAGGAGTCTAACTTAAATGAAGACTATTATAAAACCAGTAAACATTATTATAATAATTGATTATCAATTTAAAGAAGAATTGAGGTGGATTGGAAATTTGAAAACTAATAATTGGTTTAATCATATTATATTTTCAAACTATGTCTGCGAGTTCTAAAAGTGACGATGAATTCTTCTTTTTTCACAAATATAAGTAGATTCTGGTATCGTTCAGTTACTGTGCACCCTTATTTAGTTGGTATGTTATAGATGATTTCAAAGATAATTATTTTTTATTTTTAACAAGGAAATATCCTCTTACTAAGTGATGTTTTAAGAATTCCTCGATGGATTAGGAAGCCTGAAGCATAAACCTGTTGCCTTGAAGCAAGTGAAAAAGATTTTAAAGATCGAAGAAAAAAGTTTACCTAAAAACATAACAAATTACTTTGTAGAATTTACTAAACATACTTCGCATAAGTGGTAACGAAAGGATAAAATGATTTTTATATGGACAACTCTAAAATATTTAGAGAAACAGGGTCGTACAGACTTAAAACCCGTATGAAATTATGTTTAAATTGATTAGAACGATGACGATTGGATAGCACTATCAGAAATCCTTGGGGCACCTCCTGAACTGTTGAATTCGAAATGGATAGGAATGTTAAAAACCGATTTGAAACAGTCTCCATGGACTCCTGAAGAGGATGATCTTCTCAGAAAAGTGATGACGCAAAAATTTATTTCTTGGACCCATGTTGCTTTGGAGTATAACCGTGCAAGTCCAATTATGAGACATGCAAAATAAGTGAGGGAACGTTGGAATAATTACCTGGACCCTGAGTTAAATAAATTCCCATGGACTGAATCAGAATAAATCCAACTCCTGCAGTTAGTTTAAAATCAAGGAAAAAAGTGGTCTGTGATTTCGAAATAAATTAAAGGAAGAACTGAAAACTAAGTCAAAAACGCTTACAATTCCTTGATAAATTCTTACAGAAGGAATCATGTACCCTTTTTTCCTTAAAAAATATTAGATGTAAACCCTCGACTCAGACGAGACCATTGTTTCTAAATTATTATCCAAACTAGATCCCCCACTCTTACAAGCCAATGCAAGCACTCCCATGATTTAACCGATGCCCCCTCTTCAACAACAATTACTTATGTAGGCTTTGCTTTTCGAAAGATTGAAAAGCATGGCCTTTTTTGCTCAATTACCAGGTTTTCTGGCAGCCCAACAATAGCAAAGTTGATATTTATTTATTGTATATGCACGTCATTATTATTAATATTCATTCATTATGGACTCCACCCTACTTCAATTCACTACAATTACCTCGATGTATCACCTCCTTCCAAAGTATAGTAAACTTTTCTTATTTCAATATTATTCAAACTCATGCACATAGAATATGAACGCATAGATGTTGAGTCTCTCGTAATTACGGTTGTATTCTATCAATATTAATTGCCAATTTCTAGATCTTACTTCCTAAACGAAGTTTAGTAATAAATATCAGGATTTCTATAGGCTAGTGTTAATGCTTAAAAAAAATATTAAACCTTGTTAATTCTATAAATTCTTTAACAATAAACTTATGAATCACTAAAAAATTTCAAAAAGATTTCATTAGCAAAGCTGATTTAAATTATAGTATAAGATACTAAAATGATGATATAATTCAAATTAATTATATAAAAATTTAATATTTCCAATAGCAAAATGAATGAAAAACCTCAATTTTAATCAATAACAAAATCATATATCAATTTAGGCTTTAAAATTATTAATTATTGAGTAACAGTTCTTTACATTTATGGACATCGCTAATTTCAAGACAATTATCTTCGAAGCTAAGAAATTATAGAGCATAAGAAAATAGAAAAATATTTATAGACTCAGATAGAAAGTCTTTAAATAGGAATTTTAATATAGCTAAATTATATTAACCTTATATCTCTTCATTTTTATGTTAAATTATTAAGTCTTTACAATTTCTTTTTGATATTCAATTATAAATAGCATAAATAGACTAATCAAAATGAAGCAACTTCAAAATCAATTGGATTTTTGTATTTTGTTTAAATAGAGCTGCTTGATGTTAGTTTAGGCTGGACTTCTAAACTCTAATTTCTCAAATGATTATATATATTAAAATATTAATGTGCGATTTTGAATTAATTTTCAATCAAATAAACCTCCCATATCAACATCTTCTTCTGGTTCTTCAGCCTTCTTAACCTCCTTTGCAGGTTCAGCTTTCTTAGTTTCTACTGCAGCTGGTGTTGCTGTAGCTTATGCTGCTGGTGTGCTTCCTGCATTTCCACTGCTTCCATGTAATAAATCACCAACTTTTTTCCCTTTCAATGCCTTTTCAAAAACCTTAGTCCAAATTGGTTCAACTCTCAAATTAGCTGCCTTAATGATCTTAGCTAATTTAGTTGAATCGATCTGATTAGATAGATTCATGTACATCTTGATTATCTTCATACAAGATGAGAGCAGCATAAGTGCATGCAGTCTCTGAAGTAGCTTAGTCTGCAATTGGTCTAGTGTCTTTAGCTGCTTTTGCCATTCAATTTTAAATATAATTATTAAAAAGATATAAATTTTTATGTATGCATATTACTCTATCTCTATTTTCATTGTAGAATTCCTTTTTTCATATATATATTGAAATATAATAAACTTAGGAATTCAAAATCTATTAACATAAAAGAATAATCACAATTCCATTATATCATTTTTAATAATACTTATCCTGGAATTAAATAATACCATAAACAAATACCAACTTATATTCATCTAACAATTAGGTTTCTGTCTATAATTTGCAAACAAATAAAAATATTAATTTTTTTTCATAACTTAACTTGGCTTCTCGTGGTCGACATTTATAATTTGATCATCTTGTTACTTAGAGGCATAGATATTTACAAAAAAGGGCTTTCTCATTTCAGGAGTATATTGTATATATACATTATTATTATATAATTAATTCAATCAATTAATTATATTAATAATGAATTAATTTATACTTCCCTATTGCCCAAAATATCATCAATTGAAATGGAAGAGTGAAGTTATACAGAGCTGCCTCATTTGTTTTAAATCAAAAAAGGGATCGTAATATTATTGTACAGAATGCAAATAAGGAGTTTGCAATGATTGTATTAAACCTCCTCTTGATGGATTTTATTGTGGTGGCAATCATAGGTAGTTTGGATTATCTATTTAGAATGTAATTTATGAGTAATTTGCCACATCATAGTTGTGATTTGTGTGGAAAATCTATATCATAAGCATATTCGTGTAGAGCGTGTGATTTTGATATTTGTGAAAATTGCAGATAACTTGATGATTGATTTGAATGTACGCATAACTTTTTAATAATTGTTTAAATTAATTCTTACCTGAACTTCTATAAATCAGAAATAATCCCAATATGACAAAGTTTAAAATTGTATAAATTTTAAATTTAGTTTGGATATGTAACAGCCAATAATTATTGTCTTCCATTTTTCATATTCAACATTGATTACAATTGATATCAATAATAATATTTAAAGTGTTGACTATAATAAAAAAACAAAGCTAATGATTTTAACTACAAATCGTCGTAAGCAGAAATATGAATATTAAATTTGTTTTAGACTTCATCCAAGATAAAATTATGGAAATTGTATTTATAATTTAGATCTGAAATTTTGATAAAATAAGTGACCAATAAATATGTGAAAAAACTTGAATAATAATTTGAATCAATTTTGATGAATGCAATAATCAATTGGATATTAGAAGGGTTGAAATAAGAGTGCAATAGCTCTTTAATTGTAAGTTATTTGTTTAAGATAATCAAAATCAAATTTAGATTGCAAGAATAATTATAATATTAGAAACTAAGTATAAGACTATATCAATTCTTGGATTGAAGATTAAAACATCATAATCTGAAATTCCACATCATTTAAATGGATTCTTAAGTTACAAATTAAAAATATCGCCATTATTGATAAATTAATCATTTTCTTAGAATATATACATGATTTGGTAATAAACAATTGACTGTACATTTATTTAGATGAGTCATGATATCCTTAAGATCAAAATTTATACTCAAAATCTTTGCACATATTTTAAACCTGAGAATTATAAAATTAAAGCTTATTATCTCGAAAACAGTAAGAAGTTAACCAAAAAGCTATTCTTATTGTTGATTGACATCCATAAACTAAGTGCAATCACAATAGAAATTTATAGTCTAGAAATAGTCTATGGAACTATTGAATAATAAATTTGAAATTTAAATTATATATACCTCCAAAAAAATGAAAAAAAATAAATTTATATGGTCATATATTTTAATAGTTAAATTATAAAAGAAATTCATTCTAAACTAAATTAAGAAATTTTAGGACTAAAATTCTAAGAAGAGTAAAATACAAACCCACTAAAATTAAAAACAAATTTTAGAGTGTTCTTAAATTTGATAATATCCTAAGACAGCAAAGGAGTTACAAATATGATGTGAAGAGAATCATAGTGATTTGATCTAACTTAATATCTATATTGCACATCAAATTCATATTTGTTTCTCTAAATGAATAGAATAAAATATCAATTAAGTTATTCGCTTCCAAATTAATAAGACTTAAAACAATTTTTATAATTTATTTGTCAAATAGAATAAAATCAATTCAACAACAATTCAACTTTTGCATTCGTCACTTGAATTTGTCTATTAACTTGACAATTTTGTAATGGTTAAATCTTTTAGCTTGGAACAGTATCTAGCTTTTGCCTTAATTTCTCTGACTAAATTTCTTACTCATATTGATTTAAGGTATCTTCTATTTCTTACTTATCAATAAACTTATTCTCCATCTCTTGGAATATATCATCTGTTTCTTTTTAAGTTTCTAAGAACTCTTACCAATTTTATAAACTTTCAGTTAGTTAATCGTTTACATCTTATGAGTTTTTAAATAAACTTGTTGCTTACTCCATCACAAGACTTAAATCTTAATCCTAACTTATCGTTTCTAGTTTAATCTTCATTTGGATTATGATATTGACTTTTTGATGATACTGTGAGATTTATTTTTTGAGAGTTTACATTTCCATGATGCATCCTTTTGCAGCACTTTTTTTGCCATCAGAAATATATCTTTTACATTATTTATCCAGCTACTCAAGTTTTTCACAATATTTTTCTATAATTCTCTCCAAGTCACTTTGTTTACATTCTAATTATCTCATAGCTTTTTCTGCATTCAAAGAATTTGAGTCTTATGTTTTTTGAGAGTCTTGGGAACTATTGGATGTTGATTTTTTGAATCCTTTAAACATTAATTATTGAAGCAAATTTTTAAATCTTGATTATGAAACACTATAAATAGAATAAAATATGATATTTTAAAATAATTGTTCTTATATTCAATTTTATAAAAACGATTAAACTTAACTTATTTGAGCTTGCTAAATTCTGTGATTATTATGAGAATAATCGGCTTTCAATTCTTCAAAAGGATAGGCCGCATTTGGAGGGGCATAAGTTTTCTCTACTTGTTAAACTTTATCTTTATTTAGATTCAAATCATGATTTGGATTTGTAATATGTTCTCTATCTTTTTTTCGAACAACTAGTTATTCTTTATAATCCTCTTCATTCTCTTCCTCTTCTAAATCTTAAATATTTTATAATCTTTCTCTTTCCTCATCTTTTTCCTTAATTATTGCATTAATTAACTTCTCTTATTATTTTATGTTTTGATTTTTTTCTTTCTGTTGTTGTATTTGTTTTTCTTTTAGTAAATTTTATTCTTTTAGAGTTTTATTGTTTTTCATAACCTGCTCAAGTGCTGCAACAGTTTTTTTTCTACTTTTCGTCTCATTTACAAGTATTCTTTTTTCTTTTGATAATTGTTATAATTCTATGATTATTTTTATGAATACCTAATTCCTTTAAATCGGCTTCATCAAATCTTCCTTCATCATCCAATATTTCTATTTCTTTAATTAACTGCTTAATTTATTAAGTTAATTTTTTTAACTTTATTTCCACTTTTCTCAAATTAAGTTTTATTTTGTCTAATCTGCTTTTCATCGCTACACACCCCATTAATAATTATTGTTTTCTGATTGCTTTTTTTTGAAACTTAAACCGAATTTTATTCTATTATAGTTATAAAATTATAATTACAATTTTGATGATTTTTAATTTAATGGATTAGGATAGTATAGAATGACAAATATTGAAAACGCATTATCTAAATTAAAAGAGATTAAACATTCATCAATTATTATAATATATAAGAATTTCTAATTTCTCATGACTTAATAGATAAATATTATATATGAATTCATTATGGAACTTAATTGATATCTTCTAGGTTTTACTCATTATTCTCTTCTTCAGCATAACTTTTTCGACACACAGGACAATTCAAATTGACCTTAAACCAAGCGGAGATGCATATTAAATGATAGTTATGAGATTCATGACAGGGCAATTTTAACACTTCTTCTTCCAATTAATAGGTTTGCATGCAAATTTTGCATTCTGGCACCCCTTCAATTAGATTTGGAGAGTATTTAACTAAATACTGTTTCTTAAGTTCTTCTATTATTTAATCTGTATCCTTTTTTCCTTTTGGTTGTGTTAGTTTTTTGTAAATCAAAAACATTGCAACAAAAGGCAAGGCAATCAAAATTATGATTATTAAAATATAGACATCCAGGTAGTAGCATATTGTATAAAATAAGAATATGTAAATGGCTATTATAAGTCTGCTCCTACAGTCACTATTCAAATCATATGGAATTTCAAATCCGAGTATGAATCCCCATATTAACAATCCTTAATTGATTATAAATACGAGATGTCTAGAGTGTTTAAGAGGAGAGTGAATTTTGAAAATTTCTTATAAAACTTATTAAGCCAACAATACTTTTTTTTTTTCAAACTCCCTTTCAGGAATCTATGTAGTTTAGTCATCAATAGAATTGGCTAAGAATTCGGATATGTCCCCGTAACTCTCAATTTACGAATTTTCAGCATATATAACCTAATGTAATTCTTCACCAACATTCAAGAGTGTAGGCTAAGTTTTGATATGCTAAATACTGTTATTTTAATCAATTGAATTATAACTGAAAATATAACTAGTTCTAAAATAGACTCTCCTATCACTATTGTCATCCAAGTGTTTGCACCTTCCCATACACAAGATTATGTTGCATTAATAGTTAATAAAATAACAGCGATTATGATTTTGCATATGCAGTAAACAATATGTCCAATGGATATTTTTTTACAAGATTTAATACTTTAGCAAAACAAAGACGTAATTCTCCTATTTTCAATCAATTATTATTCCATTGATTATATAATTAATATAATGTCTATTAAGATTTTAAATGAATATTTTTAAGAAATTCAATATAACACATAAAGATGAATAGTTTGTATATTGTTAATTATTAATACTTGTACGATAATACTTGTTTATGTTATATGAAATTATGGAATGGATTAAATAAAAGAATAGCGATTGAATTATTTGATTTATTTTGTAAAAACTAAAATATTAGTTATAAACTATCAATAAATACATAACTTAAATGATACAGGCCAAGAACAAATTTTGAAATGGAAAAATTATAAAATTTAAATAATTTCCTTGAGATTATTATTATTCATATGGATTTCTACCAAGCTATAGAATAATTATTTTCTATGATAATTTGGTCATGTTTATAGTCATTTTACCATAATATAGTTGGGTAACAATATTTTAATTTCATTAACTTCAGGTTTGAGTAAGAATTAATAGATAAGAATTTTGATTATTAAAGGATGGTTAGAATAATAGTCATATATATCGTTAAGATTTCTTAATGGAATATATTTTAAACCTCTGCTTTATCCTTACTAGTTTTTATTCATTTTGTTATAAAATTTTGTAAATAAAAGCTGATTTTTAGAGTTTCTAAATCCTTATTAAAATCTGCAATACTTTATCAAATATTTTAGAAGCAATTCTTGATTTAAACAATAAAATTACTAAATTCTTCAGTTCTTAATACTCTCTTTATATTTTTTTGAGGATTTGTTATATAAACAACACTAAATTTCTAATAGGTTGTGATATGATACAAAAGGCTCAATTCATTCTACCAATTATAAATTACAAAATCTAAATATTCATTACAATTATGGTAGCCATAACTTATTGGCATACTCCTTTATCTTTAATTTCAAAAACAATAGGTTTTTCATATCAATTTCTACAATAAATTTGGGAGCTCACTCAAATCTCATTATCCAATTAGACAAATTTATGAAAGTCATTCAAATTAGCAATTATAGGAAATCTATTTTCAAATTCTTCTCTTCAATATTTTGTCAGTCATCGAATGTTCTTTTAAAGATTTCTGGATCTCCTTCTGTATGAATGCAGAAGTGGGTTTTCCTAGATGATCAAATACTTTCTTGTTAATAAGGAAACTATTGAAAATATTACTAAACATGAATCAACTAAGCAAGCAGAAAATCTATCTGAGTGCATTGGAAATTGTAGTTCTAGCAATTTGATTTTCCTCATAAATATACATTTGGATGAATAAGAGAATATTAATAAGATCTTATCATTTATATTATAATTTTTAACATGAGCCTTCAATTTCAATACTAAACTAGTTTTTTTATCTAATAGGCACTCCTATTTTTATATCGTAAGAGTTTCTATCTTAGGCACTTTTAAGGCACTATATATAGAATTAAAGTTCATACATCCAGATGGTACTTCAGTGGATCGCCATTGTAGTTTTTCTTTTTGGAGATCAAAATAGTATTAGTTTAAGCAAGATTAACTTAATATGTAAGCTCCTTACCTTCATTTGTTATGTTTGAATCTGTGAATATAGCTCCTGTATTATTTAATTTTTAAGCTGAGAAATTAACCACTTCTTCTGAATATCTTCTAGCTACATCACACGTTTTTTAAGTGCATATATAAGTTTCCCTTTAGGGTCTCTTGCTGTTCTTTCCTCCGCAAACTCCCATATAAAATAAATAAAAATTTAAATATTTAGATATTAATTTTTAATGGTTAATCTCCGTCTCTAAAAAAGATTAGCAGCCACATAGTTGAAGGTTGGTGTGAACAGAGTTTGGTTGGATCCAAATGAAGCTAGTGAAATCAGTCTGGCAAATTCAAGAATGTCAATTAGAAAATTAATTAAGGATGGACTTATAATGAGAAGATTGAGAACAATCCATTCAAGAGCTAGAGCAAGAAGATTCCTTGAAGCCAAAAGAAGAGGTATTTGAGTTATCATATTCATTCATTTAGGCAGACACACTGGTACTGGTAAGAGAAGAGGTACCAGAGAGGCTAGAATGCCAACCAAAATACTTTGGATTCGTAGATAAAGAGTTTTGAGAAGATTATTAAGAAAATATAGAGCTGCCAAGAAGATTGATAGATAATAGTAAGGGATTTATATAATATTTTGCCTAGATATCATGAATTCTATTTGGCCTCAAAGGGTAATCAATACAAAAACAAGAAAGTGCTTATTGAAGCAATTCACGAAACAAAATAGGAGAAAGTTAGAGTGGATAAAATTGAGAAGGAACAAAATGATAGAAGAGAAAAGAACAAAGCCTAAAGAGTCAAGAAAACCTAAAGCAAGTTCGCAGCTGAATGATGTTTAAAGCATTTGCATAGTACAATATATATATCTATATAATTTCCTACATATTAAGTTTGATTTCTATTTTTTTATATTAAAAAAGATTTAAAATTTTTTTAGGTGAATGGTATGTTAAGCAATTTAATTTAGGCTGACACTAAAGTTTAACCTGCTGTTTAATAAGCTAAGGCAAAGAAAGGAAAAAAGAATTAAGGAGAAGATCAACCTTAATAAGTAGTAGCCACATTGGGACCAAATGTCGCTGGAAATGAATTAGTTTTCGGAGTTGCTCACATTCTCTCTACTTGGAATGATACCTTTATCCACATTACAGATTTGACTGGCAGAGAAACACTTGCAAGAGTCACAGGAGGAATGAAAGTCAAATCAGACAGAGAAGAATCTTCACCATATGCAGCTATGCAAGCAGCCAAAGATGTTTATGAGAAGTTGAAAACACTTAAAATTAATGCTTTACATATTAAACTGAGAGCCAGAGGAGGTATTTACCTAAATCATTTCAATCCGGGTGTGATACCAAATAACCAGGACCAGGAGCTTAGGCTGCTCTCAGAGCTCTAGCTCGTTTGGGATTAAAAATTGGTAGAATTGAAGATGTCACACCTATTCCAACAGATTCAACTAGAAGACCAGGAGGTAGAAGAGGAAGAAGATTATGAAGAGTAAAATTACATTACATTATTCAAACAAATAAACAATCCATTCTATTTTCTAGTCATCATCTGCGAACTCTAGAATTCAATTCATCAATTATAATACTTTATGAGAATTATGATTTTAATTATTAAAATATCACTTGTTATTTTAATTAATGTCAAATTCGAATACTAAAATATAAAGCTAAACTGATATGAAATAGAAACTATTAAATATTTTATCAGAGAAGAATAGTAAGGTCACATCTTAACAAAAGCCATGTTCAAGTCTAGACTATTACTCATTGCAAAGGAAATTGTCATAACGATCACACAAATTGCCTGTTGAAATGACTAAATTCGAAAGAGAGAGATGGTTGTTTGAAATGCTCAACACTTAAGACTTGGCACAATAAGTATGAATATATTGGTGAAGTTAAGGAATAAGAATTGAAGGAAATATATGTAAGAACAACCAAATTGATTACAAGGTATCGTAATAAAGAAATCAAATGGAATAAAAAAAAAGAGGCATTGTAAAATGAGATTGACTTACTTCGTTCATTATTAGAATAATCTTGAATAAATAATTGATTGCTTCCTTTAAATTAAAATAAATTGCATTTATCTTATCACTATTCCTTTTGAAAATTTAACTTTTTATAGATGAAATTACTTTGTATTGCTGAACCATCATCTGAAATTAATTATCAAATTAGATGTTTTAAATGATGAAGTTTTTTGAATTAATACTACTTCCTTGTAATCCATTATAATATAAATACTCTCTTTGTAACAGGATTTAAATGTATTAAAACATAGACTTAAGAAAATATATTATGAGGAACTCAAATTAACAGTTTTAAGAATCTATATAATAATTACTTCTGAGTTTCTTTATTGAGCACTTTTGATAATATAATTATCTTCTTTTGATTGTGGGATAGCATCATAATTTTTAAATCTAAATAATAATTAGAGGGATTTTCTTTTTCAGACTTAGTATTTATTAATTAATTAAAGACTAAATTATCGTATAATAGGCCCTTAAAATATAATTTATATCTCAAATTATCTTTTTTTTTTATCTTCTTCTTATCCTTTTGAATTACCGTTGTATTCGAAGGCTGATTAAGAACTAAGTCTTGTGCATGAAGAGTTTTGAAAAAGGGCTAAATTAATTCTTCATAGATAAATATATTAGATTACAAATACCAATTTTTAATTCTATCAATATGAATTATTTGCTTGTTCTTGTATTTTCTTTAATTTATTTTTAAACTCAATTTAATATTTCTTCTCGTTAATTCAATTTCATTTTTATTAATTTATTCTAGATGGTGAATTGGTAGAAATGAAACAAGAATTGCTTTCATTGAAGAAAAACATTAAAGAAACTAAAATAAGATCTCATTATAATGTTTAAACGGCTAAATAATAGGTTTTGAAGGGAATCCATCTATTATGAGTTAAATATATATAGAAGACTTATCCTTCTAATTTTAAAACACATTATTGACAAATTACAAGAAAACCTCTTAGTATGATAGCTCAATTTGATTTCATATATATTAACTTAGTAATTATTGTTTAATTATATAAGTCAATCTACTGAAAGAAATGATACTCTATTTTAATTAAAATCATTAAATTCTTTTGAGTTCATTGTTAATCTGTTCGTAGTTTCAATTTATAAATTTTACTTAAGTCTTTTTCTTGATTTTAATAGAATAAGAAATTTTTAGGATTTTTGAAAAAAACATAATAAAATTTACTTGATGAATGAAGGTTTATATTATCGATTATATAAATTCACTATACTTCCATTCTAAAATAGTTTGTGTAAGATTAATAATAATAATTTTAAGTTGTTCCAAATTTTGAGTTATTAATATGGAAAATTAAATTACAGTGATTTTGTTTTGATTTTAATAAATAAATGAACTCAGAAAGAATCTCCTACATGACCTGTAGAGATAATTTGGAATAGGACAAATTCTACTCAGTGTTTGATGATTAATTACGTATATTATTTTATATATATAGCAAATAGGGAATGTCGACCAACTATTTATGTTCGCCCTCAATAGAAGAATAGGAACACGTTATAATTGAGGAGTATCCAGGAATCTAGCACAGAGCCTTTGCTCTCTAATGGAATATAAGGAACTTAATTATCTGAATTAGTGCCGAGAAAAAGATAGGTTGTTCCAATCGGACAAGCCAAGAGGAATCGAATCGAAACTTTGTTATTGAGATCGAGGCCATAAAGTAAGGGATTTCAGTAAGAATGTTCTTTGGATACTTCTGCTGCATTGATCAAGCTGATGAACAAGAATAGATGGGTTAGATATCTGATGAATCTATACATTTGGTTGAATATTGCGTTAAGAATAGGGTATGTGGCTATAGTTGTATTTTATGTGATCTAAAATGATTACAATGAAGTTTAGGATGAAAATAGTGAAGAGATTATGACTCAATTTTATTGGTGGATTCCTGGCTCTTTTATTGGCATTAGAGTAATATTTATATTGATAATCTACAAATTACTTTCAGTAGGTGAGTAGACAAGAGATGGAAGGATTAAAGTTGTTTATGATACTTATGAAGCTTGGTTTAATAAGACCATTAACGAGAGGGATCAATTATTGATGAAATGCAATTCTATGGTAATCAGGAATGGACAAGATGAATTGGAATTAAGGTAACTCTAACAGTAAGTGAATTCTTTAAATCGATGGCTTTTGATACTTAAGACCTATATAGTTTTAATTCCACCTGAGTGTCAATTCATATTTTTAAAATAAAAAAGCAATGGATTTTTTTAGGTGCAAAATTTTATAATGAAATCATTAGAAATCCTGTTTTTTACGCCCTAATTGATGTATTTCTTATTGATAGAAGAACCATTGGATTTGGAACTGGATCGTTGGTCAGCTTATGATGTCAATAACATCTGTCTATTAGTACTTTTGGCTGATATCATCTGCTTTGTCTTTATGACTCTTTTGTTGATTTGTTTGGGAAACAATAGGAAATATGTTAACAATTTAAGAACAAATTGATTGTAAATAACTATAATTTTATTAAAAAAATACAATATAATTCAAATTCACCCACGATGAGCTCTTTTTTAAATGAATGAGTTAATTTATATTACAATCCATTTTCTATGTAACCTAGTTAATTTTCTGATTCAATCTATAGGAATCAATTTGAGGCTAATTGTAAAGTCTCTAAAATCCATAAACTATATTTTTTATTAAATCATAATTTTTTATTAAAGTAACTCTAAATTTACTTCGCCAAGTTAAATATTTAATTTTTCACACTACCTAATCATCGTTGTTAATGAAAGCATTACCTAAAAAAAATCAGACCCTTATATACTCCTTATATACTGATGCGTCTAAAAAGGTTTGACTTTTTTAATTTAATAGTTCCTATTCTTATTTAATATAATTGAGGAGGAAAGCACTGTATATAAATCCTAATCTTTTTAAGGATTTTGTAAATGAAAGTTGAAGAAAGAGTTTAACTAAATTTACATCTATATACATGATGCAATTAAATCTATAATATTAAAAATATAATAAGTCCAATCTAAATGCTTACAGGCAAGGAAGAACAACCCTTATTGCTTTTGAGAGTAATGCGCTTAAAAAAAAGTCTAGTCCAATCGAGGAAATCAAGAAAGCAAGGAATTGCCAAAGTATTTAAGGAGCACATTCACTGATACCTATTAATTGTCGGAACCGGCTAAAGAGAAAAAAGGCAAAAAGCTATTGCCTCAATATGCTTTTGGGAACTCTCTGGAGTCTCCTACATATTTCAGGAGTGCAAATACATTGATTTGTAGAGAAAGCTACGACAATCCATTTATCAAGGGACAATTGAAACCGAAAAGCAAATGGGATTCTCTTCGTAGCAATACCTTGAACAATTATGATTTCTATAACATTTCTGAATAGAAATTTAGCAATTTGCCATCTGAAGGCTATCAAAATGTAAAATTAGTGAAGTAGAAAATGTCATTTATATAAAAGTACAGTTACAAACCAGGTCAATATTGTGAAGACTCCCAAAGTCAAGAATCAAGATTATACCTTCTAATAAGCCTATCGAACATTGTAAAATACAAGTCACTTTGGACGTAAGCATGGTGAGCATTTAAATCAATATATGAATAGAATTGTTTACAGATTTCATTGAAAAAAATGATAATTAAAATGTATATGGCCATTTAAATGATCGTTAAAGACCAAAAGGCCATTTGAGAGATGTAAAAAACTTTAGCATGAATCCTTAAGAATAGAAACTACAACATAAATACACATTTAATTTCAACATTGCAAGTCCTACTCAGAAATCTCCCAGGAAGTAATAGTTCCCTAGAGTGATAATGCCAGATGAATAGGTCGAGAAATATTTTAAAAGAGATTAAAAGTAAAAATGATGCATATACTAAGTTTTCTAAATGCTTTCGGTAATTCAATTATTGCTACATAAATAGACAATAAAATGAAGCGAAATAAACAAGATAGATATAAGTAAATTTATTTTTATATTTAGTGCTGACCCTGTGGTTTAAGATTATTAAGAAAATGAAATCGGATTGATAGAAGTATTCGAAAAACATCTAGAATTTGAAAAGCAATATGGAAATTGATTGATTAATTAATATTTAAATTGAAAATGAAAATATTACTCTGATCCCCAATATCACTAATATTTTATTAATTATCTTAGGCATTATCTAAAATATAACAAAAATTATATGTAGTATGGACTGTGAGACCTTAAAGATTGAGTCATACAGGAAATCAAAAGCAGAAAGAGAGTATAATATGTAATAAAAGAATTTGTAATGCACAATATAGTTTAAAAATTATAAATAAAAAATAATCAAAAGACTGAGATCTGAGATGGCTTAACTAAAGAAATAAATATAAAACATAAACTACTGAAAATATGTAAAACAAACATGCAAGACATTGCGTAAAGCAATTACAAAATCTTATTAACAAACATCATTAAATTTTATTAGTTTATTTTTCAACAATAATTGAAATATAAACTAATAATGTTATGTCAATTGATTTATCAGTGTTTAATTAATAAAAAACTTTAAATTCTCCTCATTTTACCTAACCTTAGAGTTATATGAAAAAATAATCATATATTCTGTCCAAAGATTAAGGTCTATATATTTTTAGAAATGAATTAAGGTAAAAGATATGTAAAGAAATTGTCATTGAGAAGATTTTATAGTTACAAAGGAAACATCCAAATTGATTTGAAGGATATGAAACAAAAAAGAAATAGTAAATGTAGCATAAAATAACCCAATGAAAATTCCCTCAAAAGTAGTAAGTCAGAACTAATAAATTTGTCGACCACAAAAACGTAGATAACATATCTATATAATTTACAGGACTAAAAGTATGACTTAAAAATCTATTTACTTATGTATATTTAAATTTACACTTAAATACCAGTCTCCAAAAATAGTGAGACATAGTATAAAGATTATACATATGGAGAAGAAATTATTATAAAGATTAAAAAAGTGAAAAATAATTAATTAAATAATGGGAATATGACTTAAGAGCATACTCAAAATTGAGATCTATGTGCTATCAATATTCCCTAAACAAAATTGTTTTTACATTTCATTATTTTTACATCTAATAATATAATTAATAGGTATACTTAAATCATCTACTGTATACGTTATAGTTCGTTTTGAGGTACAATGACTGGCTTAAGTTTCTTGTCTTTTTGGTTCATAACACTTGAAAATTGGAAATGTTGTAAGAGTGCTAATCGACCTTAGATTCTGGCATATCTCAACTAGCATATCTAGAAGGTATAGGGGAGAGAGTTACTTTTTCGCTGTTGAAATGAGGCCACTTTTACCCGTGAAACTCATTATGAAAAGAAGTAATCATTCGACTGTCAACAAAATTGATGAATGCATAGCCCATATTACATTTATTCTAAAAGGGTTGTGTACTATATGATACCTTGAAATCTATGGGGAGATAGAGGAAATCGTAGGAGGCTGAATGGTGATAATCAATTAATTCTTTGAGCATTTGAATAGTGTATTTATTTGGGATATTTTTAACCATGACAGTCGTTCTTGTATCTCCTTCAATACCATCAATTCGTACTATAAAATTATGGGAATCCTCATCCGATATAGTTTTACGCTTACGTCTATGGTTGTTCTCATAGAATTAGTCCTTTAAGGATTGATTATTTTCAAGAAATTCGGGTTCAAGTATTTCTGTCGAAAGGTTTGATTTATAAAGCGGATCTACAAAAACATGATTGATGTCTTTAATCATTTGATCTTGCACATCTCTGATGTCTGTTTATTGCTTAGGCAATATTACTTTTGTATCTGGAAAGGTTTACAATAGCAATACCTGAAAACAAGTCGATAGCTTGATCGATGAGACTATGTTCTTCTTCGCTTGTTGGGAGTGACTCTCCGCTCACATTCATGTTGCAAGATCTTTCAATGTCAGCAAATAATTCTTCATTAGAGCTATGCTGATTATGGCGATCGTTCTTGAAGCTTGATTACTTATTTCGAAACAGAGAAGTGTCACTTTAAGAGTTGAAACTACGAAGACCAGGAAGGTTGTAGCATCCTCTAAAATTATTGAAGCTATTATTCATTATTTAATTAAATGATAATAGGAATAGTATTAACTATTAAGCATCTAAGTTAAATTTATACTAAAATACAAATAACTACATAGGCTAAGTCCAATGTACGAATAAGTAACCATAATTGTTGCATTTACTGTGATACATAAGATTACATATCCCATAAAAATGCTTTTATTTTTTGGCATAATTCACTCTACAAAAGTATGACTAAATTCGAAGTGTGTAGATTGAGTAAATTAATGATAATATGATTAATTAATAGAATAACAACGTTAGCAATTTCATGATTTATTTTTTGAAAAGAAAATCTGAATTTTTCTCTTATTGTACTCATAATTATGCATTATAGCCATGGCTTGAATGGCTGATTCTAAGTCTTGATATTTGATTAGACATTTATTTTTGTTCTTCTCTTCACAAAATATTCTATTTTAATCAAAATAACAAATACTTTATTTTTTCAATTGGGCCAAACTTAGAAAATGTATCATAAATTATGCCCTCCTCACAAAACTCCTTTTTCAAGTTTGTCAACATAATTTACTAAGAGGGAGCCACCAAATATTTAAAATTATTGTCTTTGTATCTAAATGAAGCCTCATTTCCCAGATAGAATTCCTCCTCTTCGGTGTTCTTTGGTAATTAACCCTCCTCACAGTTTCTGAAGAATATGAATTCATAATTGGATGGATAAACCTAGAGTTAAGAGGGGATGTTACTTTTAATTTTTACCCAAACAAGGTTGGATTGCCTTCGTTGAAATTTGTTAACAGAAACTTCACGCTTACTTCTGTCGAGTATTCTATCAAGACGTTACATTTGGTCTTAAAAAATATCATTTTCTGTATGTTCCCAAAAGTGCTGAATATGTTGTAGATCATGGGCATGGTTGTTTGCTTAGGGTCAAACCAATTTGCATAAAGCACTTTGGTTATGAGTTTTTCTAAAGTTCATAATTGATTATACTTTGGGGAAGAATTTCTGATTAAAATATTTGCTTCTCCACTTGCATATTGCTTGGGAGTTACTAAGATGTGCATATGCGATGTCCTTCAGAGAATTTTAGAAGCTGTGTTAAATTATTGTCAATTGTATTTACAAATTGTTGGGAACTGCAGGGGGTTATTAATCATATAAATTTATTACAAATCCTCCTATTTATCATCTGTTGCTTCTTCCTCTGAATCATATTAGGAATTGCCATCCACCTTTTCAAAGTTCAAGGTGTCTGCCAACTAACTAGGCAGAGGAGGCATTCCAGTCAAAGATTGAGGTAATGCTTGGGAATGTGGCAACCATTTACTAAACTAATCATTTCGTGGGAGTTCTGTAGAATGCACTACGCCTTAGGTCTATTGGGCAATGTAATCTCTTATTAAATAAAAAGCAAGTACATCTAGCATATTAATTGCGAGCTTAAAAGTCAAGTCCTTTACGATTCGATTCATACACCAAAATTGACAGCCCATGCATTATAGTATTGTTAAGTTACAATGCATTTTCGGCTGACTTTTAGCTCTCGAACTAGACTAATGCCTTCCATATTGGCTTGTTTCGCTCGAAGATTAAAATCTAATTTATGAATGACTCATTTACTTTCTCAATTGTTCCAAATTGTATAAAGTTTGAATAGACATGTGTCACAGTTATATTAATGAAGTCTGGATTTTATATACAAATCAACACCACTGGGGAATTAGACATTTTCTAAAACTAAAAATATAATTTAATAAGTGAATTATTATTAATCGATGATAAAATTTTGCATTCATTCGTCTCCCCATTATTTTCAGGATTTCTATTTTATTTTGTCTTTTTTTTAAATTACGCATTCTAATTAATTTCTATCAATCTTTTTGAACTGGATAGCCCTTCATGTTGAAATCTGATGGATGCAGTTACAGTATTAGAATTAACTAGATTTATTTCATTTTAATGACAATATACATATCGCAATATAATAAAAAATCAGAATTATAATCAAATTAAATACTGTTTAAATTGGAGGATGAAAACTTATATAATATTGTATCTAAATAAATAACTGACAATCACAAGATTATTATCTGCGATTCTTAGATATTTAATCAAAATTTAATGATATTATCAAACTCATAAAATAGAAAAGAAATCGGAAGGAAAACCTTTTGCATTATTTATTCTTGGTTTTGCTCTTTGCGAGGGTTCTTTCTCTTTCTGGAAAAATCCCTTTAATTATTACGTGTTCATTAAGAGCAAATCTAAGATCTTATCATTGCTAATGGACTCTCTTTTGAAATAGTTTTTGTTCCTCTATTCCGTTGGAATTTATTATATTGCCTGTGTTTTCATAGTATTATTTCGATCAATTTAACTAGAGCGCATAGTCCTTGCAGTTTAAATTTAAAGAAAGTTAGCCTTATCTATATCCGAAGCTCTCTTTCCCTGAAAATACTAGGGCTCTGTGTCAAGGGAGATTTATTTTGTTATCGGGGTCCTTAAATTTTTTAAATCTAAGAATTTTTCCTTATTATTTAAGTCGTCTAGAGTGTGGATTCGATTTGTTTTAGGATGCTTCGATAAGAGAGGTGTGTTTAGTATTGATCTTTTATTAGAATCTTTGGAGTTTTAATGTTGAGAATTTAAGGATTTTTGAGATTTGATTTATGCTGGGTATACCTATTAATTGAAGTTCATCTGTTAATAATATATTAAATAAATAATGATAAACAGCTGCGTACATTTGGAATTATTAATCGAATATGTCATTCTCTCAAAAAATGGAGTCCTGAATTAACTGTACCTCCAACCTAAATGGAATCATGTGGATAAGATTGACTCAAAATCCTATTTAATAGAATGTGAAGGTGATTAGATACAATTTAAAATATTATTAATTCATTTTCATAGAGTAATACTAATATAGATATGTCAATTGTTTTAAACAGTGGAGTTTCTTTAGCAAAACTTTTTTTTTGGAGACGAACAAGAAGTAGAAATTCTGGATCTAGTCGATATTCTGGATCGAGTGATATTTTATCTAATATTCGAAGATTAAATGGTAGATAATTATGGTATGTTGGGCTCTTCGATATTTTGTTTGTTGGTATTGAAAGTAGTGCTAATCAATCTATGATTATTAAAGAGTCTCCCATGTCCTTGTTGTTTTCCATTATGCCATTAACCCTTATAGAAGGATCCGTCTTGCCAAAACATCTATCCATAACCTTGTCTCACATCATTAAGAAAATATCCTTTGAAATGACTGCCACTTGGCCATTTCATCTCTCCATATCCACTTTTCTAGTCGTTTAAAAATGAACCTTCGAATTCAACATTTTCAACTATCAATTTGCCATTACCGTGCTTAAGTCCATTTTTGAATTCTCCTTCATATTTAAAACCTTCTCCAATCAGTAGCCCTTATCCTTCAGCTTTTCCATTTACATATTATCCACGATAACAAACTCCGTCATTAAACGTTTCAATACCAAATCCATCCTTTTAACCATTCTTGAACTCTCCTTCATATTTAGATTTTTTGGTCTTCAAGTATCCTTTCCCGTCCACTTAACCAAACTTCCAATCCCCATAATACTCAATGTCATCTCCCTTCCTGTAGAGACCTTCCCCATGTTTTAATGAATTACACCAATTCCCTTCATAAAAGCTACCATCAGTATACCAGTAGGTTCCAAAGCCTTGGTGCTAATCATTTACGAATTCTCCATCGTAAGATGTTCCATCCTAATTTCTTTCATAACCAATCCCATGTTTAGTATCATTTTGAAAGTCTCCAGCATAGAAGTAATTCCCACTTGCTATTATACCCTTTCCGTGTTTCCGTTAATTAAGTATTTCACCAAAATAGGTTTTATCATTCTTTCTTATAAAAACTGCCTTTTCCTTCAAGTCTTCGTAATTGACATATTTATTTTTGTATTTGTTAATAAACTCATACATTTATTATAATATTTTTTTGTTCAAAATTGCATATCAAATTCAAATGTGTGTAACTTAATTAATCCACAATTAGATTATTTTGCTGTGAATATTATACTAAGAAAATTTGTGAAGAAATTAATAAAACTAATTTATATTTTATTAAGACCTTCCATGTCCAAAACGCCAAATCGCCTTCTATTACCGGAGTTGGAAAATAAAAGCTTTAGAGATACCAAACAAATTTAGGATTTAAGGAGAAAACTGGAGAAATAGCAGGACACTATACAGGAACTAGTCAATTTAGTAAAAGAGTCTAAAACAGAATCTTATAAGCCCTCATTCAATCAAACCATCATACAGCCTAAACCTGAAAAGGATGAAGTTACATTATAGTTATTAGAAGAAGTTAAAACTTTGCGAAGACAAATAAACAACATCGAATAAGGACCTAAACAAACTGTTTAACATCCAATAATCATTCCGCAGTATTTACCAGGTCCTCCACAACAACAATAATAATAATAATAATAATAAGTTTAGCCTATGATGCCACCATATATGTATATGAATCCATACTTCCCTATGCCTCCTCAATTTATGTATCCCTATCCGCAATCATCAAATAACGATGAACCCTATAAAAGAATAATTATGGAGTTGCTCTAAAAAAACAATAAAGGCAATAGAGATCTTAATTATAAAAAAAGAGATTCATACTCCAGCGAATATACTGATGATCTATATAGTAGGAACAACAGCAGATAACATAGACATCATTCAAATGTGGATAGAAGAAGGCATCCAAACGATCGGTATAATCAGAGGAGGAATAGGGATAGAAAATATATTAAGGATAACAATCAAAGTAAGAGCAGGGATTACGATGGCTCAGATCATCATAGAACAATTAGCAGAACCTCCATGAATGACAGCTAAATGAGTTATAATTCAAATTAGAATAGGAGGGATAAAAGAAGAAAAAATTAAAGGAATTTTACTGACGAATAGATACTCAAATTAAGGAGAAAGTTAATAGGATTGTTTTGGTATATTAGAATTGGTTTAGTGCTTAGAAAATATTTGAAAAGAGTTTGGTTACAACGAAGACAAGAGTATTACGAAACTGAAGCATAGTAATTAATTGATAAATTCGATAATGAATTTGTAATTGATTTATCAAATTAAATAGAACTACAAAGAAGTTTTAATATTGTTTGTTGTTGAATGTAACAAAAACAAGTATTTTACTAAAAATTGGAGTTTCTTTGATAACAAAGAAGTCGAACTTAAATCTAAATTAATCTTTTCCATCACAACTGCCCTTTTTAAGAAAATACCATTTATGACCAAAAGTACTATGACAGATGAACACAAATAATTCATTAAAAAAATATCATCTCCAGGAGGATATTTATTGCCAGGTCATCCTTAATTTGTAACTGACAGGGTCGAATTGAGACCTAATGTAACAATAGGGTAAAAACCATTATAGATATTTAGATAAATAAGTGCAGAGGTATCAAAGTTGATTCAAATGGATTATGTTTATATTCAAATTCTTGTTTAGAGAGTCCTTCTTATTTATGAATGGTACTCTCAGTTTTATAAAATCCCCAGTTATAAAGAGGCTATGAAAATATTTGTTACTTTATTGCATTAATTGTTCATAGATCATTTTATAAATCTTCCAACTTATGAAAATCCTGATTCAATCTTTAATGTAAATTCCAAATCATTATCATTTAGTAATAATAAATTGTGTATTGTGACTTTAATTAATAAAATTATATCAATGTGGCCACAAGTATTGATAGTAAGCATGCAAAATATCAACCAACCAAAAATTGTTGTATTCTAGGTCTGGGAACCCAAGATGAAATGAGACCACTTTATGAATAGCCTGGTTATAAAGAAGTCTAACTCTAATTTAAAGAATATTGTGAATTTTTTTATTAATCCTTAAACTTTTGAATACTCTTTGTACTCTAAAGATATAGAAAATAATATAATATTCTAAAATCTCTTATTTGTTTATTTTCAGTTGGCATTTTATTAAATTTAGAATTAGAATATCATATCTAAAAGACAATCTAGAATAATTATTAAAAATCAAACCAAGATACAGTTCTAGAATAATCAAATAAATTAGATTATAATCCCATCAAAAGAATACATTTAATAGGAAATAAGATATTATATAATTTTATCCTAATCTTAATAGATCTAAGTGAAAGAATTCTATTAAAAAAAAAAAAATATTTTGATTTATGAACTGAACTCTTAAATGTAAAAATATTGTATAAGAATAGTTATTATATTATTTTTATTTCGGCTGGTTAAATTGAATAAGGATGTAAATTTGTTCTAAATCTAATAGTTATCGAAAATGATTTTATTTATATTATTAATCCTATTTGCAAATAATTTGATCATATTTATTTATATAGTTGATTTTTTAATCTTAATAAATGTTTCAAATCCTTGTAAAATTTTGCCAAATATTGCATTGTGAATTTGCTTGATAAATATAAATGTTAAATTCCACAACTTAGCTTGCGAATCAATTGCCAGTTTTTAAAAGTCAAAACTACTCAGAATTGAAGGATTATTAGGATTTCTTAAAATTAATATAGAAGTTTCACATTTAAAAATTCATGTTAAAAAGTAAAGAATAACTATATCACTATTTATCGAATTAGTGTTAAATTTAAAACTACAATTCTCAATCAGATTCAGACTCAAGCAATGAAAATTAAGGATCAGGACAATAAACTGAAGATATGTCTAGAAATAAATTAAAAAATAAATCTGACAAAATATAAGCCAAACAATAAGATATCCTTGAAAAATAGTATCCCTAAATCCAAATAGAGAATGAAGATATTAATTTAAAAAATCAATCTTTTGAGAATAAAAAAAATGATTAACAAAAAAAAGAGCATGGAGGAAAAAAGTCTAAGGAAAGTACAAAAAATAATGAAATTTTGGAGAAACTTAAATCCATTCCTTTGATTTAAGACTTCGATGATGAAGATATTAGATAAATGGTCAATGATTTTTAATAGGAAGATAAGAAGTAATCAAAGTAAAACAAGAATTCATAAACATTTAAAGATACTAGTGTGAGGGATGATTACTAATACAAATGGCCATAATCCAGAATAAGGATATTGTAAGCTTTGACAATCCTTATTGAAAATAAAGTTGCAGTTCCCAAAATTCTACAAGATTTTAAAATCCTATAAAAAACTTACATCTACTCTTTGTATCTAAAAGACTGTGATGACTTGGCTAATCAATTATGGCAAAAGGTGGGAGAGAATGTAAATGCAGATGATTAGATCAAATACTTTAGAACCAATTACAAAACAGACTAATTAGAATTAATTTTAGAAATGGTCAAACTTGTTTACGAGAAGAGAGAATAACATCGAGAACAAATAATATCAACATGTTCAGGAATCATATTTTAAAAGAAACTAAGATAATTAAAGGATAAGGTAACAGCTAAAGCAAAATGTGCAGATAAGAAATGTGAATTAACTATTGCCTACTTGGAAAGAATAAATAATTATGTATTGACTGGACCTATAATTAATAAATATCAACACGGTGGTTGTAGTGAAGCTCAACTATTGCATCAGAAAATAATTAAGAAAGCAGCTAAGACTCTACTTTACTCTGCTGTTTAGCTTGATGTTCCAGTACCAGAGGTACTCTAATACCTATCTCTAAGAAAGAGCAGATATAATGTATAAGATAGGCCAGAAGAACAGGGAATATACATACTTCCAAGTGTGGAGTTGGTGAAGTTGATTGTAGACAAGTAAGGAATGGAAACTATTGCTTAATAGTTAAAGATGAATGATTTTGACTATTTAGATTTTAAAGGCCTTGACTAATTAAATTTTGAGCATTCAAATAAGAATATTGAGGAAAGGGATGAAACAGTCTTATATTCAGTACTTCAATTAGTATTAGACAGAATTGATGAGTTGGATCAATTAAGCTTTGTTATAAACGATAGAAAATTCAAGGCTTTACAATAGAAACTTAATGAATTGTATAAAGATGAGATCTTTGGAGAACCTAACCAATAACAGGATATCCCTCAATTTGTAGGATGTGTTATGAATAAAGTAGAATCCTATATTAAATCGTCAAAGTCATAGGAAAGAGTTAAGACTAAATTATGTTGCATTAAATCAAAATTTTTTGATTCGGAAATCATAGTAAAACAAAATTATGAAAATTTAACTGCAGAGTAAATAGAATTTTGTAAGCAATTATTCATATTGTTTTTATCAGATATATCCAGTAAAGATATAGCATTTCCTGAAATCTTAAGATATTTTAAATTCATTGATTGTAAATTATTCTTTGATTTTAATGAAAAATTGATAGGAATTATGTTGCTATCTAAAGCTATAAGGCAATATTTCATCTCTTGTATGGAAATGGATAATGAATTTGATAAACAAACCACTGAAGACAATCAGATTATTATTAACTCAGTTCCACTATTAAAATTAACAATCAAGGAAGAGTTTCTGCCTGAAATATCTGAAATATTCAAAAAACAGATTTTAATTCTATCCCGACATAAAGAAGATCTATATGTAGATATAAGAGAGCTGTTTAAATATTAACCTATTTGCGAGATGCTTAAACAACAAGACTTAGAGGATGAATATGAGGATGCGATTTTAGATCTAAAATGCTTATATAAGTTTGTTAATGAATAAAATTCAGATTAAGATTGATTCTTGAAATTATACATAATATATATATTTGGAAATTTCTTTAAATATTTTATGTAAAATGAATAGGTTTGATATAATTTATGTTTATATCAATTAGGTATATCTAATATAGATCTTAATAATTAAGTAATATTAATCATAGCAAAGTATTAGATGCCTAATGATTAATACATATTAGATAAATTTAATTGCATTTAAAGTGATCTTTCTCATCAGTATAAATTAATATAACTGCATTCCTTTAATTAAATCAACCTTTTGAAATTGGGCCTGTTTATACCAATAACTCTGATTATATTTCCTTCACTTTTAAAATCATTAAAATATGCATTCATGATCATTTTCATAATATTTACTATTTTTCATTGTTTAAATAGCGCGAATCCTAATCGACCAGAGCCTTAAAACGCTACGTTAAGTTTGTTATGTCAAAGCATTTGTTAACTCCACTAACTATTGATGAGAATGATAAATTTTAGGTCTCATGTTAAATGAATGAATTCCCCATTTTTAATAAAAATTAAATCTAATTTTAAAATATGTCACAAAAGTTCAAGGTTAGAAAGCTCAGAGATTAAAAGCCAGAAGATCTACTTAAGGATTTAGAGAAGCTTAAGTCAGAACTCATTCAATTGAGAACAGTCAAAGTTTCAGCTGGTAATGCTTAAAAACTTGGCAGAATTGGTGTAATAGATTAGTGCTTATATTTCAGCTTGTGAGAAAGAGAATTGCAAAATACTTAACCGTCATTAATGAATAAAGAAGAAATTAAGTTAAATCAACCACTAAGTCAAGCGGAAAACTTCCAGTTGATCTAAGAGGTAAAAAAACAAGAGCAATCAGATAAAGATTAACCAGAAGCGAAAGAGGTTCATCATTTCAATATAAATTAGCTTAAAAGACTGCCAGATAATGGAAAAAACTGAATAATTTCCCTTTGAGAAAGTTTGCTTTGAAAGAATGATTCATTTATAATAATAATAGTACATTATTCTTAACTAGTATATTTATTAATATTGCTCTTTTCTATCATATAATATAGTTAAATAATTATGATTCATAATATTTGATTGTTATCATCTTACACCATAATTTATTTATGCTTTCAAGATGATTAATTTAATGCATAATATTTAACTCATTTTTTCATTACTTAACTACAACCTTATTTTCTTTTGATTATAGAAAAATATTCAAAAAACTTAATAGTACTAATGATTGTATTATATATTTAAGAATATTACTTTTAATTTAATAATAATGATATCATCACAACAAAATGCTGATTTTAACTTATCTTCTTGATAGTTATTTGTCAATATCTTCAAATTCTTGATCAGTAAATCCCAGTTCCCCAGTTCTCTGTGATCTCATCATACTCCTCTCCATAGATTGCCTTTCACAGTTCCTTACAAGTGCTTATCTAAAATATTAAGATTTTTTACCTCAAATTCAAAATGATATGTCCCTAACTCATTGTAAGTAATAGTCTTTGCAAATCTTATTTGTCAAATCTGCAATTTATTAAAGTTAATTTAAACTCTTTTAATTTAGATAAACTATATCCTTGTGTATTTAATTAAATATTTTCAAAATTCAAGGATAATTGAGTTAAACTTTTACTCTGAATATTTTTTTATAAACTAAAGGTTTAATCAGCACTATCTGATTATAGTGCTATTTCTAGAGTTTGAACATTAGTAAACAAATTAAAAAAAGATTAGCAATTTTATAAATCTAAATTTCCTCCAACTTCAAGATAAAATTATGAAAAATCATATCTATCTAATTTAAGAAACTATTTATCAATAATTATCGTTTCAGCATTTTGTATTCTATTTTATCTTATCATTTCTCTAATTTAATAGTAGGAATAACAAAAGGCAGTTAAAGATTTTTTTCTTTCCACCTCAAGGTTAAGATAAATGGCCCTTCTTGTTTCAACACGTATTTCCAATTGTTTTAGGCTATTTTTTGGACAATATAACAGGATAATATTTATAAGCCATAAATTTTCTGGTGCAATTTCATCCAATTAAAAATTTAACTTCAATTGTTAGAGTTCACTCACTTATAAACATTAGAATATCGGAATAAGTACTTCACCTAAATATAGAAATTCTTATGCTTTCTCGATTTCGATACTTGATGCTATATTTACTAGTACTAATTTCAATTGAGCTTATAACTTCTTCTTTCTCAAATTTTCAAAGTAAGAATAATCTAATTTAGTGAAATCAATTTTATATTTTCTTTTATTTAAAATAAATCTATCTAATTTGGAAATAATTGCATATGATTTTGGATATTCTATGAGAGTTGATTATTAGGTTGAACTCAAATAAGACATTGATTAAAAAAATTAATCAACAGACACTTTTCTTAATATCAGTGCAGGTACAAAGAAATCTTTAGTTACTACTGCCAATAGATCTTTCACTGCAAAAAAACCATCCTTTACACTACTTACAATTGAGAAACCCCAAGCATAATCTTTATTTACGGTTAAAATATAAATAAAGAATTGGGGTATTTTATTTAAGGCTTCATCAACACTTGTTCTCCAAATAATAGCTTAATAGGTAGGAGCTCTAGAGATATCCCATAAACTATTTGGATCAAGTTAAGCATTGTGATAATTAAAAACAACAATTCCAATACTTCCTTTAAATTTGGCTGCATAACTCTTAAATCTAATATATGCTTTAACATTAATTGCAAGGAGCCTTCTTTCAGTTTATTGAATAACTTCATTGAAACAAAGAAAAATGATCTTTATTACTAAATCCCAAATTTTTAAAAGATTGAATATGAAAAAGAGAAAAGCAGCTGAAATCATTTGATATATAGATGAATTCCTATATAGTTTAGCATAAAACATAATAAAAGATATTAATTGTAAAATGGGATTTAAAATCTACAATATAATAAGTGCCCAAATTAAGCCATCTTTTTCCACTTAAATGAAATAAACGTATTACATTATTTGAAAGGTTAAATTCAATAATGATACAATAGTTTATAAGATACCTTAGAAAACGTTCATCGTCTTAATTCTCTCATAATAATCATAACAATCAGCTAATCTTCTCAAGCATCCTAATTATTCTCTAAGGAGTTCAAGCTTAGGAGTATGCAAGATTGTATAATCATTTTCTTGCCTAATTTCTTCTAAACTATCTCTTTTATTACAAGCACTTTATAATCTTTCTCTTTCATCTTATTCCAATCTCATTAATTCCCTATTTAATGCATCATTCATAATAAACCTTGGACGTAATTGATCTGGAGCCATTAAATAAAAAATAGTTGAAATCCTTCTGTTTCTCTGTCCTGTAATTTATGACATTATATTTGATTGCCTATTAGTGTTAACTTATACAGCCGTTCTTCTGATTTCTCCTTATGTTTCTTCCTGCTGATCATTATTCCATATACCCCCCAAATTTATAGCATCTTCGTGAACTATTTCACAGCCTTAAATGTGAGAGAATGTATTATTGAGTTCATCTAATCTTTCACTATTCTTATAACACAATATAATTTTATTGGATTCTATACATTCAAATGCGTTTGCCAAATATTATAATGTTATTGGTTAATAAGAATCAATATTTGAAATGGCGATTAATTTGAGAAATCTTAATCTCAAAATAAATTTAATTATTTAAATTATACATCTTCTTTTTTCGTATTCACTGAATTTACTTGTGTCAATCAGAAAATAAAATGATTACACATTTTCAAGATAGGATTCATCAGCCTTAAGAAGTTATTTTGTTTCTTGAATTTTCTGAATTCCAATTTTGTGCAATCTCTCTTAAATATCCACTGTTATTTGACGATAAGTAGTAGTAAATACAATAAATTAAAGTTCAGTAAGGTAGTAAAGGATATTAACTACCAAAAGAAAATAGTTAAAGTTATTATAATCGTTCCCTCTTCCAACCTTAGCATTGTAAAATCCTTATATAAAAGCATGGGAATTGATTATGTTAGGAAAGTAATCATCATCGAAATTAAAGCTATACGATGGAATATTAAGTCTCTGAAAATATTTATTGGTTTGTTTCTTTTCTTAAACAACCCAGAGGGATTTCCTTATCTGTCTTCACTAGTCATTATAAGATACTTGTTGATTTAACTGAATGAAAACTACTGAATAGACTTATCTCTAGAGTAAAACACAAAAAAGGGCAACAGTTTGATGTAGCTTAATCCTCCAATAATAGCATAATAAACATAATTCAATAGATCCCAGCAAAGGTGATGTCTTTACACATTCATGTATTTATATGTATAAATCCAAACATATACGTGGAGTAATACGGTTAGAGCTATTGAAAAATAATATAATCCTTCATAAACTGGTTCATCTGAAATGTTATTTTATTTCCCATATAATAAAGTGAATATTAACTCCAATATTGTAGATATATAAATAAGTATCTAAAATAATATTTTAGTATAATATTTATAAATGGTGGAGGATCTTTTAACTTCATTAAATCTTTTATTTATAAGGTTAATTAATTCTTGTTGTGACATGCGCGTATGGACTTCATTATCAATATTCAATCTATCATCCGTTACTGCACCTTCATGAATATTGTTATTTTAAGTATTCAACCCCTCCAATTCAGGTTCCTGTTAATTAGCTTATTATGGTGCTTGAGTAAATTGAATTACTGATTGAGTGGTCTCCTGTTGCTCTATTTTCGGAAGAAGAACTTATGAGGCTCCTTGAGTTCTATTTTCATTTTAATTCGAACGTAATTCCACCAACTCTGCGTTGTCTGTTGAAAATCTTTATCCTTGGTTATTTGTCACAACCTATTCAGGTTACATTTTAGGATTTTAGGGAAAAAAAATAAAAAAAATAATGATTTGAAATGAATATCTAGTTCAATAAATAGTCCTAAAGTGATAAATCTTTGTTTATTATAATAAGTCACTAAATCTCAGTATTAATCAACTTAATTTAAGTTATAGAATGCTCTTTCTAGTTGGAGGTATTTTTAATTATTTAACATTTTTTATTCTAAATTATCCAGTGTAAATGTTTGGCTGCCAAGAATATTTTGTCATGGCATTATGATATCATTTTCTTAGTGTAATTCTAGACTAACAAACTTTAAATAATAAATAATATAATTATTGGTTGATCCTTAACGGTTAATACGTATAATAAAATAGGTCGAATTAGTTTAGATTTTAAGATGAAGAGGAATTATTTATTTTTATACATCCCATTTTCCAATACAAGCTTTCAAGACTTTGTAGATTATTTTTTTTAAATAAATTTTATTGCTAAATAATTTATATATATATTCATTTTTATCTATAATAATATAAATTAAATAAATTAACGAATTTTTTTCATTTTCATTTTAACTCTACAATTATTGTCATAAAAGTATATATTCATTATAGATTAAGGATAATAATTTCTTTCTTAGAGAATTCTTGAAAGGCATGAAGAATATATGAACATTGATGATTAGGCATAAAACAAAAAATATGATTGTTTACAATCACATTTGAAGAATGCGATATCTCTGTATTATTAAATATTTATATTAACAAGCAACAAAGTATTCTTTAGATTATTATTGATTAAAATTTTTGAAAAATAAATTAAATTAAAAATTATGTTCTCCTAAATAATGTTTTTAGGTGATTACAGCTTAGCAATTAATGCAGTATTTGAAGGATCAATTAAATTACATAAGTATTAAATTGAAAAATATAAATTCAAAAGGCTCAATTAAGCTTTATTAATTTCCTTCCTTTTAACATTACAATACATTCAATATTGCATAGTTGTTAAGAAAACTAAGAAATTTTATAATTTTAATTAAATTTTTTTTTCTAATTAGTATCATCAAGGCAATAATGTTAATTCTCATACAGTTTGTCTTAAAGTTCCTTAATTATTTTATTCATAACGTAGTATTCCTTTTCATCATTACTCATTTTGCCCAATTTGATTTTATTTTATTCCTACTTGATCATATTATAATATCTGTTTTTAATTGTATTTTCAGTTCTTCTTAATTAAAATATTTATAATGAAATTTCTGCCCATCTCTTTCCCTTTTTCTTTACTTCTAAAAATAACATTAACTCTTCTTCTTTAGTCCAAGGGTCCCTAATTCATACTCAAATGATTTACTTTTTAATATTAGGGTCTAATTTATTAACCCATCTATCCCGACATTATTTTCCTTATCTGGCATATGGTGTTTGGCATTTCTTCATCAATTCAATGGCTATATCACACCATTTATTTGGATGTTAATTATATAGTTAGACAAGGGCTTAGTCTTCCTCAAAAGTCCAACTTGCTTTGGCTTACTTTTCTTAAAGCCATCTATTTCTACAGGCCTTCCAATTATGATGAATCACCAATCTAGATATTCTTTCCCAATCTTATATTATCTATAATATATGAATATATTATACTAAATCATGAGGAAGTACACGGTTCGATAAACACATTCCAAACACTATGATATTTAATAATTTGTCTTAGCAAGGGGTCCATGCTCCTTTTTTGCTAAAATTACTTTTTTCAAAAGTGTTAAAAAGAGTATTTAATTCTTCGGATGCTGGAATATATTGTAACGAAAAACAGTTGGTTGAGATGAGCCTTATTTTAAATTGATTGTCTATATTTGCAAATAAGTTTTAAATTGCTTGACGATCTAAAGAAATTTTTTTCATTACAATGTAATTCAAATATAATTAAGATATAAATAAATTTTTATCAAATAACGAAATAATTATTGAAATTATATATGGTGTTTATTTAATATATACATATAAATTAATTATTACAAAGTATTTATTCGTATTTTTTTATTTTTAAAGAAGTCGCTTTGCTTATTGTCATGATAAAACTGTCCTATTTTCTTTGAATTGTCATTTAAGGATATATGAGCGTAATTGAGAATTAAAGAAATAACTTAATATTTTGATTTCTTAATAATGATGATAAAATATTATGGATGGGAAATAACTACTAATAATAATTATTGAAAATTCAAGTTCAAATGAATCCAAATTGTTCTTTTTTTTGAAAAGAAACAAAATAAAATTAATTATATATTTGATTACTTTGTATGATTGACTATTTAATTTTACCTTTAATCTAATTCACAAAAACTGATGATTTTTAGAAAACCAGTACTTAGTATAAAAGTATGAAAAATATAACAATTATATTAATCTCAAAAGTTAGTAATTTTTTTTTATAAATTAATTAATTAAATTCTGATGCCAAAAATAATACTTTATTTGATAACTTCCTAAAAAAGTAAATAAAAACCTAAATAGCATTTTAAGGAATACGATTGTATTTTCCTGGTTTATTTCTTGCTGATCAAACTGATATTTAAATAATACACAATAGTTAGAATCGCATTAATTCTTAAATAATCACAGACTATTGACATAAAATAAGTATCAATAAGTTTCATGTTGATTAAATTTTAAGTTAGAAATTATATATATATAAGTTTGGAAAAGCAATTCTTTTTTTATTTATGTATGTAATAAGTAATTATAAACAATATTAATTTATAAAGGATTTTGCTATAAACTTAATTTTTGAAAACAATGTTATTTTATTTCAATAATGAAATGATTATTCTTGTTTCCTTGACTTATAATACTTTTAATTTACTAAATAATTTTTGATTCACATATATTGAATTGAATATATTAATAGTCTTGAAAGAAGGAATAATAAAGAGGAAATAGATATTTGTTATCATTTATATATGTGATAAATAATAAGAATAAAAATTAAGTTCATTAAAGAATAATTCGATATCATAAACTTAAAGTTCCTTATTAATTTAAAGGATTTTATAAGTAATTAAAAATAAGTGTTCTTATTAATTTCTGCTTCACCAATTAAAAAAAATGAAAGAAATGGAAGGGATGATATGGGTGTACTCATTGAATCTTAGTTATGATAATGTCTAGTTAAAGTAAGTTTTTGAGCATTATTTTTTATATAATTTACTAATTTGAATGTTATATTCTAAACATTGTTAGTCAGATTTTGATGGTTACGAGAAAGTATAAGAACTTGGGAACGGAGCTTATGGGAAAGTTTATTTAGTTAGAAAAGATGGGGAACTGTTTGCTTTAAAAACTGTATGTATAATGGTAACATAGAGGTGCCTAAAGGAATATTTAATGATTTAAGCGAATAGTAGTTATAGAAAGAAATTTAGATACACAAAAAACTAGTTCATACAAACATTATTAAGTTGCATTCTTATTATCAGGACAGACAACATGTTCATATGTTGATGGAGTATGCAGATGGAGGTTCTTTGTATCAAAAACATTTAACATTGGATGAGGTTCAAGAGTACTTCACCTAAATTTGCAATGGGATTTACTATTTGCATTCAAATAACATCATTCATAGGGATCTGAAGGTAATACATTGGATTAACATGTAAGCCTGAGAATATATTACTAAAAAACAATGTGATCAAGCTATGTGATTTCGGATGGTCAGCTGAGGTGGGATATAATAAATAGAGAGATACCCTATGTGGGACTATTGATTACATGGCTCCTGAAGTCTCCTAAGGGAAATATTCATTCAAAGTAGATACTTGGTCATTGGGGATAATTCTGTACGAGATGATTCATCATTCTGTTCCTGCTAATCCAAGGAAATACAACTGTCCAGAGTTGGTTCAAGATTTGATTGAGAAATTGTTAGTTCCTTAGGATGAGAGACTTAACATTACTGAGGTTCTGAAGCATCCTTATGTGAAACAAGGGTAAGAGGAAAGACAATCAGTTTTGAGTGAGCATTCGTTAAATTTTAGCAAGTATCAGGTGGAAGGGTTGGAATTGTTTAATGAATTAGATGTATATTTGGAGTAATAAGATAGAGCAATAATCAGAATGACTGACATCTTCAAACCTAGATAATCTAGGAAGGTGGCTGAATAATAAGTAACACAACAAACGCCGAAAAAGAGTTTTTTCAATACAATACTGGACACATTGGGATGTATGAATAGAAGTAAGAAATAATCATCTGGTTGAAGAATAAAATTAAATTATATCAATGATAAATAATTCATTTCGTAAAACGCTTGTTGGATATCTACATCCATTCAGTTGGCTCTCCTTCTATTATAATGTATCCACTTCACCTCAATCTGAATCTATTTCTCCTAGAGCAAGGATCATGCGTCCATCAAAATAAAAGTTTAATATTTCTTTTAAAGAATTTGCAAAGCATTGTCAACGTCTCAAAGAAGATGAACAATCAGAAATCACAAAGCATATTAATTTGATTCCACCAGCTACTTCTAATGAGATTTAAGAGTTTATCAACTCAAATAAGATAGAAGGAAACATTAGCAATATTGCAAAAGACTTTGAATTTCTTCCTGCAGAATACTAATAAATTCTAATCTCCAAAAAAATAACTACACCTACTCCTATTCAAAAGGCTATTTTCCCTCTAATACTTGAGGGAAGAGATGTGATTGCCATTGCTGAAACTGGATCTGGAAAAACTTTAGCCTATGCTCTACCAGGAATAATACATTCTCAAGCACAGCCAAAAGTACTTGGCCCAAGAATTTTGGTTCTTGCTCCCACTAGAGAATTGGCATAATAGATTTAATCTCAATATGAACTTTTCACCAGAACTTGTTGTGTGTATGGAGGGGTTTTCAAGAATTTACAATATAGTGAAATATTGGGCATTAAAGAATCCAGAAATAAAATTAATCTACCCTCAGTAATTATAAGCACTCCAGGCAGATTATTAGATTTTATGAAAGATGGTTTGCCTTTGAATTCAATTACATAAGTAGTGTTAGATGAAGCTGATAGAATGTTAGATATGGGATTTGAGGATTAAATTACATAAATTCTATCGGCAGTTAGAGATGACAGATAAACTTTGTTTTTCAGCGCAACTTGGCCAAATGAAGTCTAAAGATTGGCTAATTCGCTGTGTAATTAAGATCCTATTATGATACAACTTGGAGAGTAAGGATTGTCAGTCAATAAAAATATCTAGTAAGAAGTCATTATTGTTTATGAAAATAAATTTGAAAAATTCGCAGAGTTAACAGATAGATTAAAGGGATAAAAGTTGCTTATTTTTTGTTAGAAGAAGTTAGACACTTAAAAATTGGAGTATCGGTTATCCATACATGGATTAAAAGCGAGATATTTGCACGGTGATTTAAAATAAGCTGAAAGAGACTAGATTATGGTAGAATTTAAGTCTGGAGCAATTAATTGTTTGATTACTACTAATTTGGCATCCAGAGGCTTGGATGTTTCTGATGTTGATGTTGTTGTAAGTATTCTTTTGTATTTAGATTAATTATGATTTCCCAGACACTATTGAAGACTATATTCACAGAATTGGTAGAACCGGTCGAGCTGGCAAAAAAGGGTAGGCCATAAGCCTTTTAGAACCAGCCTTTTTTAACAATAGACTTAAAAACGATTTGGTTTAAGTTCTTCAATAATCTGACTAAGTTATACCTTAAGAATTATCTAGCTTAAGGTTATGATTTATGATTTTTTATATGACTTATTGTTTTAATTAGTTATTTACTAAACTCTAATTATACAAAATTATAATCATATGATAGAATTAAAATATACTGAATATATTAATCCAATTTTTATTGATTAGTTAAATAATTATGTTTTAATATTGAAACAATAGAATTAAATTCAATTTTTTAGAAATTGGATTAAGGAATAAACTAGAAAATCAATCTGTGAACTAGTAAAAATAAAGATAATATATTTGAGTATTTAAAATTATAACAAATACTATATTATAATATCTTCTATTAATTTTATAGTCAAACCTAAGTTTTATATAGCTGTTCTATTTGTTTAGAAAATACTTGTTTAGCAATATGCCTTTGTAACTTGAAGGTTGATGTCAAACATCCAAAATTTTGTAATGGTTAAGGTTCTAAATATATTAATTTTGCCTAGTAAATTAAATAATTAAGTTATACTATTTCTAAGGAATTAAGCTTATTGGCTCTTCCATAGTCATTGATATTTTTTTAAAATAAACCTATGATTTCTGGATTCTTGCATAATTGCTCAAAATCACCTTGAATTTATTTTTCAGTTGCCTATTTTTCAACATAATCTTTCTAGGGAACTATTATGGCTACAATTTGACTTTGGAGAGAATCTCCATATATGAATGACTCTGCTACACCTTGTACTCTATTATAAATAGCTTCAATCTTCTCTGGAGCAATGTACTCACCTTATTAAAGTTTAAAGATGTTTTTCTTTCTATCTATAATTTTGACTCCCCCGTTTTCAGTAATAAGACCAATATCTCCTGTGTGCAACCATCCAGCATCATCAATAGCTTCAGCTGTTTTTTCAGGGTCCTTGTAATATCCTTAGAAAACTCCATGTCCTCTTAAACAAATTTCACCTCTTGGTGTTTTTATACCATTAATAACATCTTGTGATGTGTAATTCATGTCTGGTACATCAACTAATTTAAACTCTGTATTGGCAGCAGGTCCACCAAGATGAGCAGACTTTGGATCCCATGTACCTGTTGAGAAAGATAATCCTGTTGATTCTGTTTAACCATAGCCCTCAAGAATTGGACAACAAGCAGAAATTTTGAGAAAATCAATAACTTCTTATTGAATTGGAGCAGAACCAGTAATCATTAGTCTACATCTGCCTCCGAATAAATCTCTGACGCCTTGGAAGGCTTTGTCATATAAACCACTTGTATATTTGGCCTCTGATCTTAGATTTTCTAATTTCACTCGTATGGCTCTTTCTGCAAAGGTTTTTTTAAGGCCTGTAACTTCATTTATTTTTGCTTTAATGCCATCATAGAACTTGTTATATAATCTAGGGACTGAAGCAAAGACTGTGGGTCTAAGTTTTGATATGTCTTCCTTCAATAAATTTGGATCACCTCGATAGAATCTAGATGTCATTGATAACAATACCCTATAGTAGCACCAGTGTATAGCATAGTAAGTATAATCAATCTCTCCATTACATGAGGTAATGGCAAATAGGATATATGGACATCTGTTGAATTGATTCCAGCATCAGTTACTTAGGTGCTAGCAATGGCAGAAATGAAATTGCTGTGAGAGAGTATTGCCCCTTTAGGATTTCCTGTAGTTCCAGATGTATAACAGAAGGTGTAGACTGAAGAGGGTGAAACTTAGACAGGTTGCACGATTTATTTCCTACCGTTTTCTACTATTTCCTCGTATTTAAATAATTGATATCCTTTGGCTTTTAATTCTGCAATTTGCTATTCTGAAATGGAATCAAGCAAAACCAAGTTTTTTAATTTATGCTTTTCCTTGCATTAAATTAAAGATTTGGTTGCATCGCCACTAATAAACATGGTTTCAATGTTGGTCTAATCGAGAATGAAGGGAATCGACTCAGGACCAAGAGTATCATAAAAAGGGACCATTGTGCAACCGTACAGGATATTTGCCCAATCTAAGATCATCCACTCTCTTCTATTTTTTGCAAATACTCCTATCAATTTTAATTTGAAGTGTTGATATTCTTGGACTTCCTTCACCAAATTCAAATTGGAAATACTAAATTCAATATAATATATTACCCACTTCCTAAATGGATTGCTTCTTCATTTACTTAATTGTATGACATGAACTTGAAATTATCTCCTTCATATTTGCCCATGCATGGCTGATTTCCAAATTTTGCCACGCTATTGTTTAGCATTTCCTATAAAGTTGTGATTCCTTGGTGTGGAATCATGAGTAACTGATTTAAATATTTTACATTTCTCCTGACTGTGGTTTAGCCTTAATTATTCACTAAAGAACCTGGTTCATTTTCTGTTACCTTCTCTTGTGAATATCTCATAAATTGATAGGTATTAGATACACCACAACCCATTATAATAAGATATATAATTATGTTTAAATCAACCACTTGAAAATCGATTATTATATTATAATATTACATCATTAATTAAACTGATAATAAATCTTGTAATGAATTATGAAAATTAATGTTTTTAATAAAATTTGCATAATTTAAAACATACAATGAACATAAATCAATCAACTTCTTCCATCTTTGATTTGGTGGCTTCGGTGTTGGCATCTTCCTTTTTCTAAGAAAAATATAAATGATTAATAATACCTCTAATTATGGAAGTTTTTCATCTTCTTCTTCAATACCAGCATCATCAATTGATAAACCGAGTTTAATCATCTTGTGGATTCTATTGGCAAAGTGAGTTGGGTCATCAAGACTGAATCCTGAAGTGAGAAGAGCAGTTTCATAGAGTAACCAGATGAGATCTTTGACTGTCTTGTCACTCTTGTCCTTATCTGATTTCTTCTTTAATTCAGTAAGGATTGGATGATTGGCATTGATTTCTAAGGTCTTCTTTGACATCATATAGCTGCTCATTGATGGATCTCTCAAAGCTTAAGCTTTCATGATTCTTTCCATATTGGCAGACCATCCATATTCACCAGTGACCAATACACATGGTGATTAGTCGAGTCTTTATCCTAATTAGACCTTTTCAACCTTGTCTCCCAAGATTTCCTTGACCAATTTGCATAATCCTTCAAATGCAGACTTTTATTCTTCAAATTTCTTCTTCTCATCTTCAGTTTAATCTAAGTCTAAGCCTTCCTTTGTGCAATTCTTTAATTTCTTTCCATCGAACATCTTCCTTCAATTATTAGATTAACATATTCATCAATTGGGTCAATCATATAGAGGACTTCATAATCTTTCTTCTTCAAGGCTTCAACAAATGGTGATGCAGCAACTGAGGCTTTGGATTCTCCTGTAATGAAGAAGATATCCTTTTATCCTTCCTTCATTTTTCCAATATAGTCCTTGAGTGAGATTTATTCTTCACCACTCTTTGATGTGTGGAATCTGAGGAATTCACTCAATTTGGTTCTGTTGGCTGAATCTTCATGGATACCTAATTTGAGATTCTTTGAGAATTGTTCATAGAATTTCTTGTAATCTTCAGCATTTTCACTGATTTCTGTGATCATTTCGATGCATTTCTTGGTGATGTTCTTCTTGATGACTTTCAAGATCTTGTTGTGTTACAAGAATTCTCTTGAAATATTCAAGGGTAAATCTTCAGAATCAACAACTCCCTTAACGAATCCCAAATATTCTGGGATCAATTCTTCACAATCATCCATAATGAAAACTCTTCTGACATACAATTTGATGTTGTTCTTCTTCTTCTTTGTTTCGAACAAATCGAATGGTGCTCTCTTTGGAATGAAGAGGACAGCCTTGAATTCCAAACCTCCTTCAACTGAGAATTATTTGACTGTCAAATGTTCTTCCCAATCGTTGGTCAATTATTTGTAGAAATTAGCATATTCTTCCTTGGTGATTTCTTCTGGTTTCTTCATCCATAATGGCTTATTCTTGTTAACTTATTCGAATTCGGTACTGACTTCCTTGATCTTCTTCTTCTTCTTTTCAGCCTTATCCTTCTCTTCTTAGACTTCACCTTCTTCAGCCTTCTTTTCCTTATTTTCATCTTCATCATCACTGACTTCCTTCTCTGTTGTCTTTTCAATTTATAATTCAATTGGGAATCCAATGAATTCTGAGTGTTTCTTAACCAAATCCTTAATTCTCTTTTCTTCCAAGAATTCTAAGTTATCTTACTTCATGTGTAAGATGATTATTGAACCTCTTGTCAATTAGACTGGATTTTCAGCATCATCATAGACAAAGAATGTTCCACCAGCCTATGATTCCCATCTGTATTATTATTCACCAACAGCTTTGGAGATCACTACCACCTTATCAGCAACCAAGTAAGCAGAGTAGAAACCAACACAAAATTGTCCAATCATTG